TGAAATGCTGGTTGGTGCTTCGGTGGGGAGCTTGGAACATTATTTTCGTCTCCTGCTCCAATGTTCTCTCGATTTCGCTTTTCAAGTGTGGGCGGGGAGAGAACACGAACTTTTCGTCGGGCTTCCGATTTGACGATGTTTCTTGTGGGGGGACGATTAGAGATCACGTTCGTATCCACTTCTCCGAGGAGATCCGCCATGAAGGCATCGTCTTCAGCAGTCGCAACCGGCTAGGCAGAAAGTCAGAACCACGATTGCAGGGGGCCTGCGAGGAAAACTCACCTTGGGCTTGGCTGCGGTAGTCGCAGCAGCATTGCCAGCGTTGAAGTATTTGGAGATGCCATTGTTCATCTTCTCTTTGCGCTGTTTCTCCTCCTCGCGCTTCCGTTTGGCGGCCTTTCCGCGCGCAGGAAATCCATCACTGTCGTCGCTATCGTATTCAGGCGCTCGTTCGTTCCACACTTCCCGACCGTCATCTGCGTAACCGGCGCCGTTGTCGTCAACGACGAAGTCGTCCTCGTCGAGTCGGCCACGAATTATTTTCTTGTAGCCGTCATCATCGACCTCTTCATAGATATCACCCTGCTCCTCGACTTCGTATGTGGAGAGGCGCTTTTTCCCAGAGGCACGGAGGGCCCTTAGCTCGGCGAGTCTGTCACGAGCTGACGGCATGATTGTTAATTATGATGGACGATTGTCCATTCACCAGTGGGAACACAAAATGACAATGGGTTGCGGGGAAGGAGAGAATAGGGATCGCGATCTGAATCCAGGGCGCGACGCGCTGTGGGCCTCGCGTGGACGCGTTTAAGTGGTTTAGGTAATTTCAGGCACTAAGGCAGTCAGGCACCACTGTGGTGCCCTAAACCTTCATCCAATCGACATCGACTTTTTGCCAATTCTAATATACCTGGACTTTGAGATTAACTCGTTTATCAGTTTATCAGTACGCTAGAAATACTTCATTCCTGGTTTCAAATTAATCAGGGGGGATTTGCTGCCACATACTACGATAAACTTTATCTAAGTCATGATGAAGCTTTTAGACACTCGAGTGCAACTGAAGTACCTCGATTATTGAACCCCAAGGGACTGAAGGAAGAAACAGCAAGCGTATAAATAGGAAATTATCCAGACATATCTATATTTTCCCTTCAAGCACCACTAGCCGTGGACGCATTTCTCCAAAACTGCCCACTCTGAATCTAACGACTTTCGAGGTGGGCATGTTGTTTGTAAATTTTCGGCATAGTGCTTGCTATCCATCTTTTGAGGCAAAGGTCCCAAAAGCGAATAATAGTATCAGAGTAATGCGGCGGTCCACTGCTTCGAATTAATATCCACATGGGCTGCCGAGGTGTTTTGGATGGAGAAGTTTTGTTCATAGTTGAGAATACCACCGCGTTCATGCAATAGGCGGGCATCAATTCCTTCTCCGTTAGAAATTTTCGGGTAACTTCACTATATCTTCTCGTCTCTAACATTCTCTCGTTCTTTTGATACTCATCTTCGAAAATTTCAGTCCTGAGTTAACTTGTTTAGGCCAAGGCTGAATGGGCCCGAGAGCCCCAATTCTCTCTGTGCAATTTTTGGATCGCGAAAGAAAAGGCATTCCGTAATTCTGCGCTATACCATTTGTATTATCTCAGAATATATGGTTTGGGATGATATGGCCCACATAGATTGCGAAGCTATCGTTCTTGCTGTTCTTCTTCGAAATGATGATATTAATGTTCAGACGAGCTCAGTCAGCGATGCCAATGATGCGCGTACTTAGATGCAGTCCCGCCGGGAATAAACAATAATTGTTCATGACATAAGATGAGAATGGATGCGTATAGCCAGTGCCGAGATCCTTCGCTCCCCATGATATCGACTATAAAGCCGCGAAGGGGCAGCATCAGTACAGTCCGTAGGTAGTGCTGACCCTGAAGACATGGATCACCAAGGAGATGTAGTAAAATGGAGATGAGCACTGTAAGATATGGCGTGGACGGTCTGGGGGTTCGATAATGCAGTGTAATGTGGGGAATTACCATAGGTTGTGGGTGCCATCACTCCAAGAATTAAGAAATGAAATATCTCCATTCATTATGGCACTTTCGCCAGGTCTCGGAAGCGAATATGATCCACACTCAAATTGAAAAACATATCTTGCCATATGATGTTTGTACCTGAATGCATATAATGTAAAGCTAATAGGTCACTGAATAATAACCATAAACGAAAACTCCGAGTCATTTGAATCGATGCTTGGGAGGTTCTTTCGGTCATATGAGCACGTCCGATCTCAGCAGGTGCTCACAACCTAGATTCCTTCCAAAAGTTAATGCAGTAAACAATGTCATAATAGACATGACGTCCAAGCAACAAAATGCCGTGCGTACGAAATATGGCCTACGAGCATCAACCTAGGCAACGAGATGAACAATAAAAACCCGGTGTATTTGAGCAGATTTTCCTGGCCTATGCTAGGTATATTTTCCAGCCGTTCATGACCGCGCCAGGGGAAAAATATCCATTCTCTCCACAACACATCCAGCATCGGCACCGGGAACGAGAGTCTGTAGACCGCAGACATCTCGCGACACCGACCCTGTTCTCACCAGTCTACGAACGGTTCCAGAGAATATCTGAAACCACTCGCAGCAACAACATAACGATCCTCCCTAGTTACCCAGTCCAATAAGATTCAATGGAAAACAAGTCGTGAAATGATGAAATGAAGACATGATTTTCCATAAAACCCCATAATTTTTCCGTCCATTTTGTAAATTCCCTTCGCCGCAGTATTTCTTGTAAAAAAAAGAAGACAAAGTGGGAATTTAACGGTAGGACTTCTGGTAACGTGCGCGGGCACCGCGACCACCGAACTTCTTGGGCTCCGCGCGGCGGTTGTCGGCAACGAGCAGGGTCTTGTCGTACTGGGCGAAAGCCTGCTTGAGCTGGATCTTGGAGTGCTCATCGACGTACTTCTGGTAGTAGGCAACGATGGACTTGGCGATAGCCTGACGGATGGCGTAGATCTGGGAGGTGTGACCACCACCGGAGACACGGACGCGGATGTCGACACCAGCGAACTTGTCAGTGCCAACGATCAGGAGGGGCTCGTAGACCTGTCAGGTTGTCAGGTTAGTATCGTCGTTCCTTGGAGTAATAGCCGTCCACCCAGAAATCATTGCTTTACAGCAATAGGGTTTGTTGTTGGGTTTGGCGAAGAGGGAAAAGTTCCAAGTGCGTACCTTGAAGCGGAGGATCTCGGGCTGGACCAGGGAGAGGGGCTGGCCGTTAACCTTGATGAGGCCCTTGCCTTGCTGTAAATTCGGAAAAGTCTCAGTATGCTGTTCTCATTCGTGTGATATCCCATGCGCCATCGATTCGTTGTTGCCCATCGAAGATATTCCCAACATCAAGATTCCAACTCCACGACTCTTCTTTCGGCTCCATTGGTGATAGCTTTTCCAGGGCAGTTCCATCGAGATCTGATTGACGCAATAGGATGTAGAGCGGAGGGGGAGGCATCGTCTTCATACCTTGCAGTGGGCGACAGCGGTGGCTATTGAAAAAAGTTCGATCAGCAATTATTCAACGCGGAATGAAGATATCGAAATCGCAAGACTCACCCGTCTTCTTCTTGCCGAAGCATTGCACACTCGGGACGGAAGCCATGGTGGGTTGTCGTTGGGGGAGGAGTGTGTTGTCGAGGGAGATGGAAAAGAAGTCGACCGCGAATTCCCACACTGCAGTGATTCGCCTGAATTGCTGGTTGTTAGTGCGGGTTTCGCTTAGGATGCACTAGTCCCGAAATGGCTTAATTGGGTTCCCTGGCTTAGGGCTTGATCACATGACAGTTGTGAGTCTCACGTGCAGTCACGTGGATCGGGCCCAGGCGGAGTCCGAGTTTGGCATGCGCAGAACTTCGGGGATTTGCTTGAGTTGCGATTGCTGTTGTTGTCCTCCACTTTCACTCTATCCTACCTATCCGATACGATGTCGCAAACAGTCGGCAAGGTAAATACAAACCCACTCTGCTGCATGGACTGATCTTTCTCGGCCAATTACCAAATACAGCCCTCGTGATACTAACGTTATGTCTTCCTAGACCCGTCTTGCATACTCCCGCGCATGGCATTATGTCGACGCCGGCGCTGACTCCCGTTCACTCGGACGCCTGGCATCATCAATTGCCCTTGTTCTTATGGGCAAGCACAAGCCGATCTACGACCCCTCGACGGACTGCGGAGACTACGTTGTGGTTGCCGGTTGTCACGACCTGCGGACCACCGGCAAGAAGCGTTTCCAGAAGATGTACTACTCACACAATACGCGCCCGGGTAGCTTGAAGAGCATGACTATGGATCAGATGTTCCAGAAATGGGGTGGTGGTGAGGTTCTGCGCCGCGCTGTGAAGGGCATGTTGCCTAAGAACCGTCTGCAAGAGCCGCGTTTGGCACGACTGAAGAGTGAGTTTCTCCGGAATTGATGTCAGCACACCTCTAGACAGGCGACTAAGATTATTCTCTTCTAGCCTTCGAGGGTCTCGCCCATCCTTACAAGCAGAACATTGTTAAGTTCGGCAACGAATCGGTCATTGGTGCCACCCGGGAAGTCCAAGAAGCTTTCAAGGAGGCCAAGGAGGCTCAAACTCCCGCTTAAACATGTATTTCTACCTTTATCGGTTATTTTCCTTGACCTTGACTGCGATGTAATTTATTTCTGCGTTATGATCCAAAACCGCAAGCGCATGGGTGTGGAGTCTATCTTTGGGGATTTTTCTTTTTGATTCTCCTTTTTGCTGATTACTCTTTTTCGAATTCGACCTATGGGTCATTTTCTACATCGGTCTGTACTTATATAGCAAATTATTTGAAAATAAAAGAAACGTCTTGTCAAGCTGAAATTGGGGGTTTCACTCCCGGAGGTATATAGAGACATTATGTACAAGAGAAGGAAAGTCAACAAATCATGCAGGGAACTCCAGAGTTCGGCTTTGTAGGCATTTACAGCTTGGCCTTGGGGCCAGCACGGCCAACGGTGCATTTGATCAGGCCGTTGGGGTTGGACTGGGGAGCGTACACTTCGGCGTCCTTGCCGGTGTTCTTGGTTCCCTTGTGCCAGCTGAGATCTATATGAAGTTAGAAGAAGAATTTTAAAAGCAGAAGGCTGTGTAAAACGTACCAATCTCGAAATAGTGGTTGTTGGGCAGCTCATATTCCACAGTCTCAAGCAGAGGCGCGGTAGCAAGAATCTGCTCGCCCATCTTGTACATAGTAGCCTGAACACTGGCGCTGTTATCCTCAGCAAAGGTCTTGAGGGTGATAGCCCGGGCCGCCTCCCAGGTAGCATCGAACTTGGCGACATTGGCCTTCACGTCCGACACATTGCTGAAGCGGCGCCACTGCCAGTTGGCCGAAACGTCAGTGCTGAGAATCCGGTCCCAGGTCTCTTTGAGGGTGGTGAATTCGTCGCGGAGGAAGCCCCAGAACTGCGAGCCGGTGCTCTTGAGTACGGTCAGGCCGTTGATGGAGGAGTTGATATCGATGCCCTTGCCCTCAACAACGTCGACCTGCACGTTGCGGGTCTCGGGGCTATCTTTGACAAAGGAGTGGGGGTGGGGCTTGCCGTCAATGTTCATGCGCACCCAGCGATGAGTGATGATGTTGACGTGTGCGGCGTGGATGTGGCTGTACTTCTCGATAAAGTGCGAGCCCAGGATGGAGCCGAAGACCTCGGGGGTAGTGACGGGCTGCTGTTTGGCAGTGATGTAGATGGTGTTCTTAATGGAATCCGTGGCAACGATAACACTGTTGTCGGCCTTGGTGTAGCTGCAGGGAGATCCGGTGTTAGCTTGGTCCCTTGTAGCTATTGAGAGCCGATTGCCACCGATAAGGGTGTTCGGTGCACTCACGAAGTCTCAATGTCACCCTCCAGCAGAACACAGACGGTCATCTCCACAACGGTCTGAATACCACTCTTCTCGTCGCGATGCACCTTGTACACGCGGACATTGTCCTTGCCGTAGCGGGCAGCAGCGAGGGAGCTCATGTTGAAGGTTGGAGATAAGAGGATAAGCGGAGATGGGAGATAGCTAGATGGATGAAGGGAGGTAGGCTGAAGAGAAGCTAAAGGGAAGCTGGAGATCAGTTTACAATCAAGGGAAGTGGTTCTAGGAAAGCGATTCTTATTTATTTCAGTGAAAAAATGGGCTGATGCGCTCGTCCGCGACCAGTGTCGGGCACCTCCGATGCCCGCGAGTGGCCGATCCCCACTTCCGATCTTATCGCAAACGTTGAGGCGGCATTTCCCTCGGATAACACTGGTTACCACTTACACAGCACGTTCTAAGTGGAATGTGGGAGAATTTTGACCAGTGTCAAGCTAGAACTTGTGGACCTGCCCTCTATAGGCTATAATGGTAATGGAGCAGAGGTGTCAAGGATGATCCTCGACTTCTGCCCCAGATTTTGGATTTCGAGCCGCCAGAGCTTATTACACACCAGCTCTACGCATCGACTAGTCTCCACTGGGACTTAAGTTCAAGTCCCGAATCCCGAAAATCCGGCGCCCGATGTTGCTCTCAAATCCCTTGCTTCCTTGTGAAGATGAAGCAAATCCCGTTTCAATCGGCGATCTCCACCGGGCAACTGCGATCGTGATGAAGAGACGTCCGCTGAGAGACTCAGACAAAGCGAAATTGACGACAAGCAAAACTTCTCTGCATCGACTTCAATGCATTCTGATAAATCCATCAATAATCATACGTCATCTTCCAGTGTCTTTACCGATCTATAAGAACTCCGAATGAACATCAGCATGAACATCAGCATTAGACCCTAGGACGAATCGAGGTTTGTAAACCTTCATTTCTCCATTTGCATATCTGCAATCTCACAATATACCTACCCTGTCATATACATAACCTTGGTGGACTCGATTCCGTTCGGGTCAAATTTCGTGGCATTTGAACTATTTCTACTCTTCCCCAGCTCTACCAGTTCAATTGCGAGACAGCTTCTACCAGTATCTGCAGCTTCCGGGTTTAGGGACGCAAGGGGAGTTGGGACTTTCCCGTTAGTCTTATCTCATAGTCAGGCCGTAGCCAATCTAATTCATAGGAGAAATCTTCGCTACTACCATTTCAGCATCTTTAGGATGGGGTTGTGACCTAGCAGGTAAAGTTCAGATACTGCAATCCGTTGGGTCATTCATACTAGATTCCGGAGACACAGTCATTTGGTCCGAGTTCTGCAGACGAGAAACGCCACACAAGGTCAACGCTTAGTTGGATTGCCATCCTCGCATCGGAGAAACGTTCGTCTCCGCCGTACGAGGCGTAGTTTAATCGGTGGCCTCATTTCTGCAACGTTCATCCAACGATATGGTATATTGTTAGACTTCTGGACTGGGATTTGAAGGAAACCACAATGGATTTCAGCTTGCCGGTCAGTAAGGTTAAGTATGATTTGGAAAAGCGCTATGACACAGTGGATGCACAAGGCGAATGCGGCCATTGGAGATATAATCGGGGATGCTGCTACTCCCGAGGCCGAGTCTCATTGTCGTGTGAGTAGAGGGATCTTGGTCCTCAGAGTGGCTGACCTTGCTTTGCTTCGGATACGCTAGCAGCGTCAAGTATTGGTTTCCTTTGAGCAAGTCTGATGCAGAAAATCTTGTTGTCTGCATTTGATGCTATATGTGCCTAGTCAGTTGCCTTCGATTGGCAATTGAGGATTGACGTGGTACAGACGCTTTCCATCTTCGTTGAAACGCGCCATGGCGGGTCTGCTTGGTATGAGTCTCGCATTCTTCCTGATGGCTACTTCAGCTTCCTTGACTCATAGTTATTTGAAAAAAGTTTTCTTTTCCTGTGCCGTTGTCTTCTGATGTTCCGTCAGGAATCATCATAGACGCTGCGCTGCTCATTTAGTCCTGTGCCTGATTCGGTCCACTTTCCCTGGCAATAATCTGTTTGCGCTTTATCAAGCAAGATGATACACCATACAGCGCTCTTTTGATCACACTTTAATTTCTGATCGGTATCTTTCTGCATGTGCCCTAGTAATGGCTGTCGAGACACAGCAAGCACTCACAGTCATGCAGAAGCACCAGGGAATTATAGGCCCAAGGAAGCCGTCGCACAATGCTATGAAGTCCAAACCATTTGTCAATTTGCGGGGTTGCTTTTAGGGCCACTTTGGGGTGAATTTGTGGAGTATGGATTCGGGTGGGGCACAATGACCAAGCCACTGGGGGTTGGCTATATTGACAGCAGTGCTCATGTGGTGATTTAAAGAAGTGTATATGGGGATTGAAGATCAGGATGAAGAAGACGAAGGAGAAATAGGAGAAGGAGAATCATTGTTGCAAGGAGAGGAACTCTGCTGGATGTACGAAATAGGCAACCGAATTGAGTTTCCCGATCATCGCCTCATCTTACCCTTTTCGGGCAATAAGGGACAGGACCCGATCTACGCCAGCTTCTTATCTTCTACTTCAACCTCTGCATAAATACTTCTGCAGTTCGTCATTCTATGCGGTCTCAACAATGTCAAATCTCTTGATTCATTCTCTGAGTCTTTGTACTAAACGCAATCTCTGCGCTTCTACACGTCCTTTTGATGTGGGTGGTTTCATTTTTTCTGATCCTACGTCGCATATGACTGACATACAGTATAGCGTTACTTCAACCCTTCATCACATCTCTCAAAGCACATAAAACCTGACAAAATACAACGTAACTTCCCATTGATCAGGCATATCACGACTTCCTCAACAGCCATGGCCTCAATCACAGGGAATCTCCGCACAGAAACAGACCGGACAAAACAATATACTTATCTCGCCGAAACAACTCCCCACCTTGCCACAATGCTCGGCTTTCCCACTCGCTGTTCAACATTCCCAGCCCTATACAACAGCACCTGTACCGAGATCATCGATCTAGCATGCACAATCGCAGCCTTTGAGCCTGTGCGGCTCCACGCGCGCCCTGAAGACGTCTCCAAGGCCCAGGACCTCATTTCCAGGCGCCTAGAATCAAGTTCCAGCTATGACAGACCCACTCAAGAATCAAACATCACTCTCATTCCCGCCGCAACTAATCACTGCTGGGTCCGCGATACCGGACCCGTGTACGTGCGCGGAGTTGAAGATCCGCAACAGCGATACGCAATCGACTTCCAATTCTGCGAATGGGGGAACAAGATTGGGGAATTACTATACAATAGCTCCGCCGATAAAGAAGCAGCACTAGCAGAAGAGGGTGCCGATTGGCCAATCATGAGTTCCACCCAACGGGAAGAGAATACGCTTTTCGCGCGCCGGGCTCTTGAACTCGAGAACCAAGATGGGAGGCATCCGCCCGTTATCCGGGTCGAATCTTCCGTCCGTCTGGAAGGTGGCGGTATCGAGATGGACGGTGAGGGGACTCTTATGGCTGCCGCGAGTAGTGTGTTGGTTTCCTCGCGGAATGAAGGTCTCTCGCGCGAAGATATCGAGACCGAGCTGGCTCGGTTATTGGGGATTAAGAAGTTCATCTGGATCCCTGGACGGGAGGGATTGGACATTACGGATTGTCATATTGATGCTGAGGCGCGGTTTGTGAGGCCTGGCGTTGTGGTTGTTTGCAAGCCCCATGCGAAATGCGAGTCAGTTTACTGGGATATCTATCGCGAGGCGAGGGAGATTTTGGAAGCTGCTACTGATGCGCAAGGACGGAGACTTCAGGTGTATGATATCGAGGAGCCAGATCCGGAGCTGGTCAAGGGAGATGTTGCCGGGGAGGAAGATGGCCCGGCAGCGTCATATGTGAATTTCTACTTTGTGAATGGGGGGTTGGTGATTCCTGCTTTTGGGGATGTCGAGGCGGATCGGAAGGCCTTGGAGATTCTCAAGGGTCTTGTTCCTGAGCGCGAAGTAAGGCAAGTGGCTGTTAATGCTTTGCCGAGAACTGGTGGTGTGTTGCACTGTACGACACAGCAGGTGTTGTGAGATGGACTCGTAACTTGTGACTCAGCTTGGAACATCAATATCTCCTCTCATCAGCCCCGTGCCTGGGCCAAGTCATACGAACAATCTATGATATTCTCAAGGTGCATCAACATACGCTGTATTCTTTCACTTGTCGAGATCATCGACTCAACCATAAAACGACAGTCTTGTTCACAGACCGATATGCCAACGATGAAACGTAAATCAGACACGATAACTTTACTGTTTATATTTTTCTTTTCTTGTATCATGAACACGAATCCAAGAAAAGCCAGTCAATCCACTCCAGAGAAACCTCGAAACTCCCCAAACCCAAAAGAGCGCCATGAGAAAACCGAAGTAGACAAATAGACATGAGCATCATAATCATTGCACGTATGAAAAACCACCCAAAAGCGATATCAGAAACCCCTTGGAAGGTAAAGTGGACTTTTGTTCATCACAGACTCAACTGATCGATACTCCCTACTCTCCCTCCACCTCCAAGTCTCCCCCCACCGTTCGTCACCATCCCCAAGCGATAAAACCGTTCTTCGCCGGCGGGCGTCTTGCCCCCGATATACCACTTCTCCGGTCCCAACGCATCCCGGAACCCGCCCGAGCCACTAGAACTATCGCTTCCGCGACGCTGGCGATCTGCCGGCCCCCGATTGATGGGGATTGGCGTGGAAGAAGATGGTGTCGGGGGAGGAGATGTCTCTGCTGAGTAGGCAGAAGAAGGAGTATGGTGATAATGGTGGGAATGGTGCTGAGGCTGAGAGGCCGTCGCCGGCGGGGGTGTGGATGTGGATGCAGGACCCGGTGGGATTGTACTCCCACTTGAGGGCGCGTGGGATGTAGATTGGTTCGCTGCGGAACTGGACGATGGGTTTGAGCTGGAACCTGCGGCCTTGGAGGCTATTGCGCGGGCGCTCTGGGTGAGTGTTGAGGAGGATAAGGAGGAGGTGCCTGTTGATTGTTGGGAGGCTTTATAGGTGGACTGGGCGCGGAACGCGGCCAGGAAGTTAGAGAGGAATGGTCTGTTGGTGGACATGGCTTAGGCTGGCGGTATGGTGAGAGAGTGATTGCCGGATTGGCGGGGTTGAGGGGATCTTTGATCAATAGATATGTGTGTAAACTACTCCTTTGACCCGGGCTAGAATTCAAGGAAAGCGGAGCACATGAAGGGTCTGAACGGCGGGGGAAAGTCAGAGATCCCGAATCCAACTTGTTCCGAGCGGCGACGCTCCAATCAAATGCGGGGGATTATGGACATGACGTCGAGCAGGGAAATCCCGGAGTGAAAATATGCGCTGGGAACAGGTTGAGACTTCTAGAATATTATTTGCGTGTATTATGAATTCTGTACGATTTATTATTAGTTGCTTTGTTTATCTAGCACGTTGAAGGCCTTTATGGCATGATCGTCGGATCTTCGCGGCTCGGCGGTTCATGCAGTTACAGGCGCACCAGTCTGAAAAACGATCATCTCTATTTCTAGATGCTTTTCGAGTAGAGCAGGATCCCTCCTAAAAATGAACAAGGGAGAACAAGAAACGTAAAAGGAAACGTAACACCCTAAATCACACCAAACCCGAGGCGTGCATGTATGTTCGTGTCGTGCCGACTCGACTCTACTTACAGGCCATGCAGATGCACCGGGGGGGAAGACAAAAAACGAGCAACCAGTAAGGAATATGAAAATGAGAATAGGGGGAAATGAAAAAAAATGAAACACTGCATAATTCGACAAGAGCCTTCCCACAAAGACTTTTCTCTTTCTGCTGAAGCATTCGCGCAAAATCACATGCCCATGTCTATAGTTGTGGACGCCGAACGAAACCACCCTACCCATCTCATCAAAGAGGGCATAAAAAATCAACCAGACTCGCAATCATCGACCGTATAATCATACTCGCCGAGTGAAGAATGCGGTCCCACACCAGATGGGATCTGAACCAGAGGGAAAAAGAGTCATCAAAGATGAATACAATCGAAGGAAAACCAAGGACTGAACGCCAGAATCGGACAAACGCCGCTGCGAGCGGAGAGACGGATCAGGGAGGGCGAAAGCGGCAGGGAGTAGAAAGAAACGATCATTTTTGGTTGGCAGGAAAGACAAAGTCTAAAGGGGGGTGAAAAAAGCGAAGAGCCATGGCTGGAGCTGCCTCGAACAAGATATCAAATCAAGGCTGCAAACGAGAAAAATCGCATCCATCGCGTGCGAGGGGGATCTGCACCAGTAGTCCTCACGATGGTCAGAATAGGCCTTCACTTTTGGGGGGTTAAATCTCTCCCGGGCTGGCGCATCGCGTCGTATGATCCGAAGCTGTTTACTGTCGTGCAGGCTGAACGGTACCTGTAGAGGAATCGCATTAAAACCACATGTTTCTTTTCGCCATTGCTACCACAGATCACAAATGGGGTTTACTCACCATCACCACTCAGGGTAGTCGAAGCCAGGTACAATCCGTTCATACCGCTCTCGGGGCCGCCGGCGGTCGTGGCAGGGTAGAACTTGCGGTCGGCATCAACGGGGGCGTGGATCGACTCCTGGCCGGTAGCCATGGAGTGGGGGAAAACGGGGTTCATGTAACCGTCGGACGGACCGTGCTGGAACATCGACCAGTCAGGCTGGTTCGAATGGGGGCCGGGCATAACCGGATGTTTAGGGTCAGGAACGACCAGGGGCTTTACCTGTTCAAGAGGACGATCAACACTCAGTTGCTGGCCATGGGCATCGGTGCCGGACTGCATGAGGTACGGATTCTGCTTGGGCGCAGCCATCCAGGAAGCTCGCGCGGATGCCTGATCGGCATACGCATTGTCACTCGGACCACGGCTCATTCCGTTGGCCGGCGACATCGCGAACCCCATATGATGCTGCTGCTCATGGAAAGTGGGACGGCCAACAGGCATTCCATTCCCATTCACGTGCCCGTCGCTGAATTGCGCACCCATAACACCATTGGAAGATGGGGCGGGATTACTAACTTCATCCAAAGGCTTAGCGGGGTTCGCCGCTGCTGCTGCCGCCGCCGCCTGCTGCGACGACCGTTTCAGATGGGCCTGAGGGTGCGACAGGTGGGTCGCACCCGTGGGGTTACCCCGACGAATTGAACACTTCTGGAAGTGGCGCTTCAAGATATCACTGCGAGAGAAAGTGTCCTTGCAGAGGACACACATGTAAGGCCGATCTCCGGTGTCTAGTTCCCAAACAAAAGACGCGTCATTAGCCTCATATCAAAGTGAGAGAAGGAAAAAAAAAACACGCCAAAAAATTTTTCAAGCAAAAGCAAACGCCGAAAGACTGATGTGAAGAATCGAGGGGTAAAAAACTCACGTCTCAGCAGATGGCGCTTCAGGTGCTTGGCGTGCAAGTAGGTTTTGTTACAGTGCGGGCAAGGGAATTTTCCATCCGCATCCTTGGCCGGAATAGTGGTGCTCTTTGCAGCACCGTTGATGCCGTTGGTGACCGGAGTTGCACGGCCCGGAACACTCGGCAGAATACCACGGCGGCCCTGAGAGCCCACGACCTGCGTGCGTGGTGGTTCCTTGGCCCCGTAGGGCGAGCCGTTCGCGCCATTCACGTCTGGGCTCATGCCCCAGGACTTGCCATCGGAGTAGCTGAAAGCCCCGGAGGGAAGACCGTTGAAGTCGCGACGATCACGCGGCGGGGCCGGAGCAATGGGTTGGGGATAGCTCTGCGCGCTCGACGCGGGAGGCAACACGCTCGGAGGCGGGGGGTACGACTGAGAGGGGTGGGCCTGTGTCTGGTGGTTAGGATGCGACAAAAATGACGGTGGTTGGCTACCGACGGTCGTGTGCATGCCGGGCATGATTGGGGCAGTCGAAGCCCCGTACACGTCATGAGTCGACGCGGGAAACCGTGAAAGGTCCGGCCGGTATGGCTGGCTCATGTAGGGATGCGGCGCGGGCGACTGGGTGTGATGAGGCTGAAGCGGCGGCAGGGTGTGCGGCTGCGACACCGGGTACTGCGGCTGCATGGAGTATTGAGGCATCGGCATACTCGAAATGGGGGTCGAGGAGAGCGGTGCGGAGCCCTGGGAGAGGGTGGATGGAGGCCGCGAAGGGTGCGATCGGGGATCCATCTTGAAGCAGGACGAATTGGATGGACACGAAGGAAAAGCGCGTCAAGGGAGAGAAATGTAGGATGGTCGAAGACGATCACAAAGCAATCATCGAACAGCAAAGCTCTTTTTTTTCCTCTTCTTTGTCTTTCTCGTTGAACCGAAGACTGCTCCTTGTTTCTTTAGAAATTTTTCCCGAGGCGGAAAGGTGCCAAGTCACGAGGCAGATCAATTAGGGACGTCTGACTCCACACAAAGGTAAGTCACAGAAGGCCAGGAGGGGGAGGAGAAAGAAGAAGTCAAGAAGGAAGGTTTGAGGAGATTTCCCCACGGTCACCCACCGAAGAAAGTCGTGTGGGAACTTTTTGGTGTTATCCGCACGTTGTCACCGTCGATGGGTTCTGTATCCACCAAGGAAGCGGGCGTGCAAGTGGGTCTGCAACTCGCAGGACAACAACTAGTCAGATCTGCTTCGCGTCAAAGAATGCGTCGAGGTCGAGCCCAAAAAAAAAAAATTTGACAACAAGATTCAATTAGATGAGAATTGATGGGGATGGTTAGGAGGAAGGAAATTTTTTTTTTCTCGGAATAGAGAAAAGACAGTTCGATCGCGAACGGGGAATTGGGGGGAAAAAAAGAGGGAAAAGGAAAGGAATTGGGGGGCGGGCAAACTTACCAGTATACCAAGGTTACCATACCACTGAAAGTTTCAGATGGAAAATGTAGAGTAAAAAAAATTTTCGAAATAAAAAAAAAAAAAAAAAAAAAATGTAAAAAACAGAACCAAAATTCCAAGAACCGAAGATGTTCAGATGATTGGTGACGAGGGGAACCGTTAGTTTGGGAGAGGCAAAGAATAGGTACCATAGAAGAGAGAATTGAATTGAACTCAAATACAAGAGAACAAAAAAAAAATTGAAAGGTAAATTTGTTACCAAAAATACGAGCCAAAAGGCGCGGAATTCTGGTACAGAACAGGGAACGATGACGATATGCCGGGCGTCTTCCGAAGACGGCCCGGAGAGGAATGGCCGATCGCACCTGCTCGCAAGCGGAGTACGTGTACAGATCCGATTTACATATTACTTATGGCTGAATGAACTATATCATATACTCACTTGAATCCTAATGAGGTCGATGGGCTTGACGTGAGACAGTATCAAATTCATTGTTAAGAATGCCGAGGTGGCTATAGTGACCTTGGAACGAGAAAGCTGGAACAGATTCATTCCTGAGTTGACATCTGTTATCGTAGACCTGGGGGAAAAGGATCCAACGAGTCCACTGCCACATGCGTTCAGGGCTCCATTGTTTACCCGATCGCGGCGCTGTCCGATGTACTCCGTACGGATATGTACGTTGGAGTGAGCTTCCCTATTCACTACAATGGAGAATGTTGCGCTAAAACTGAACAAATTGACTGGGAAAGGGGTAAACCTTTGAGCAGAATGATTCTAGCCCAGACCTAGACTGTGCAACAATCATGAATCAACTTCCTACGGGCACAGCGTCCTCTGCACAAGGACTCCAATTGATGTTTGGAGTTGGAGACTCGGTGGTTCTGACATCCTGACCCTGGCTCCGCAGTGGCTTGACACGCCCCGCAGGTAAACAGATCACACATCTCACTCATGCAGGGAGATGCAGTGCCATTGCACACTCTCCTCTCGATCACTCAATCAGAGGCCCACATTCGAGCTCACGACCTGCTTTCGCTGTGACCAGGCGCTAGTCAGTTCACGAGCGTTTGAGCGAACGATCGAGCTCCCTCGCACTGATCTCTTCTAACGGGAAAACAGCACGTCATCTACATAGATACACATGATACCAGACCTCATTGTGAATTACCGATTATTATTTGATTTTTCCTTCCCCATGTAACTTGCATACCAATTTTCGTATGCGGGATCCTCGGTCATAATTCTCAGCATTAATGAGAATACGTACTCAAAAATTGGAGTCTTCTGGCACAAACTCTAAGGTACGTGTTTCGGTAACGGCTATGCATTGTTGCCTTTAGTGGATGCGCCGTAGCCGCCTACTTTCTCCTCAAGCTAACGACCTGTACCTCTACTTAAAACGTACTTTTGTTCTTTCTCTCTCCTCTCGTTCCTCTTTAGTTTAGCGGCGGTACCGTAATAGGGCGCACTACTGTTGAATCTAATGGGTAAACATTTTACTGTGGACGTTGGCGGGAAAACTCCTAACTAATCCCGCTAGGACCGATTCAGGGGTTGCCATTGGACCATCCACTTTCGTCCTAAGCTCCGGCTTTCGCAGGACTTTCGCCCGACCTCGACTCGCTGTTATTACCTAATTTCCAGCAATGCCACCCTCCCAGGGGTTGGTTGGGGAGGGGAATGGTACGATGTCTCAGCCAACTCTTATGTCTGGTTATTTATTTTAAGGAGACCGGGACTCCAACAGTTGAACAGATGTGAGAGATAAATTCTATATCAGATATGAGGAACTCTTGTCCAGGTACGACCCTGGCCCCTCCCTGTTCTCCACCAGCAGAAATTCGCAAGAGCTTCTCCCGCTTCGATTGTGGACCTACAAAAGGCTTCGACCAGGGTTCTGCAGAAATTAATGATCGGATCTGACCATCCCCTCGTGACTTGCCATGAAACTATCAGATCCTTGGCGGAGTCGGTCATGATCCGTGCGAGGGGGAGACTAATTTTTATTTACCAAGCTAGTGACCAAAAAGGCAGGCCAAACAGACCAAAAATGCCTCGCTTCACCTTCTCGTTTTATCTCGGTATGTTGCGCCGCCCGGATGGCGGTTTCCGGGATGACAATCTGTTTTCGTGGCTTGACTTGCATGTGTTGGGAATTGAGCTACAAGGTGTCGATTGACTAATATTAACAATAAATCCGACCAGAATAGAGAAAGGGACATGTAAAATATAAAATATGAAATATAAAATACAAATTACAAATTACAGGCCCGTACTACATACAAGATTCACAATGGAGACTCGGCAGCATAGCCGGGAATTGGCAAGGATCCACTCCCAGGGGCTCCCGAGACGGTTCGGTCCACGAGTGATGCACTTTAAGACTCCAGCTACTACAGACTAAGTAGGTAGATAGAGGGGAATCAGAAGGTGGCTGATCCTGCAAACTACGGTGAGACGGTTCTCCGGCTCCTCTCTTTTCCTTTAGCCCAAAACCTTTACTCCTTTGGGACTTGACTGCAGAATCCAACTCCGCCCAGAGGTCCCCATTATCCAGCACTAACGTAGCGTAGAGATCCAACCCACTTTCCAAAGTTGAGGATCGTCATGAAATTTTTCTTTTTCCTTACTTTGTCTCCCTCTGTTTGAAAGCTTGGTTCTTGCGCGGCGAGCCTTTGCCCCCATGTGCCGACCATTGCATTTCGGGTCTCCGTAGCACCCGTAGGGCTATATCCGAACGGGGCTGCAGAGTACATAGTCAATGGAACCATTGTAAAATAGTGCGCGCTTTAAAATCATAATGATCCCCGTCTTCTCCGTCCCCATCTCGGCCGAACTGGTAGGACCTCACGAGGACAGAACGGGCCGTACCCACCGCTGACCGCCAGAGACAGAGACTAGAGATTTCTGTACAGTGTGGCTCAGTATCTAGAATCAATTCAGCAGAGTACGGAATGATATTCAGGTACTTCCGAACAAACCTAACCGGTACAGTAACTCATCCGATTCTTGGGGGCCTTTCATCCCGGCAGAGGCCGGAAAGCAGTGAAAAATAGCCAAGTCCGGATCGTCAAGTTTCAGGATGCTTGAAAACCAATCACATGGCCACACCGCCCCCAGCGGACGAGAGGTTCGAGGGCGCCACCCACCTCATAAGCTCACTTGATCTGGGATTTTCTCACTCCGGTCATCACATGCTTCATCATACTGATTCAGATCATTCTACGGAGTACGGGTATGAAGACTTTTATTCTCCCGTTAGCTTTCGATCTGCTTCTTTACAACCATGTGTTTTGAAAGGTGAATCGGCTTGGATCTCGGGGGGTTAGGGAACGCCGCGGATGTATAATTTATAAAACCATCTGGTGTACCGTGGACTTGGGATTCCCATAAAGGTAAAAAAAATTTGAAATTTTCAAAAACTTCCGAAAATCCAATATTCCGTATTATTGTACTGTAATTCCCCCTTGGCTGCCGCGTCATGGGATTTCGTTTCGGATAGAATTTCGATGGAACCATAAGGATATTAATATCTGCAGAAACTCATCAACTGCTATGATTGCTCGTACCAAGATATGATTTGAAAGGCAAATGGTACACCTTTGAGAGCCATGGACGAAATTGTCTGCTCGATGGCTGTTTGCGTACGCGGAATGTCGCTCGGGAGGGAATTCAAATTCGTCGAATTCTCCAAATCACCAAAATCATAAAAATAACCATGGCTGCCTGAAATGTGCATGTCGTTCATTGGGTATTCGGGGCAGTAATTTTCGTTTTGTTGAGTGGCGGGCTTTGAAGAACGGCAAAATGGGTCGTTCGCCGAATACACAATACCATGTCGTCGCCATGATACATTTCAGCACTCTGCCACCTCGCTTACCGCGATAATTTACCCTACCGTAACTCTCATCCATCTGGAAATCCTCGGGAAATGGGTCTCCCGATTCAGGAACAGTCGCCAATGACTCCACTGAGGCAAAAGACCCGATGAGTCCAGGAACCGGACACATCATCGTCGGCAAGACTCGCCAGTCACGCCCCTGACAGTGTCGATCGGGTACGGCTGCGCGCAATATGAGCCGTGTCTTGAAAGTTAGGTTTCCTGAATGGGCCGACAATACTAGTAGTTCATACACTAATTCTGAACCTTACATACCAATGCCAAGTTCAGTATTATCTCACCGGTTCAATGGTCTCTGAGAAATCATCAATTATCCGTCTCTGAAACTTTCTTTTTTTTTTTTTTTTGTGCCCTTCGTCGTCTAACTCAACTTAACAAATAGCGCATGGAAGTGAGTTAATTGAAAGGCATCATTGGAGATAGAGTTCATCTACTGTGGATCCTCTCGTGTCGCATATCTCGTGGGAAACAAAAGAAAAGAAAGAGGGGGTGTGGGTTGCCCCCCCTCCCCATCTGGAGTCAGATTAAGCATATCTGTGTGTCCCATCGACTTATTTCTCCGTTACATCCATGTCCAGTGCCCACCGCGACGGTGGGGTCTGTTCAGGGGGGAGCCAGTGGATCTATTTGCAGGATTCTCCCCGGGGATCCCAGCGTTTGAGATACGAGTACAGGGTACCTAGCGGGTGAAGTAAAGTTGGTGTTTGGCATTGTCTTTTTATGAGACAATGGTAGGTCTTTTGTTCACTAGGGGTCTCTGCTGGCCGTGTGTTGTATCTGAGCGCGTGATTGGTCCTCTAGTGTTTTCATTTGCAGCGTGGGATCTGCCTCGTTGCGAGGTCCGTTGTACCTGATACCTTGTAGAATGATCTCCCTCCCTTAGCACTTGCATTGAGTGGGCTCAGGCTGTCGTCCGTTTCGCTGGCTTGTAAGTTCGGAGAATTTGTGTTTCTGCCGCTACTGTGTAGCGTGAGCCCTGGGGATCTGAGCGCTGCAGCTGGAGGTGGCACAATCTTGGAAGCACCAGGATATATATCGTGGTGATCAATCCTATCTCCTGCCTAGTAACCGGGCATGAAATGAAATGTGTCCTCTACCAAAATAATGAAATAATAACCTTATGAAACCCCAAAACTTAACATTCCATAATTGATTTTCCCTCAAAAAATCCCACAATTGACCTTTTCGAAATTATCTAGATTGCAGCGGGTATAGTCCAACCTTCTGGGGCTGGTGGAGTAGCCCACACCTCCATCACGGGAGAGCCCATCGCACCGGAACCCAAAAAAATGAGCTCTGATGGGGCACTGGAGCATCCCAGATCTCGATGTCAAAGTGGGTAATATGGAGAAACTGTCAAGTCAATTCAAATGCGGTAATCATCACATGAAGAATCTCCAAATGTATTCCTACATACTCCACCCATCTACCCGGGAATCTCGTGACATCACGGCAACATAGATTCCAGCCATATCGCGCTGAGTACCCTTATCATTTTCAACACTTTCCACAAACTCATCAGCCGATAGTACCCCCTCATCATGGGCCCAAAGCCACTCGCCAAATCAACAGTGATTGGAAAGCTGCTCTGCACGCTTTTGAGATTAACACATCACATTCATTCCGTAAAGGAAACATACGCACTGGGGAAAACGGCTTCAATAAACTGCTGCAGCGTCTCCGTGCCTAATCCCGTCGTCGCGATTACGACCAGTCCCTCCGCCATTGTCTGAACCATGTTTAACGCGTGCAATTCATGTTCTAAGATTTTGAGCCGAGCATTTCTCGACACCTCTGCACCTCGAAACTTGATACATGGTAAAAACTACGCCTGTCCCCCCCACATTTCAAATTGCCTCCTTAGCTCCATCTGCGGATGTGCCAATAATGGACGGAGAACACATTAATGCGAGGAGATATTGCGGCGTGAAATGTAGATGCTGTGGATTTGATCGACAATGTAGGAACGAAGGGGATATCAGAGCTTCATTATAGCAAGCCATGTCAGCATTACTGTCACACAGTCAGATTTCTTGCTGAATCATTATCCGAAGAGAGGTAATCTCCCGGCTAAGCAAACAAGTCCGAAGAATCAGAAATGAATCAATATCGGAACGTAGGGAGAGCTGGGTCTGACTGAGAAAGAGTGATGGTAAACATGCTCAGACATTAAACTATAGACACCGAGTGCCCTAATAAAAGAACAGAAGAAATTCAATAGTCCGCATCTCTTATACTACTTCGGCAGAGTTTCATCAGACTTCGCTGTCTTCATCCTCTCGGTCTCTTGCACATGCTCCGGCTCCACGCCTTCACTGACTTCTGGCTCAACATGAACAGCATGAATAGCATGTTCTACATTGACCTTGGGACCAGTGAACCACCGGTGGGCATCAACAAACCACCAGATCAGAACGGCCAGCATCGGTCCACCATAGACAAGACAAGTCCAGTTCATAAGATCCGGAGTCAAATCTTTCTTGGTGACGCTGGGTAAGCACAAGATAGGCACCATGAGCGCAACAAAAGAGCATCCAATACCACCGACCAGGGGTCCCCAGCGGCCGAGGTTCCAAGGTCCCTTGCGGAACCGGTTGCCCACAAAGAAGACACGAATGAAGATGGGGATGATGAATGCAACGAATTGCGCGATAGCGCCAATAGAGAACAAAGCGCCAATGGCGGTGGTGCCAGCAAGGACCAGAAGACACATTAGACATCCTAGGATAGTGTTGAGAACTACAGCGTTCACGGGCGTCTGAGTAGTTTTGTTTACTTTCTTCCAGTACTTCGAGAAGGGGAAGCAGTCATCCCGAGCATAGGCATATGTCACCCGTGAGGCGGCGACCATGCATCCCTGGCCCATGGAGAAACCACAGACAATCGTCAGACCGAGAATGCCAAGTGCTGCCTGCTGGGGTAGAACCTGGAGCAGGTACGAAGCCCACGGCTGGCCCAACTCTGACCCGATGACTGCGTCAATATCTGTGACTGTGTATGCAACGACAAGCTGTAGGAACCAACCCATTACGCCACCGACACCAGATGTCATGACGATGGCGCGCGGGGAGGCAATGTTGGCATTGGAGCACTCTTCACTCAGATGGAAGGGTGAGTCATAGCCGGACATGGTCCAGATTACGCCGACGAAAGTCATAAGTACGGCGATGCCGTCGGGGAAATCGGTCTGGTTCTTGATGTGACTCCAGACTTCGTGAGAGGGCGTAAATTTAGGAGTGTTCTTTGTAGCCGCAGGAATGACAATCAGGGTGGTGATGAGCGCAAGAACGTTGAACGTAGAGCCCCAGGAGTTGAACTGTGCTACTTGTTTCGTGGGTAGACTGCTGATTACCGTGTGGATGATCATGATCAAGACCGTTAGAAGATAGATCTGCCAGTTCGTCGGGACGTAGTTTGGGTTCGTGATTGAACCGGCAGCCAGGATCATTGCGGCCAGCGCATAGTCAACTGACGGTGCTGCGGTGATTTGTCCAATCCAGTTGGACCATCCTGTAATCCACGCAGCTAAGGGACCCCAGCCTGGGGGCGCGAGCACAGCTGCAGCATAATAGAGTCCGCCACTAGAAGTAAAATTTATAAGTCAATATACGCCGGGAGGGGTTCAAGACAAGTGAAAATGGCATACCTTGTAGGCATGGCCGAGCACAGCTCCGCCATAGACATTGCAATACATTGGATGAAAAGCATCGCGATGATCCAGCCCCAGACCATACCTGCCGTTCCTGCATATCCCATACCTGCTCAAGTATGTTAGTGGTGACTAGGACCATGGTCAAGGACTGGCAAGAAACCAACCATAATACAATGTGCTTGCGAATGATGGAAGTAATCCGAGCACTGCAAAACTGACGCAAAAAGTCGTCCATAAGGAGAACTCTCGCTTGAACTCCTGCTTATAGCCCAAGGCCATAATGACCCGCTCGTCTGCGTCCATCTCATGGTCCGTATATGGCACATCGCCATCTGCCAATATCGACGTAACAGGGGCATGCTGGGTACCACTATAAACCGAGGGCCGTTTATAGGCCGAATCAGATGATTTTGATTGCATAATAGAGAGCCAAGATCTTCCACGAATATGAGTACCAATAAAGAATCAAGGAAGATGTGGAGAGAGAAAGTTGATAAATCGGCAGTAGCAAGCGCAGCTAGAGGTCTGGCATCGGACCTGCCGACCAAGGGAACTCAGGCCGTTATGAACTAGCTGTGATCTAGGTTTCAAGCTACAAAGCTGGGGGCTGTTCGGCTATGGTTATCTATCTATGACGGCACTTTGAGATTGGGCCAATCAAGCCATGTGAACCTCCTGCAGCGGGCGGCAGGCCGCTAGAAGGACATAATAAGAGGGGTGGGACGAACAGGGACCTGCTTTTGGTCGAAGGTCCTCTCCACAAATCGCGATATGATAACGACTGGTCCATCACAGAATGGATGCCGTAATACAGATGATTTATTCTGCGATAGACCAATCTCTGGGCCGATGGCTTTCTCGGAAGGTGAAGGGATCCTTTGATTCGGGCAATGCGCATGGGCTTCTCCGCACCACGAGGCTTGTGATTCGTAGACATGGAACTTAAATGCCCTGTCATTTGAATGAATGAGATCCGTGCTACCCCAGTTAGCTTGGCAAGGACGCTACCAAACCCATCAGGGCAGTTTCAGGCGTCGACGGAGGCGAATGTGCCTTATCTCGTGATATCAGGGGTCAGAGATAAGATTGATGTTGGACTCGCATACATCGATGCTTATCTACAATGCATGGACCTGCCCTCTCAGGAGAAGTGGCTTTTCATACTTCCCTTCGTTTGGTACATCAGAATCAACTATATTAAGATCTGCTTAGACCAATAGATCATATCTGAGAGAGGGTGAACTAAAATCCGTTTCGAGATCACTACGACCCAGGCGAGAGGTCTAGATCAGTAACGATCACATCTACAAAGATTGAGTATGGATTTTGGTTTGGAAAAACAGCTGCCTCTATGTGCTATTCAAAACATAAAAGACTATCATCACTATTCTACACAACTTCCCCCTGATCTCCAGTACCGGGGCAATGGCATGTCGCCCGTTGTCCACCAAAGCGAAATCATTTAAAAGGGCTATACCGGCAGTCAGTACCCACAGCAGAAGAGAAGACTTATAGCAGAATAAAAGAGCCAAAGAAGAACTTACGTTGTCCTCGGGGGCAATTTTGCGGTCATAGTAGGTGTCCAGGAAGGGGAACTGCTGGAGGATATCACGGCGCACACGGGGTACCTCGCCAAACATGAAGAGAGCGGCGGTACCGGCGAAGACACCGAAGGAAGCAGCAAGGGTACCACTATAATCAAATGTGAGTCTTATAGTTCTATAAGGTCTGTTCAATGGACTTGGGGGAGACTTACGCCCGAACGGCACTGGTCATGTCAAAGCCAGCAACGCGGCGGGTGATGTCGATCCTACACAGATTGTATTAGCATTATTCTCCCTTGGGGTCGCCCTAATTAGGCAATCGTGTAACCCTTCAAGCAAACGGTAAACTCCGAGATGACGAAGTTTTGCACCGGCTACACAGTCCGCTGGAAGGGATTAAGCCATGCTCCAGCCACATTCAACAGAAATTCATGCAGCAGATTGCCCTTCATATGCATTAAGGATACCAATCTATATCCAATCCGGTGACTGTTTGACTTGGTGCATCGTCCACGGGGTTCCGGCACGGGCACAAGAGTTGAGTTTGGGGGGTCTCACTTGGGTGCAAAGGCAGAGCTGGTGGCCTGGGCCGCAGCGCGGCGGAGGGTAGGAGTGAAAGCCTGTGGATTGAAGAAAAGGGCCAGCGTTAGCATTGATTTCAAGGAAAATCGTACGTTCCGCGTCTATCCCGGGAGGTCATTGTCGGTAACGCGAGGCGGGCGACCGGACCCCCGGCTGCGAACTCAATGAAAACGGAGTCTGTGAAAGGTGTGGGGACTTGATAGAAGTGTTCGCCTAGGCAAGAACATACCATTGTGGTCAGCGAGAGCAGATCGTAGGACAATGGATGAAGGGACAGGAGCTGGCACTTGGTCGACGAAAACCGGGAGCGCCCGAGTTCGCAGCCAATCATCGGTCAGTATGGGATGATGCACGTGATCAATGGCCTGTCCACCAATCACAGGCGGGATAATTGATTCAAATACCTGGGGAAGGTTGAAGTATACAATCAATAACGCTAGAAAACGGTGGAAATCGGGGAATTGGGGTTGGATTGCTGGAAGACAGAATGAAACTAATAATAAAGAAGTATGTGCTTCAATACCCCAGGGTCGAACGTGCAAAGACCAAGGGACTGGCAGCAGGAAGATAGCCTGAAATCAAATACAGTCTAAAGTAACAGAAAATTATAAGAAACTGTGCAGCCAAACAGCTGAACTGTACATGCTCTCATTAGTCGACTTTTCCAGTCGAGCCTCCGTTCAAGAATCCCTCCTTTCCATCTAGATGGAAGAAGCCACCACTGGTGCCACCGTTAGAATTGCCCAGAATGCCACCACGACCAAGACCAGTGCGACGCAGGAAGCGTCCACGGCCGAAGATTGCGGCCACAGCCACCGTCAGGCCCAAAAGGATGAAGAAGAGAATAGGGTGACTGCTAAGGAAGGATCGAGTGTAGAAGAAGAAAGTCTCCAAAGTACCGATAGTGGACTTAGGGGACAGCTTGGGAGGGGACGAAATAACAAGAGGGATGGTCTCGAGAATAGAGGTACGCGAGGCCATAATGGGAGCTCCACTGGAAGCAGTATCCCAGTAACGACGGTTCTGTGAGGTGTTAGTAATCAGTGGTGCAAAATGGGTTCAACATAGGCGCTTACATCTTCATCGTTCACAATGACACGGTCACCGTTCTCAACATCGATACCGTAAGTGGTGCGGAGCCAGCGCTCCCAGAAATCACCATCAATCCAGGCAAAGTGGACGGGCTTCTTGTCATCCTCACGAATGGTGATGCGCATGTTCTTGGCGGCCCGTAGCGCGCGCTGATCATTGCGGTCGTCCGCTTCCTCGATGCGCAATTGCTTGGCATCACGAAGTTCAGATCGCTCTAGGCGGAACAGTTGAATCTGCTTGTCCATCCACTCGGAAGCAGCCTCCTTTAACTCTCGCCTGGACTGCTTGAAATCATCAGAGCGCCGGCGGCTGAGGATACCCAGGACGACGTATTTGCCGTCCATGATTTCGCGGGCATTGGAAGCTGTGAGTTCAGGAACAATTGGCAGCCAAACAGTCTGCATCCAGGACAGGACTTGCCTGAAGTCTCTCATATCCTTGGGTGCAAGGGCGTTGTAGTAGTTAGGGCGACCATCGCGGACCACCAAAAGGCGTGGCCAGGTCGAGATCTTGAATCTTTCGGCCAAAGCAGCGCTGCTAGTCTTCACAATCCGGGCGTGACCCACAAGGCTCAGAGTTAAACGGTCCATGGCCGCAAAGTCCTCGGATGTGGTAGCGATGTCGTAAAAGTACAAGAACAGGACTTCCTCGGTCTCCTCCAACTCCTTGAAGGTGGCTGCATCCACATCCTCGATCTCAGAGTAAGGTCCAATGGCCTTATTAGTGAACGAGAGCAAATCGCCCAGGCCGCGGAGACCGGTATATTCAACTCGCTGACCACCACGGAAGAAGTAAATGGTGGGGAAGGCGTTGACTCGCGCATCTTCACAAAGGCGGGATTCAACATCACAATTCACTTCACCAATATTCAGTGTGTCTTTCATTTCCTTGGCCATCTCCTGCCAGTTGGGAGCCATGGCCTGGCAGTGGGGGCACCAAGGGGCGTAGAATTTGATAAACCAGGAGTCTTGCGTCGTAGTCACTAGTTTTTGAAAGCTCTCGGCAGTGAGGGGAACGGAAATGCCCTGCGGGTTGGGAGGTGCGCTCTTCGGCTTGGTCTTGACCACAGTGGTATCGCCCGACTTGGTGTTCACAGATGACGGCGGAGCTTGCTGGGAAACCAGTTCATTCTGCTTCTCGCCAGCCTTGACTCCAGCTTCCGGGTCCTTGTCCTTAGCAACCGGCGAATCGGGCTCTGCAGTTGAGTCCACACCAGGTGCGCCAACCTCAGGCAATTTGATGCCCTGCGGAGGACGAGACCCCGGCTTGGTCGCCTCGAGTCTTTCTTCGATAAGTTTGCTCAGATCCTCAATTTTCTTCGCGCCGACGAAAGTGTCCTTTTGCACGCCATTTTCGTAAAAAGCAAAGGTTGGGTAGGCTTTGATACCAAGTTTCTCGCAAAGGTCGCCGTCAGTGAGACAGTTCATAGATGCGAAGTGAAAGTTGTAGTATTGAGTAAAGGAGTTGATGGATTTAGGGTCCGGGGTCTTTCCAGATGATGGCGTTATAGGGTTCGAGGTCTAGAACTGGCTATTAGCATTGGGGGAGGGGTATTGATCTTGGAGGAAGATCACTCACGTAGTAGTACTCGTAGGTTGTTTGGTAGTATGGCGCAGCCTTTTTGCAGTGCGTGCAGGCTGGAGAGTAGTGTTTCACCATCCTAGGGCTGTTAGGATCATCGAGTCTCCCTGATGTAATCGGCACAAGATGAAGGGTACTAACCAGATGCCATCTTTGGTCGTCTCTTCGAAATTACTCTGTGTCAGTTGAAACAAGGGAGGCACATCAAGGCCATTGAATACAGATGGCTCCTCGGGGTCAAGTCCTTTGCTGGATCTTTTTTGCAATCGGTTGACATTGCTCAAATCCCCGTCTGAGGGTGCGGACAGTGTCGGGACGGCTAGTAGAGAGATGAGGGACCACCCCAACCAGGAGGCTCTCATTCTGGCGGATTGTGAGGAGTAGTTCTGCCTCGGATAATAAAGTTGAAAGAGGAAAAATATGGAAGCCTTCGAGGCTGTTTAAACGAAGGACAGAGGTCGAAGGGTGAAATTGCGAAATGTCACAGGTGGCACATTGGACGACCGGAGGAGATGAGCGCAGGATACCGAAGAAAAAGCGTGAAAGCAGCAGGGAGGATTGACCAAGCCCCGAGCCGTGGAAAGAACAAAATCAGACAACACACCGGGTGATGTCCCAACTTTAGCGGACGTGAGGAATACAATTGAACAAAACGGTGTTGCCCCTGCTTCCTCATGTCACGGGACTTCAGTTAATCCGGATCCCGACCATCGAACTTGCCCGCCGTCTCACCCTGACCAATTGGGCTCTCCGCAATCAGCATCTCTCAGATATCATTCATACCACAACCACAATGAGGTCTACACTTCGACTGTTGGCCAATGCCAAGCCCCGGTACTTGGAGCCTTTTGCTCCCACCGGATTGACTGGCCTCTTCACCCACCCGAGCCCCCGGCCGACTTTGATCTTCCTTTACACCAACACCCTTCAGAAGCTGCAATCCTTTCCCGAAACGTCTGCATACCGCCAGTCCGTCGAGGCATTGACCCGCCACCGTCTTCAGATCGTTGAATCACAGAAGCCCCCTGGTTTTGATGCATGGTTGGAGCGCGCGAAGAAGACCATTGGTGCTGAGCCCGAGCGTTTCGCTCAGCTCCAGCTTAAGAACGGCGCATTCGCCTACGCCGCTTCGCAAGAGCGGGATTTCAGTGACGAGGCTCGTGGCAAGGAGTGGGATGGCGAGGGTCTGTCCGCTACAACTGAGGGTCCTACCCGTACCCCAGCGGAAGAGGCCGAGTGGATTAAGATCATCGAGGAGGGAAGCGAGTCAGCCAACAACGAGACTGACTTCCACGAAGTTTCCATGAAGTGGGAGAGCGAACCCGCCCTGGAGGCTGACCAGTATGCGATTCCATCCCCCGAGCTTTTATGTAAATAGAACTCAGAGGCTAATGATTGAAACAGGATTTCTGAGATTGAGCAGAAGATCGGTGCAGGCCTCATCGAGGAGATCATCCAGGTTGCCGAGGCCGAGTCCAAGCTTGTGGATGAGCTGTACACGGCGAAAGTGTGAGTAATAGCTGAACTCTTTCATTCATAGGGGATCGCTGACATGTTTGTATAGTTGGGAGGAGCTTGAGGAAAAGCCTGCCCCCGGTCAATGGACCTACTTTGAGCGCGGTAATTAAGAAGATACCGGAAAAAGGCTTGGAATGCCAGTTTCTGTAACTATTAGAGGATGGGATGTTCGAATAAATTTCTTCACGTTTTTCTTGATCAATACCTTCAATTGACGGCAATAATACCAATCCCATCAAAATAGTTAAAGATGTTCATACTATGCTATTACCTATCCATGTATGTAGTACCCAGTAGAGTATCTTTGATTGCAATAGACACTTCATAGTATCGATGCTTATTGAAAAAAAGAAATGCACACGTGCAAGGTTTATGCACCTAACAATGTTCAGAACCTCTAGACCTCTATTGTATATATTGTGACCAGGGCTGTAGACATCCTGATACAACACTTGGAAATTGTTGCCTTGTATGCCAAACATGGTAACCTTAGAAGGATGTAAGACCGTGGACTTGATCGGGTGCTCAGAATGTGAGGTCTCTTTTACCAATAATATTGTAATTACTATAGCTGAATTAGCATTAAAGCTGAAGTGCTATGTATTTACATGCGGGTCAGATCTTGAAAGATGTGAAAGCGGTGAGAGCGGGAATCCCCTTGTGGACACATTGATTGTCCCTGAGTCCCCTCCAGCTAAGCTCTCTTCCTAGGAAAAGCTCTGTGTTATCTTAATTCCCCTGCTGATCCCGAGCTTTGCCTGTCACTTATTCCCCCGGGCTGTCTGAGCGGCTCGTGGATTTCTCGCTCCTCAACGCCCCCAGTCGTCGCATCACACAAACACCCCGTCCACCCCACAACATGCGGCTCGACATCAAGGTACGCAGAGTCTATTCCGCTGTGGCTGCCCTTGGTAGCAAGGCGATATCCTGCCAATGCGGAGACAATTGGAATCTGGAATTGGTGAGATTGCTGACGAGAGTGTTATGATGTAGAGGCAACTCTTTGCCCGCTCCGAGCGGGTGAAGGGTATCGACTTCCACCCCACAGAGCCATGGGTAAGTCTCATTGATAATCCCCTGATGTCTTGACTCATACTAATACCTCGTCAGATCCTGACCACCTTGTACAGCGGTATGTTTGGCATGGTGTTGCCTGCGAGTGCCTCCGTTTTCTAACCCGTTCCCTGCGCCAGGTCACGTTTACATTTGGTCATACGAGACACAGGTACGTTCCGCCTGGCTCAACCATGCTGACAAAAGCTAAATATCTTTCTCATTTATTTAGTCAATTATCAAAACATTCGAGCTCACCGATGTCCCTGTTCGTGCCGGTCGATTCATCGCGCGGAAGAACTGGATCGTTTGCGGTTCGGACGACTTCCAGCTCCGTGTCTATAACTACAATACCTCCGAGAAGATTACATCCTTCGAAGCACACCCGGACTACATCCGTTCAATTGTTGTCCATCCGACTCTGCCTTACATTCTCACCGCCAGTGATGATATGACCATTAAGTTGTGGGATTGGGAGAAGAATTGGAAGTGTGTTCAGGTCTTTGAGGGTCACAGCCACTATGTGATGGGAATGGCGATTAACCCAAAGGACACGAAGTAAGCGAATTGTATCTCTATACCTAGGGCACTTCACTAAACCAGGAAACAGCACTTTCGCAAGTTCTTGCCTTGATCGAACTGTCAAAATTTGGAGCCTTGGCTCGCCCCACGCCAACTCGACCCTCGAGGCGCACGAAACAAAGGGTGTAAACCACGTCGACTACTACCCCGGAGCCGATAAACCATATCTCTTGACCACCAGCGATGATAAGACAATCAAAGTTTGGGACTACACCACCAAAGCACTTGTCGCAACATTGGAGGGCCACACTAGCAATGTCTCTTTTGCGTGCTACCACCCTGAATTGCCCGTCATTATTTCAGGTTCGGAAGATGGAACAATCAAGATCTGGCACGCGAACACCTACCGCCTGGAGCAGTCACTAAGCTATGGTTTGGAGCGCGCATGGTGTGTTGCCTACCAGAGGGGCCGACAGGGCGTTGCAATGGGTTTCGACGATGGTGCAGTTGTTGTGAAAATGGGCCGCGAGGAACCCGCAGTCTCGATGGACGGATCCGGTAAGCTCATTTGGGCCAGACACAGCGAGGTGGTCTCGTCTGTCATTAAGGGTAGTGAAGCGAGCCTGAAGGACGGTGAACCCCTTTCATTGCCGGCCAAGGATCTGGGAACCTGCGAGGTATACCCACAAACTTTGACCCATTCACCAAATGGACGTTTCGTCTCCGTTTGTGGCGATGGCGAATACATAATTTACACAGCGTTAGCATGGCGCAACAAGGCCTTCGGTCAAGCTCTGGATTTTGCCTGGGGCTCCAAGGACAACAGCAATGATTACGCCATCCGTGAATCCGCAACAAGTGTCAAAATCTTCAAGAACTTCAAGGAGCAACCCGGTGGCCTTGACGTCGGATTCCAAGCCGAGGGGCTGACTGATGGTGTGCTACTTGGCGTCAAGGGCCAAGGTGGCATTGGTCTTTTCGATTGGGAGTCCGGTAGCTTGGTCCGACGAATTGAAGTTGACCCTAAGAATGTAAGCTTGGAATACAATGGAGCTTCAAAAATGCGCTGAACTGACAATTTCGAACAGGTCTACTGGTCTGAGTCTGGCGAACTTGTCACACTCGCGTGTGAGGACGCTTTCTACGTTTTGAGGTACTCGAAAAAGGCCTTTATCGAAGGTGTCAACAACGGGGAGGCCGATGAAGATGGTGTCGAGGCGGCTGTCGAGCTTGTCGCTTCTATTAACGAGACAATCACAAGTGCCTGCTGGGTGGGAGACGTTCTCATTTTCTCGAGCTCTACAAACCGTTTGAACTATCTCGTTGGAGACCAGGTCATCTCGATCAGCCACATGGACCAACCGGCCTATGTTCTTGGATATCTCCCTCGTGATGGTCGAATCTACTTATGTGACAAGGACGTTAATGTCGTTTCATTCGGCCTGTCCCTCAGCATGGTTAGCTACCAGACTGTCGTTCTGCGCGGTGATATGGAAACAGCCGCCGAATTACTCGAAGATGTGCCCCAAGATCAAATGAACAAGGTCGCCCGTTTCCTTGAGGGCCAAGGATACAAGGAAATGGCCCTTGAAGTTGCCACAGATCCCGAACACCGCTTCGACCTGGCCCTATCACTTAACGATCTTGAAACTGCCCTCCAGATTACTCGCGACGCGAAGGTCGAGAACAGCCACCGATGGAAGCTTCTTGGCGACAAGTCTATGGAGTCTTGGAACCTTGCTCTTGCTGAGGAGTGCTTTGTCAACTCGAAAGATTTCGGCTCTCTTTTACTGCTACACACTGCCAGCAACAACCGTACAGGCCTCCGTGCCCTCGTTGCTCAAGCCTCCGAGGCAGGCCTACACAACGTTGCCTTCTCTGCTCTCTGGTCCCTTGGTGATGTCGATGGTGGCATCGACCTGCTCGTCCAGACCAGCCGCATTGCCGAGGCTGTCTTCTTCGCCCAGACTTACAAGCCCAGCCGTGCACCCGCACTTGTTGTCCAGTGGAAGGAGTCTCTTGATGCCTCAGGCAAGTCTAAGGTCGCTCGTCTGATCGGAGTTCCACCAGGAGCCCCTGATGTTGCTTCGACAGACGATGACCTGTTCCCAGAGTGGGACGAGTACATCCGTCTGGAGAAAGAGGGCGTTCCCGAGCCTCCGTCATCCGAGTCTCTGATCGATATTAACGCGGACGACGATAACGAGCCCGCAAGTGCGACAAACGGGGGTCCTGAGGTGGAAGGCGAAGCCGAGCCTGGAGAGGAGGCGGAGGAGGAGACCGAGGCCGATGCTGAGGCTGAGGAGTAAAATGGTCAGGTTATTTTCGTACATGCTCGGGCGAAGCGTTGATAGAAGAGCATTTTATTTTCCAATTGCCGAAGTCGGTTACTTCTGAATTGCGAGCGGCGTCTTAACGTGTGTCCGACTTTGTTGTTTCCTTTTTCTTTTGTGCCCCTACTATTTCCTTTGCGTTACTGTTGTAATTCTTGGCCATATTTCAATCTTGGCGAGATGCCTGAGATTGAACGAATAGAACAATGATACGGTCTCATCCATGATCCCAGCATCTTTCGTGAAGTTGTCACTTAGTCCTTAGCTCATGTAAGGAAGCCTGGATAAACCCTTGGACAATGGTTTCCAAAGTAGAACAGAATTGGTTTTCCATGGTCATAGACCAAGGATTTATAGACAGGCTTTATTTCGAACTACAATTGTCAAATCTTAAACTGTTACCACAAAGTTGTGATGCCTAATCAATAGTCAATTGGGATTGAACTCGATCTCCGGTTCTCAATTCCTCACTGGCACTGACCAAGCGGAGAAAAAAGAAAAAAAGAAACAAAGAAACAGAATAAACAGAAAATATCTAGCATAGAGGATGACACGTATACGCATATCGTCAATTCGAGGAGATGTGTTGGTACTGTCCATTGTAAACCGTCAAGGATACAGAAAATCATTCTCGCGCCCGAAACAAACAGAAAGTCAAGGCAGAGGTAATGACCGCTGGAGAATGTCGAACGGAAAAACAAGGGTTGAGGAGGAACCTGCCTAAGGAGTTTTCGATGACGCTGAGATGGATTCACCAGGAAGAAAAAAAACAACCAAAGCGCTCAATGGGGGAGGCGAGATGAGGAAACAAGAAAGATGGGAAAAAATGAATCACACAAAAGTCTCCGAGCTTGGAGAAACTTTGAGACTAGGATGCCACAGACTCCTTGGGATGGAAAGTAACAAAAGACAAGACAGAAAAAAGGAGGAAAAATGATCAAGATTGGTGATATGTGAGTGGACCAGGACAGAAAAAAAAAAAAAAAAAAAACACAGCACAAAGGAGAATCGTCTATGAGCTTCTCTTGCACATTGATCTTTCTCGATCTAGTCGAAAAGGCAGCCTGGAGCATGGTTTGTGCTTTTACTCGGGGATGCTGCCAAATGATGGGTCTTTGACACTGCCGCCGGCGTCACCGAGACCGGCGATAGGACGGTTGTAGGACCATCCAAGGAACTGTTCCTGCACGGTCTGTGACAGGGCTGGCCCATCGACATAAGAATCTTGTGGTTTCTCCGATGTGAATTCCTCATCGAAGTTGTCCGTATCACGGGCGTCCGACTAAATCAAGCAATTAGAACAAATGTCCAACATGGCGATACCGGGGAAAGGGGGATACATACCACGTTGGGACGGAAACTGGGCTCATACTTGCGCTGAAGCAGCTTGCGCCAGTCAATGTTGGCAAAGAAGTGGTGAGATTTGATCTCTGCTGCACCACTAGCACCCAGACGGCGCTGGGGGTCGCGGTCCAACAGTCGAGTGAGAAGATCCCGAGCAGCGGGCGGGACAATGTCACTGCTAGGGAAGGTCAGAGGCTCCTGCAGAATCTTGCGGTACATCTCGTTGGTATTCTCGTCGTAGAATGGAGGCAAGCCAGTCAGCATCTCGTAAAGCAATACACCCAGGGTCCACCAATCCACGGTCTTGGTGTAGCCGTTACCAAGCAGAAGTTCAGGCGCAAGGTACTCGGGAGTTCCACAGAAAGCTGAAAGAGGATTAGTTACCAAGAGCTTAAAATGAGGACGACGAGAAGTCTTACTGTTTGTTCGGTCTTCATCCTTCATATCCAACTTGCACAGGCCAAAATCGCAAAGGGCGATGTGGCCAGTGTAATCGAGCAGAATGTTCTCGGGCTTAAGATCACGGTAAATGACCTTGAAACCATGGAGACACTCAAGAGCACATAGCAGTTCTGCGGTGTAGAACCGGGCACGGTTAATATCAAACCGCTGTTCTCTTTGCAGATGATGGAACAATTCTCCGCCGTTCACAAATGCCAGCACCAGGTACAGCTTTTCAGGAGATTGGAAGGAGAACTTCAAGGGGACAATGAAAGGATTGTTGATTTGCGCAAGCACTGAGCGCTCTGCAAGAGTGTGGGTAACTTCGGATCTCGAGATGATATGAGCCTTGCGGATTGTCTTGAGGGCGTAGATCCGGCCGGTATCAAGCTTCCTGTTCCACGAAAGGGTCATTAGCAGGACGGTCAAACCGGGGGATTGGGGTGCTATCTTACACGACCTGCATGACTTTACCGAAACTTCCCTTCCCAACGACTTTCAATAAATCGAAGTCCTCCATCTTCAAACTGCGCTGCCGGTTCTCGACGAATGAAACTCCAATCTTGATAGAGCCGCTTCCAAACTGAAGGTCCAGCCACTCAGCACCAGATTGACCCCGAATGCGCTCCTGTTCAGCATGAGCGGCGGCAGCCTTCTGGTTGTCCTTTTTGCTCAACTTGGGGTCATCTATGTAAGGCTGGCCCGCCTCTTCGAAGCGGGGGTGGACCTTCACGGCGCCTAAGAAGATGTCCTCGCTGCGACCGACACCAGCGCGGGCCGCAGGGTTGCGTAGATACAGCTGCACGTTCAACTCAGTTTTCCGGGAAACGTCGAACTTGAAGGCCGTACTGTCTCCTGCCCACAGAGGGGCCTCCGGGTTACCAGACACGGCATCGACGAAGACCTGGTTCTTTTCAAAATCAAGTAGAGCGTACGGGAGATACTTGGTCGAGTAGCGGCCGTGAATGGTGGGTGCGGCATTGATACCCCCACTAGTGGACTGCGGTCGGGCATTCTGCACGTAGGAACCGGATTGTCCATGCGACGAATGTGACGAAGAGGAGGTGTTAGGGCGCAGTGACGAGGGAGCGTAGGAATTGTTTTGGAAATGAGAGTTAAAGATCTGCTGGAATTGAGGGGACAAAGCCAATCCTCGGCCTTCATGGAGGGTGACGATGAGGATACCTGGGTTCACTTGAGCCACAGGGGGGGGAAACGAGGGACTCCGAGGCGACTGGAGAGTATGAACCGGATGAATTAGCATTGATCTCGGAAAATACTTCCATCCAACTTTCCGGTGTTCCTTACCGATGCCATTTGATGAAGGGGTCGGGGGGATGCTCGGGGCCTGTGTGGCCACCGGGGTTTCATCACCACCGCCATTTGAGTCGCCCTTGATTGTTGAGGTAGACGACGACCGACCGAAACCTTGTGTCAAGGGTGCAAGGTGCGTCTCCTTCAGTTCTATATGGGTGGGTTAGTCCATCTTATTTCCCCTGAGGGTGTTGCATATGCACCGCCTCCACTGTTCAAGGAGGGGTGTCACATTGAATTTTGAGGGGTGGAAAATAGGGAGGGAGACCAACTGAACATACTTTTGGTGAGCTTCCAGGACATGATGGCGGTCTTTGTTGACTTATGTTCTTTGTATCTTGTCCAGGGGGTTGCTCAACAAGATCGAAGACCAAAGTTGACCGCGGTTGTGTAGACTGGGGTCACCAAACAAAGTCAACATCGAAAGTTCCCTTTGAAACCCACCAACGGGATCGGATCAGCGCAAAAGAGACGATCCTACCTTCACGGTCTCTTCTCTCGCTGGTTTGGTAATGGCTTTGAAAGCACTTGGATATCGAGCTCAGGGAAAAAGAATTCAAGAATAAGGCCAGAAGATATAAAAAGGAGAGAATCAGGGAAGAATTTCCAGGGGAGAAATCGAGAAATCTAACTTAAAGAAAGAGGGGAAAGTGGCGTATGTCGATTACGCTACTTATACCCCCCCGGGAGGGATTTAAAGTGCGATAGGGCTGTCAGTTTTGGTAATATTGGTATCGTGACCGTAAGGATAGGAAATTACCAGCCACAAACGAGGCAGTGCATGTATCAGCCACCAAAGGGATCCATTTTATCATAGAAACCGTAACGTTTAACTCATGAATCCATTGAGACGGAAACATTTGGTAATATCCATAAAGTCGACACGGAAACTTGAACATCTTCATCTTGTTGCTTATCTACTTTCCTCTAGCTGCGTTGTGCCAATTGCCTCCACGCGGACTAATCTCCCCCAACCCCGGTCAGCGCGGAGATCTTACCCCAGCTCTCACCCCTACCTCTACTCTCCCACTCATTGCCCTCTCACATCTCGGGAGGGCGATATTGGGATCTCGCAACGGCTTCGGACTCAGTGGAGGATGATAATGACCAAGGATCGATGGGTGTAATACGAAAGAAGACCGCCTCGCGCGGCACCGAGGCTGGCACGAAGTTCCATTGTGATGTTTGTTCGGCGGACGTGACATCGACCGTGAGTCTATTTGAGCTTCCAAGTGTGCGATTCAAATCCTGATCAGCCCCTTATTAGGTCCGTATCTCCTGCGCCCACCCCAACTGCCATGAATATGACCTCTGCGTCCCATGCTTTGCGGCGGGCGAGAAATCCAAGAATCACGACCCATCCTCCCACCCCTTTCAAGTCATAGAACAGAACTCCGTTCCCATCTTCCAAGAAGACTGGGGCGCCGATGAAGAGCTGCTTTTACTCGAAGGCGCCGAGATCTACGGACTTGGCTCTTGGGCCGATATCGCCGACCACATCGGTGGCTATCGCAGCAAGGATGAAGTGCGCGATCATTACATCGATACCTATGTGAATAGCTCCAATTTCCCTCTTCCCGACCGTGCCGATCCGGATGACCACAGCCTCCAAGATGCCATTCCCAAGGAGGAGTTTCAAACACGCAAGAAGCGACGTATTGAGGAGCGCAAGGAGGCAGCCAAGGCGGCACCCCCCACAACCCCGAAACAGAAACCCACGGCGAGTGTTCCGGCATGTCACGAGGTACAAGGCTACATGCCCGGTCGGCTAGAGTTTGAGACGGAGTTCCTGAACGATGCGGAGGAGGCGGTTCAACACATGGCGTTCGAACCGGGTGCGGGCATCGGCCCTAACGGTGAAGTGGACGCAGAGAACGAGCTGAAGATGACCGTTGTCGATATCTATAACTCGCGCCTCACGGCACGCACGGAGCGCAAGAAGATTCTGTTCGAGCACAATCTGCTTGAGTACCGAAAGAACACCGCGCTAGAGAAGAAACGGTCCAAGGAAGAGCGGGAGTTACTGAACAAAGCGAAACCGCTGGCCCGGATGATGAACGAGAAGGACTTTGACGACCTCAACAAGGGACTGGAGTACGAGCACAATCTACGTCTTGCCATCGCTCAGCTTCAGGAATGGCGCCAGATGGGCATTGGGGATTTGAAGGCGGGTGAGAAGTACGAGCAGGACAAACAGCAACGTGCGCAACGACTACTGCCCCAGGGCTCCTTCGATCGCTTTGCCAGTGCGCGTCCCAAGCAAAGCCAAATTCCCGAGACGCCCACCGCCGCGATTCAGCTCACTACCCCTGAACTTCCTCTCCGCCTCCAAAGCGCAGCAAACCCCCACAAGCTGCCTGATCTGACTGATGTCACTCCGAACGACTTTGATCAGTTCCTCCTCGGTGATGCCGCTCCACCCCCGCTAGCCAAGACGAAATATGTTGTGCAGCCGCTAAGCGGAGTTTCCCCGTGGAAGTTAGACAGCGAAGGAGCAGCCGACCTACATCTCCTGACCAAAGAAGAGGTTGAGGTGTGCAACATGCTGCGCCTGATGCCAAAGCCATACCTAGTTGTGAAAGAGACTTTGTTGAAGGAGGCAATGAAACAAGGCGGTAATCTAAAGAAGAAGGATGCACGTGCGATCTGCAAGGTGAGAGATTATCTATGCGCATAGCCATCTCGGGGGTTTGCTAACTTCTTATAGATCGAGGGCACCAAAACCAGCCGCATTTACGATTTCATGGTGCACAGTGGATGGATCAACAAGGGCTAGCTTTGATCTTATACCCTCCCTGAGACTGTGCGTTTGTTCAATATCTACCTGTGATTTTTATTGGGAGCGTTATTACTTTCTGGGCGTTTACAATGCGGGAGATGGGGAGGTGTTGATCTGATGTTCATATATCGAGGTACCCGGGTGGTAATGACACCAGTTGGAATATTATCATAATATCAAAATTGTCTTCGCAAGCGCGAGATGGCACACAGTAAAGTAACTATTGATACTAATCACCATCGTCATAATACCGCTTTTCCGAGAAAGCCATGCAATGTGGGGAGGCCCGTGGTTCAACCCTTGGTATCCTTGTCTTGGTGTCCAGGACGACCGAGATGCGGAGTTCAAGAAAACGCGGTTAGTTTCCTATCTAGGATTTACGCTCATCAGTGCGAGACTCTTGAGGATCCTGGAGGGAGACCTGGGGCAAAATCCCAGAGATCATATACATCCTTGATGTCATGACATCAATTGGGAAAGGTGAGCCAACTAATCAAATTAGTACGGGAGATCAACGTTGGCGGCTTGAAAAAGGCAGTCGGCTCTGATGCTCTATCGGCCCTCGGCATCTCCATCATTCTCCGCATTTATCGGACCCGCAACATCACTCCAACTTATAACTCTGCATTGAACCCAAGGCCACCTCGTCTGTGTCTCTTGCAAACAAACTGATACATTTTGAAACTCAAATATCTCCAAGGGAGAAAATTTACCCAAAATGCCCTTCGTTAACCCACCCCCTGCTCCTCAACATGCCCTTCTCACCTTTCCAGCTCCGCATGTCCTACTAGTAACCCTTAATCGACCTCGCGATCTCAACTGCATCAATTCACAAGGTCATGTAGACCTGCATGGGGTTTGGGAGTGGATGGACGAGGAGCCGAGTTTGAGAGTGGGTGTTATCACCGGGACAGGGAGAGCGTTCTGCGCCGGTGCCGATTTGAAAGGTATGTGGTTTATTTTGAGTTTAATTTAACTCGACTGCCCATGATTCATTCTACTACGCTCGTTGCTGGGGGTTGATCACATTTGAGAATAATTGAACTGACCGTATCTAGAATGGAATGACAACGCTGGCTCCAAGAGCCGTAGCCCCATGCCCAACAGCGGCTTCGGAGGCCTCGCCCGAAGAAAGGGCAAAAAGCCCGTAATTGCCGCGGTGAATGGTCTCTGTTTCGGTGGTGGCTCGGAAATGATCATCAACTGCGACTTGGTCATTGCGTCTTCTCGCAGTGTCTTTGGGTTACCGGAAGTGAAGCGGGGTGTGGTCGCTCTCGCAGGTGCACTGCCGCGTCTTGTCCGTACAGTTGGGAAGCAGCGTGCGATGGAGATGGCGCTTACGGGTCGGAATGTTCTTCCTAATGAGGCGGAGAGATGGGGGCTTGTGAATGAGGTTGTGGACGTGGGGGGTAAGGACGTTTCGCTTGAAGAGGGAAACCAGATCATTGTGGAGCGTGCACTAGCTATTGCTATCATTATTGCTGGTAATAGCCCTGATTCGGTGCTGGTCAGTCGGGAGGGGATTAAGCTTGGTTGGGAGGGCATCGGGGCGGATGAGGCGACGGGGATGTTGTCCGAGACTTGGGTTAAGAGATTGTATGAGGGGGAGAATATTAAGGAGGGGTTGCAGGCTTTTGTGGAGAAGAGGGCGCCTGTTTGGAAGGATAGTAAGCTATGATGACTCTCCATCCATTGTATGCGATTGACAAATGCAACGGGTACTCAATGATACAGTCTGGAACCACAAGCATTTGAGCAGTAGTTCTGACATAAGAGATATCCATGGATATACTTGCAGCACATCCATCAATTTGACTCTATTTGACGATAACAGGATCTAATTCCTAATCCATCACCCAGTGTTCCCACTTGGGCCATTCCGGGGTTCGCTCTGTCACTTTCCTAATCAGGACTAGTCTACCGGCGTTTGAAATCAGATGGCGGAAGACGCCGACAGTGAGAATTCTGAATTTAAGTATAGAATTTGCGTCTCCTCCTGTCATCTACAGTTCACCATGGCTTCCAAGTCAATAATCTCGCTTTTCCCTTGGGATGCCAAATGTGCAACCCATAGAGCATGGCTCTATAAGCAACGAGTTGAATGTAACTGGGACTATGAAAAGGTGGAAAAGGAATGGCGTGAAGAACAGATAAAAGGCACGAAATGCATGTACTGGATCGTGAGTTCTCTTGATTCCTACTTGGCTGCGAAAAAGCCTTGTATTGACTTACTCATAGGTCCGTTGCTCTGATGACTCGGATATAAAACCGGTCAGTAAAGAGAATGAAGAAGTGCTATATGACACCGCAGATTCCGTGAATGGAAGATCACGAGTAGCATCGAGAGAAGCCTTTGCTCCTATTGGCCATATTTCCTTGGATTCCAAGAACAAAGATGCCGACAGAGTTGGTCTCGATATCCCATTGGAAGGGGTCTTCTGGATCAAGAGCTTTTTCATCTTGCAGACCATCCAAGGCCAGGGAATTGGCCGTGCAGCGATGGATGCAGTTGAGAATATGGCGACTCGCGAGCCACTCTGTGCGCAGACACTCATGCTGGACACGGTGACGAGTAAGCACCAGCAACGAGAGGACTTTGCAATTTCCACTTACGGGGCCGTTCCAAAGGTGAGCACTAAAAGTATTAACCTTGAAAGTTGTCTCGATTTCTGACCCTTTTAGATCACAAACCAAGACTGGTATGGTCGTCGGGGGTATATGCCTATTAAGATCGTACCAAACTACTACGACGTGTGGGATGCGAACGGAGACAGGTGGGACATTGAGATCGTTTTCATGCGGAAGGATATTCAGTGAGAATGTATAATCAGATAAATTCCCAGATATCGTAAGATGTTGCATGTATAGTCCAAAGATCAGGCATTTGATCATGAAGTTTTATTTTGTTTGTCTGGTAAAGACTGTTATTATAATCCAGGCGACGGTCATACCCAGGAAGCAACAACTCCCGAAGGACACAGTAAGCTGGGCGATAATCTTGAGCTGTCTGATCATCAAGTCCGACATTGTCAAAGTCTGTCAAGGTGTGAGTGATTCGCAGGCAAGTCCTGGTCAGCTGCGAACCAATCAGATGCGACATCAACCATGGTTGAGTCTCACAGCAAACTATAACCAACGTTCGACACCCGTATCAACGATGCAAGTGGCTCAAGAGATCGACCACTCTCGCCCTTTGGCCCTTGGTCATTTCGTGTCTGATCAGCTGCTTTATTACGAGCTAATATATCTAGACTTTGACACCCCCTGCTCTCATAACCACACCAGATATCAAATCTCACTTGACGTCTTGAGACATTGCGATGACTGAAACTTCTGAAGTCACAACGGCGGTTGAATTCCTGGCAAAAACAGCAGGCATCATCGAAACAATCAGAACAAATCTCCTCCACAACCGACTCGACAGGAAAGAATTTCAAAAACTCCTCAGCGAATATTCCATTCGTGCCGAATCCGATGGCAAGTTGATGAATGCCGCAAGACAAGAGCCTCACTGCGCTAACCGTGGTTTATTTCTCGCCTATAATCACATGGAATTTCTATCCTGGCTGGATAAACACAACTACACCATCCCCTCAACGTCCGTGAAATGGTATAGCTGGAAGCAGCTCCAGAGCAAGAACCGAATCTCGGCTTTTTGGAGCTCTTCGCCGACGGTCGAGTTGAGGGCGTTGACAAAAAACATTGAGCGCACTGCTACTTTGGTTTATGCGGATCTTAAGGCTCATAATGTATGTTTATGGACTTTTCGTGACAGTATTCATTTGTTGATAAGATTGAAGATCTCTATTCCGGAAACCTCTATCAAATATCTTGATGTACCGGTCGGTGAGCATGTTGCGACGCCGCCAACTGAAGGTATGAACTGATCGGGTTTGATTGGATCTTTGCTGACAGGATGATGGTATAGCTTACGAGGACCTTATTGCTCGGGGTCTTGCTGCCCAGCAACATCTTGCAGGAAACAGAAAATAGGAGCAGGGATGAATGACGAAGAACCTCCGTTACCCGATGATACCAGTTGCTTTCTTTCAGCAGATATGGGAGTAATGCTGAAGAGCTCGAGATTTTGGTTTATTCAACATTCCTCACGATGGTTTCAATGAGATCAGATTATGGTCCGGAAATACATCAAATGATGGTTTACTTTTGACTCTCTCAGGTAGGCCCTCTCGGCTACCAATATCTACATGTTTTCAGAGTTCCCCGCAATTGACCGGTGCACTAGTGGAGGAAGGTTAATGGTGGCGCATGTTAGTGAAACAGACCTGGGTACACGGACATGTAATTGGCTACTCGCCGATCCAAGGAATATTACTTTTCCGAGCTGAACCTGGAGTGTCGGGCAGCAACGTAGGAATAATACCCGGTGAGCTGAGAGGGGAATCGACATGTTGAAGCGAATGATGTTACGTAGGTGGAGTCGAACTTATGATGCAAAGGTGGTTTCGGTCTCTGAAGCGGTGATTCTCGGAATTCGAGATCAGTCTGGCACGCCGTCATTTTCTATATCAGATTTTGATATAGAATTCTGCGGGCAAGGCCGGTTGACAGTCCGGGTTGATGCCGAGGGGTGGATCCCTGTCGGTACCCTGGGAATTGCGTAGGCATTGCATCAGCGTTGTACGAAAAACCACATGCATCATGGGTTACGGCAGCAATGGGAAGAGCACCCCGTCCTAACTACGAGATCATCGTGATATCATATTGTTTCAGTTCAATTGTCAGGCTAATTCATACATGCAAGAATCGTAAAGTCATCAAATAAAAATAGTGAACACAAAGTAAAACAAACACAAAAGCCATTGCACCGTGGCGCCGTGTATGCCCTATTCCATGCGACAGGAAGAATACATAGAGAAAGCTTCTTAGATGCGGGGCTGACCCGGAGCCCTATAGTCGATCAGTTAGTCTCAACCCCAATGCAGGAGGCAGATTTCAACCTACTTTGCCTCGGACTGCACCCGGTCGATCACCTTCACCACAGGCTGGAATAGAGGGTGCTCCCGCTCCAAGCCTGTCAGTTGAACAGCGGCATCACTCGGGGAGTTCTCCTTGAGGATCTTGGCTAGTTCCACACTCTCGTCATCACCCTCGATGTTCTGGAAGCGTAGCGCCATCTCCACTGATCCCAGCAATGCCTCGAAACGTGCATGACGGTCCGCCAATTGCGCGGCAGGTCCAATGAATCGTTCCTTGCGACCCAGCTTGCGCATCGGGGCCCGACCAACACGCTCGACGCTATCTTCTAAGTAGGGGTTGGAAATCCGGTTGATGATAGTTTCAACGTAGTGCTGCTGTTCCGAGGCAGTGATTTCATGCTTGTCAACAATGAGCGAGGCCGTCTCGTTCAGGACATCCCGGACAACACCCTTAATGTAAGAATCACGCATCGCCTCGGCGATAGTCTTCTTTCCGGCATATTTCCCGTAGTAAGCGGCGGTCGCATGACCAGTGTTGACGGTGAACAGCTTGCGCTCTATGTAGGGCTCGAGATCGTCGACCCAATGAATCGCGGCGATCTCGGGGTGTCCCACATCGCCAAAGGGAGTCTTCTCAACGACCCATTCGTAAAACTTCTCAATGCGCACATTGAGTCCCGCGTCGGCGGGCTGGGCGGGCACGATGCGGTCAATCGCCGAGTTGGCAAACTGGGCTCGCTCGCCGAGAGACTCGACTCGGGCCGGGTCAGTGTTGTCCTTGATATAGCCGTGCAGGGCGTCGGTGCCACCGATCATGTTCTCACAGGCAATGACAGCCAGTGGCTTAGGGGTGGATCGGATATCAATACCCTTGGCGATGACTGGCGCAATGAACTTGAGGATGTTGGGGCCCACGGCGCAGGTGACAACGTCGGCAGTGGAGATTTCCTGAACCACATCTTCTTCATGGGTCTTGGAGTTGATGGCGCGGTAGTTGGTAATAGTCTTGGTGTTTTCCCCCTCCTCACTGACCTCAGTGACTTGGTAAGACTTAGTGGATTGCAAGGCGGAAATGATGTTGTCCATCACATCGATGAAGACGACTTCATAGCCGGCCGTGTGAAGAAACTCCGCCACAAAGCCACGGCCGATGTTGCCGCCGCCAAAATGGATCGCTTTCTTGCCCATGATTGGATAGTAGGATGAGAATGAAATAAGAGGCAATGGTATAGATCCAGATCAGAAAAGGGTGTGGGTGAGGAATGGGAAGGGGAAAGGCTTGCAGTATTTAAGAAAAAGGAAAGTGTAAGGGGGAATGAGGGGTTTATTTGTATTTACAGACCAAAAGAGAAAGAACGGAATTCTCGTGAGTTTTCCAAGGAACGCAGCTGCTGTTTGGCTCTATCCCAAGTGAATGACTTCATCGATTGGGGGGCGCACGGAACAAGCCTCCGCCTTGTTTCGGTCCCAATCAGCAATGAGAACATCATTATGCTTTCGCGTGGTTACTCCGCCCTTCTCGAACAATCCCGTAGTGTAACATTTTGGAATGTCCCACCCTGAAAGAGGGTATTAATCTAAGTCCTGATCTATGATACTGGGGTATATGATACCAGGCACCAGAGGGTCACTGGCCTGACGTCGGGCACCTGAAATCACGGTGGACGCTTGCCCTCATTTGGCTCCAAGATTTATCCCTCATGGTCTCTGATTCCAATATGATTTGCTCATGCGCAAGGGAATCCCGAGCATCCCAAACTGATCAGACTCAAATTCGTGATCGCGGGAAATCCCGTATCTACGTCAGAACTCCGCCCGAGAATCATCGAGAATCATCGCGCCGACCGGACCTGACCCAAACCCCGGGATTCCGGAGCACTGTGTTCCTGCGCGGGCTTTTGTCGAATCTGATATTCAAAATCGCCCACAGACATTGAACCTGATCGACTGCCCATTCCCCACTTCCTTTTTGGTACGGCTGACAGGCCGCCAGCCCCAGTTTTCCCCCGTTAGTCGCAGATGAGCACGACTTGGTTCCGAGGTTTATTCGAGTCTACTTTGTCGTCGCGTCTCTCTCCCTTCCGGGTTGCATGGCCTAATTGATCCTGTTACCGAGAGATACGTTCCGCGCGTTTTCTTCGATTGGTTACTCCCTCCCCTAGCGCAGGATTGGGTGAGAATTACTCCGTCGAGTCGCCATTTAGGACTCTGGCATACAGTCTAGGCTTGGCTCATTTCCGTCCCCAGGAACTGGACCATATGTGATTGGTTTGAACACGGTAATTTGGTTTCATTCAGGTGGCATCATCTCATATTCCGAAATCAGTCCAAGGAGTTACGCTTGAATCAGTGGACGAGTTTCCCCGAACCCTGCATCTCATACCCATTGGGATGGGAGTGCATGAGCGCACTGCCCTCTTCTACCCCTCCAACTCCTTTAACCCCTCCTCCTCATCTTTCGGCGGCTCCACGTGCGGACCCCGGATAACATTAATCAAACTAACGATGCTCCCCGCCAAAAGTAACCCAGCAGCCGCCCAAGTCATGCCGAGGAACTTCGACCCGTAGCTAGCCGACACGTTGGATCCGTCCCCGTGGGCATTGATCAAAGCCACAAATTCGAACGCTACTACCGTCGCAATAATAGATGCTATGCTCATACTCAGGGATCCCAGCTGACATGGTTAGCTGAATCTGTCTCACCGGCAGAGGTGCGAGCACAAGGAAATGGATTGCGACTTACCACAAAGAATCCAAACTCAAATGGCCCCCGCTGCACCCTCCGCGAAATGAGCGACGACACCCGCACGAGGAGAACGGCACCCACCGCGCTCACGCCGATGCAGTACAGCACTGCCATTGATTGTGTCGTGAGGCGGAAGGCGTGGAAGTCGTCGCTGATCACGCGTGGCCATTCGAGTGTAGGTCCATGTGTTATGGCTTCCGACCAAGCGTCGGTCGGGTCAAATGAGAAAAGAATCTGGCGGTCCGAACACTGCGTCACGTTGCGCGCGCTACCTGGCGTACCTGGTTCGACTGTGCCCAATGTCCCTTGGCAGTATGACATGACATGGATGGAGTAGAACTCATGGATACCAGAGGTGGATCCGCCTTCGGGGGTGTAGAGCTGTGAGATGAATGGATCAGCTTGAGGACTTGAACTTGCGTGGGAGATGGTTGAAGTGCATTCGCAACTTACGGTGAGAATGTCCGCTCCATCGAGCAGGTTCCTTTGCGTTCCTGCGAATAGGCAGAGAAGCGTGAGGATGAACGCGATAAACGCTGCCGCCACTGGGAACAGACCCTTCAAATTGGGTCGAGCCATTTCAGCTGAATGAGGCTATGATTGTCAGTACCGGCATAAGAATCTCGTCAGGGAGACCGTGTATAACCCAGAGGACTAAACGACAGACTGAAAGATCGGATAATAAACAAGATCTAATCGGAGTCCCGAAGCTACATAGAAACAAAGATGCACATTAGTATATGGAAAACATACTATGATCGAATAACCTACCTCAAGACGCTAAAACAAAACCTTCCTGATTCACACTCAAAGACTTTGACTTTCCAGCTTGCAGACCCTTTATATCACCACACAGTCCTATACCATGAATGCACGCCATCATTCTCAATGTGGGCTAGAAGGTAGGAGCATGCGATGCCAGGAGCGCGATCCCACATGTCGGGGGGCTGTCATCACGGGGATTCAGGATCAATCGTCCGGGGCATTTTCATCGGGGGATGAGAATGACCGGGTCAGGGTAGATCCATTATCCGATGGGGATCCTGAGTTGTGTTTGGCTGGGTTGGAAGGGGTTCGCGGGTGGGTTGGTTGAGGAATGTTGCCAGCCACTGGAGGTCTTGCACACCACCGACTGGTAATTTGAGGATGGATTGTTAGGTCACGCATCCTTAATTATAATTCTTGATTTATTGCTTTGCTGAGGATTATGATTTCTGTTTTCCCCTTTCAAATTTGTGCCTTGTTGCTTGGGTTGAGTAGTTCCATGTAGACTATATCCCGGCAGGGGGCTTCCGCCATGTCGACAGCTACACCTCTTGGAATAGTCAACTTGCACTACAGAAAGCTTCAACTCGCATCTCACTACAAAAAGAAAACAGTGACAAAAAATCAATCATGGGAAAAGCTTTTTAATGGTCTGCGCATGGGAAGAATGCAGGTTATAGAAACTACCAAATTCGGTAGAGTTCGGTGTTCAATTGAGCTATAGCCTCTCTAATTAACAATTGATATGCGTTAACTGTAGGGCTAGCCTCCAGACTGCCATGTGTATGGACAGGAATACCTGCCAATGATCACGCAGCAAGCCCACGGGACCAGCTGGACGTCAATATAGACGCAGGTATATGACACCCCTACAGTAGGGATTTTCCCTGAGCTCAACATTTTATGACTCTTATTTCTAGACAAAGCCCAGGTAATTCTATTCCCAGGCGGGCATACAGTCATAGGATGGAAGCGATGGTGAAAGGGAATTTCCTTTGTGGGTATGGAATGAGGCTATACACAATATACTACTTTCATGTACTACGGTGCCACCTTTTGCGGACTCAATCTTGCCTTTCTCGTACTTATTGACCGTTCTACGTTTATTGATACTATATTTGTCCAAAATGTCCATGAACCGTCGCGATTGACATCCAGGCCTTCAGCAACCTAATTCAACATAATTTCTTTGATGACTCCACCTGTCGTCCAGTTATCAATTCCGACCCGTGCAAGGAAACCAGGGGATGCCCCCTCATTGATTGAAAGAGCCAGATCGCTCAGTCGAGACAGTCTTACATCCTCGAGAACATTGGAAGATCATCAGATGACTTAGATCTAATTGCTTTGTCATTGATGACAATTCCTTCTTTGGGGATCTGCATGCGAAGTATGCTGGATTGTATGGCGGAGTGAATCATGATCACACATATCTCGGATGGGACATGATCTCGATGATGGTGTTTGAATCTGGGTGTAGCCATAATCTCAAGTCTGTTGGGTAGGTAGTATTCCCAAGATTGGCTTGTGGCGAAATGAATGATTCGAACGATCCCGGCATTTTCATAGACTATGACATTGAATTTCCAATTTTTTTATATTTTCCTTTTGTTTCTCACCCTCTTTGACTTCAAGTGCCAACCCTGTTAGACAATTTCTCATGCTAGCTAGTCTACTGCAATCCACATGTTTCAAGCGGCATCACACCATCGGGAAATATGGTGATTCAGCGCACCAGTTGACGTCTTTGACTCTTAAGAGGGGACCTGGCCGCCGCTTTTACGAGCATTAAAACTCATCTCGTGTCCAGATGGCGGAAAGCCCGGTGGTGGCGCAGGAGGCCATGTCATGGACTTTTGACTGGTTTCTCAGGCATGAAAGTTCCCATTGGAACGGGTCAGTGGTGACGATCAACCAATCGAATGTCGGAATATCAACGGTGCCTGTGCTTGGCCATGGCTACTTTTCTTTGGTGTCATTGGATCATGACTGTTCACGACTTCTTTACCGGAGGTATCTGCGATTCTAATATAGTCTTTGAAGGCCAGTGATGGTGCTTCCGAGGGTTTTCCGGCATCCTTGCAATCAATCCATTTCATTTGGTCGTTGTTAGCACGATGTGTAACCTTGACCATGAAGTCCATGCATGGAATTGACGAAATCTGACGAAACCTAATGAACTGCTGAGCCACTCATTGGCCTTTATTTCGCCCACATGAAAAATGGAAGCCATTGTATTCGTGAATAAGAAGCGCGGGGCTGTGGAACCAGGGTGTGGATGACGGAGAAAGCTGGAATGTAACGGCGACATGGGCCGATATCATTCACGCGTAAGGTAGGTAGCAGTGTTGGGTGGAGTTCTAGATCTCCGCTGAATTTGCTGCATGTAGAAGAAATGGGTAATATTATTCATTTGTTCTATTGTTTTACAGAGTCCTCACACCCAGTTTGATAACGGGGCCCGGGGAGCAGGGCTGGTCACGTTTACGGGTTTATTTCTCTCCGCTGTCGGGCACGAATTCCCTGGCTGAACCATAGTATTATCTCGATCGGCATCCTCATTTTCGATCATCCAAATGTATGGTAGAGTCAGGGGCAAAAGAAGGGAAGAGCACGAGAAGACGTGCCGCTTTTCCGAAATCGTCAGCTAGAACAAGGGGGCCTTAATTGCAAATTCCGGTCAATATCGTTAGTTGCCGATCTTCGCGTCTTCAACAGCCCGACGCTGTGTCTCCAAAAGGGATATGCATTAGGCCAGGGAGGCTGTGTGACGTGTGTTTGGAAATGATTTGAGTGGGCCCGGCCCATAGTGTACAGTATGTACTCATCATCGGGTTCAAGGGAGCGCGAAACTGATGGCCTGCCGGGCTTTTCGGCAATCAAAGACGACATGGTAAGCACTTTCCCCAGCAAGGAAACCTTCTAGAAATCGGTCGGGCCTCAGAGGCGTGATCGTGTACAGCGGGTGGCGGTTCCTGCGGCTCGGTTGGATCGGTATCCCCTGGGGCGCAGAGAAGGTACATGTCATTCTCGTTAAATCTTATTGGTTGGGCACGTGCAAGCTGCTCGACGATCGCCTAGCTCCCGGTGCAGACCCCTGGTATTCAAGTAAACAAAGTCTAATACCCAGACCTGCGTCAGCCTCTGGTGGATTCATGGTAGTTGCCTTCTCGGGCGCAACACGAGGTGAGCTAGGCTCCCAATAGTTATAGCTAGGCTGAGATGAACGTGTCCAACAATCGAAAAAATAAAAAATAAAAGATAGAAGATAAAAAAGAAATCAAAAAACAAAAAACAAAAGCCACAAAGCTCTATATGCTAAATGGGATAGCGCCTTGGAAGACAGCTCATTGGGCTCCAATTTTCATTGCAGTGAGTGAGGGTAATGGCAAAGATATCACGCGAGCACACAGTTATGTACTCATTGTGCGGTCCCGCAGTCTTTCATGGAAATCTAACGGGTCAGTGGAGCCATCGAGCGCAGCAATTACAAGCGCGGAAGATTGACTTGACAGAGAGCACATCCACAGGGGAAGCCGCCCCATGCGACGCGCAGAGTCGGGCCAAGAGGCCGAGATTGCAGGGAATTTCTTGGGCTATTGGAGAAAACACGTTAGATAGGAGGGGCACCACAACGGAGTCCGGCGCTAAGGGTACCATGTGCGCGCATCCGGGGATATGACTGGCCGATGGGGCACCTTTCCCCCAGATGCTAGCGTGGAGTTAAAAAAAGCCAACCAGCGACGTCAGATCTCTCGAGGGTCCGACAGGCCATGCAAGGACGGGGATCCATCAATGCACCTAACCACTAGGCAGAGTGATGCAACTCCGGGTGATCCGCACTAGTAACAGAGAGGAAAGTGCGCACGTGTGCACACGCGAGCTGTCATTGCATCGCCCAAATGCATGAAATCGAGGGTTCCCCGGACTGTGAGAGAAGGTTCGTCATCGAGGTCAACAGATACGAGCTGATCTGGTGGATGATCGCTTGTTGTTGGTCGGATACGAACAGCGTTGTGACTGAACTGATCCTGACAAGACCTCACGCGAGCAGTTTTGTCGGTCTGGGGCTAATCGCAAGTTACGATGGAGTCGGGAGTCAGAGCTACAGTGTTCCCCACTTCGCCGATCCTGGTTCCCAGTATCGCAGGCGGTGGAGTCTCTGGGCGCAGAGATTGAGCGATTCTGCCACCACGTGCGGCGATCATTGGTTGAGATTCCTCACTTTGCTCCATCAGGATCCACTTGCACCTTCTGTTTTCGTTCGAGTGCGAACCGCAGTTAAAGAAGTCTCGGAGGGCGGTTTTCTTGGTTTTTCTTGGTTTTGGTCGAAAAACCGAAGCTGCGAGAATGGGTGGAGCTTGCCACTTTACCATTAAGGCTGACTGGAGCGGGGCCCAGTCTCTTCCGTGAATCCCGTTACCTTTTTTCACAAAAAATATAAGATCTTGAAATCCACGCCGGATTTGGCTCGGTCACCCCGAATTTTTTTTTGTGGTCAAACCACCTGCTTCCTCACATCCCCTCCCCCTCCCTCGAACATTCTTCGGTTTTGGACTATTGTCCACAGCCAATCCTTCGTGCCCATCGAGCTTCACAATTCGCCATGGCCGACTTTGGATTACGGGCCCCTCATGGGCCCGACATGACCGGCACCCACAACCCGTTGGAGGATATGGATACTCATGAGAGGGGTGCTTTTGACGAATTGATTCGTCCGGACGATAGCTATACAAAGGATGGAACATACTGGGCTGATTTGCCACTTGGTCAAAAGATCAAGTTTGTCGGCTCCTACGATGCTGCTGAGACCAGGCGAGAACTTGCCAGCATTTGGGAAATGATCAAGGTTGATCCCCTTTCGCCATTCTCATATTACTTCCGCAATATGGTCCTGCCTGGTGCGGGTCTTGGTCTGGAGGGTTATGTGCTGTTCTCCATCGGCAACATCAAGCCGTTGTTCGAGAAGACATTCCCCGAATGTTGGGATACCGCCACTACGTGCAATCAGCAGTGGCTCAACGCGGTCGAATATTTGGAAATCATTGGTATCATTGTTGGCCAGATTTTGGTCGGAATCATCGGTGATTGGTATGTCTCCAACCGAGGGCAGCGAGAGAAACAAAGAAGACTAACAAGGATACAGGTTGGGACGTCGGTGGGGTTTGATTCAGGATGCCTCTATCATGTTTCTCGGTCTGATCATGCTTACGGCTGCGTGGGGCACAACCATGAATGGTTGGGTGATCTGCTATGCCTGGTCGTTGTTCTTCTACAGTATTGGAGTTGGTAAGTTGGCTCTCAGCATTCGCCACTTGGCAGTATTGGTGGAACTAACAAATCACTAGGCGGCGAATACCCGATGACTGCTACCAGTGGTATGGAGAACGCAGTAGGCTCTGGCAAGATCTCGACCAAGGAAGATCGCCTCCACCGAGGCCGCAAGGTTACCAGCGCTTTTCTGATGCAGGGCTGGGGTCAATTCTTCAACCAGGCCTTGCTTATTCTCCTGCTGTTGATTTTCCACCACGGCAGCGGCAACAACCCCTACTCTGCTGTTTCGACCCAATGGACATACCGTATCTCCTTCGCCCTCCCGGCCGTTGGGACCCTGTGGCTTGTCTACTACCGTGCCTACCACATGAAGGCGGCGAGTAAGCAATTGACCTCCGCAAAGAAGAAGTCCTCGGTCACTGGTTACGACGTCGACTCTCTGCGCCTTACTTTCAAGTACTTCGGTCCCCGTCTGATTGCGACTGCTGGTGCCTGGTTCTGTAACGACGTATTTTTCTACGGCAACAAGCTGTTCCAGAGTGAATTCATCTCTGTGATCAGTCCATCCAGTGACTCAATAATGCCCACTTGGTTGTGGAGCTTGGTCAATGTGGGTGTCTCCCTCGTTGGCTACTACTGTGCTTCCTTTGTCATCGACAATAAGCTATACGGTCGCAAGTGGATGCAGACGTTCGGTTTCTTGATGTGTTTTGTTTTGTTTGTGGTGCCCGCTTTCCATTATGAGTACTACACCTCCCCCGAACACATCAAGGAATTCCAGGCCATGTATTTCCTCAGCTCGTTCTTCAACCAGTTTGGCCCGAACAGCGTGACCTTCCTGGTTGCTGCTGAGGTATACCCCACACCCATCCGTGCTACTGCTCACGGTCTGTCTGCTGCGGCTGGTAAATCCGGTGCTCTCCTGGCAGCCGTTCTCTACAACTACATCTCTGACCAAACAAAATTCCTGGTCGTCCCTTGGTTCGGTTTGGCGGGTGTTGTTCTGACTTTGGCCTTCCTGCCGGATACCACTGGTCTGGATCTCAAGGAACAGGAGCGTCGCTGGCAGTATCTCCGGGAGGGTCGAGAGCAAGAATACCATGGCCCTGCCGTCCACCCCAAGCACCTTTCCTGGTATGAGCGCTTTGTCCTGCGCCTCGACCGCAACTACGATGCCGAGCAGGATTACCAGCATAAGGTTGAGGAGTACCGCCTTGAGTGGGAGGCTGCCATGGCCTCGAAGTACGCTGAGAAGGAAGTCGGTGATGACAGCGTCGAGGACACTGATGACTCGCTGCTCGAGGGCCATGTCCACACCTACTTCCACCGTACTAGCCCTATGTTCAAGGGCATGAGTCCCCTGGAGAAGCCTGGATCTTCCAACCGGAAAGATGACTTCACTTTGCCGCCCGCTGCTGAGGTGGACGAAGATGCTTACACCAATGCCGAGCGACACGATAACCCCGCAAACGTGCCTGCCACTTCCGAGGCACAAAACACATCATCCAGTGCCAACGGGCATACATATACTAGCGAGCAGCGCACGCTCTCGAGCGAGTCACATACATTTTCGTCGAGTGAGAAACACTCATAGGATGATCAAATGAGATCTTCCAGTACATATTCCATACATTTTTGGCAGGCTTGTTTGTTTTATTTTGGGACGTTAGGAAAAGTGTTCTTGGGTTGTTTACATTGAATCAAGCGGCTCACCGCCTGCTTTGGACATTGCATGACTTGCATTGATTTGGCGCCTGTTTTATAATTAGATGTTGATACCTTCACATACCCAGCTTCGGCTTGAATGATCATGGATTCCATTGATTGGAATCTAGTCTCGAATTCTCAACCCTTGATTTTGTAAAAATCCGCAATCTAGAACTCAAGTGTGGGATGTGGTCAGCCCGCTCGATCGCGGCAAAAAAGAAAGCGAATATACCTGACTTAAGCTCACTACTAGCTTGTCAGCCGATCTCACGCTCCCGAATGAAATCACTGGGACAGAGTATCTTTTGCAGAGACTTACAAGTTGTGGTCAAGCCTGCTGATGCATGAGTTGGATGCCTACTGTAGTTAACTAGATGAGTGCCGCTCCTACTGTTATGTAATCACTAAGGCGGCAAGAAGTGGATCTCAAACTGGAATGGCCATTGAAGCGTAAAATGCGATATGAAGCATCGTCCCCGGCTTGATACGACGCTAATTGCAAATAGGCTGAACAAACACATAGAAGGTGGAAATTGAAAGGGCAAAAAGATCAGCACGCAGATGAATCTCTTTGCTTTCGGCTCCAATGGGTCCGGACAATTAGGTCTTGGCCACACAGAAGACGTGTCTACCCCAACACAATGCCTCTTCACAGCACCCTTTGCAGCATCCGCTGAGAATCAAGGCCAAAACCCAGTGAGCCATGCGAAAGACAAAATCGTTCAGATCGTCGCTGGAGGAAACCATACACTCCTCTTAACGCGACAGGGTCATGTCTATGCGGCGGGGTACAATTTGGATGGACGCTGCGGACCAGATACACACATCGACCTCTCAAACGACCAAGCAAAAGACGATACAACGAGACTTCAAAGTGAAGTGAGCAACATTTTAAAATTTCAGCGTGTGATTCTCACGGATTCCACAACTGGATGTACCGTTGACACCTTTAAATCCGTTTCCGCGACATGGGAGGCGTCTATCCTTATCGCCAGTGTATCAACACGGATCAACACCCCCGGTAATCATGATGATCACACTATCTACAATGATAAAGTCTTTGTCCAGGGATCGGCTCTGAAAGGTGAACTCGGCCTCGGCGATAACACCCTAACGCACGGCACGTCCGTGACACCGGGTACGTCGATACCTAATTTCCCTCCGCTCGGCACGACAGTCTCTGCGCTGGCAAGCGGGATGGGGCATTCAGTTGCTATTCTCTCGAACGGAGATGTCTACGGATGGGGCGGGTCCCGGAAGGGTCAGTTGGGCGAGGAACTCAAGGGGGCCAAGATTGTATGGTCGCCAATGCAAATCTCGGGAATTCCGTTTCCTGCTACGGGCGCTGTGTGTGGCCGCGAGTTTACGGTTGTGATTGGAAGGCGGGAGAAGGGGGAGTTTTTGGTTCTCGGCGATAAGGGAAATCGGTGGGGAGTTTTGGATGTGAAGGATTCTGATGCTTTACGGGTACGGATACGAGGTGAAGAAGGCGTAGAAGCTAGTGTGGATTCCTCTTGTGCTCCTTCTACTAGCGTTTGGAGTGGGGCTGCATTGTGGGGATTTGAGGATATTGGGGCAAGTTGGCATGGGATTTATGTCCATGTGGCTGCGCTAGCTGAAGGTTCTTCATCCCCTGCCGTTGTAAAGGAGAATTCGCTTGTTGCCTGGGGCCGCAATGATCGCGGTCAACTTCCACCGCCTGGTCTTCCTGCTATTAACAGGCTTGCCGTTGGCAGTGAGCATGTCCTTGCGCTCTTACAGGATGGGTCCGTGGCCGCCTTTGGGTGGGGCGAGCATGGAAATTGTGGACCGGATACGGATCCCCACGGCAATGTGGCTGGCACGTTTCAAATGATTTCGCTACCAGATGCTGCGCATACTGCTGGTGGGAGGGTCGTTGAGATTGGAGCTGGATGTGCAACAAGTTGGGTGATTGTGGAATGATCACAGCTTGGAGCTTGCACCCGAGTGGAGTTGGTGTCGACATAATAAATTCAATGACAAACTCTAGTCAAAAAGACCCATGCCGCGAACCTAGGCGCCATTAGACATACCACCCCCTCAAGTATAGAATGAAAAAACTTACCTGCGACATGCGTTGCGTTGGGGGGATGCCCATGTCATCCTCTGCTGTCTGATTTCGTCGTCGTTTTGGCTTCGGGAAATCTGGCTCCGCATCACGAAGAGTTCCTTCGAGTGGCGTCTGCGTTACATCAGCTATACAATCCCTCAATCAAATAGACGCTTCAACATACCTGACCAGTTGCATCCCACCCAAGAATATCCTGCGGCTCTTCCTTGGGGATCATTTCATCCCATTGATCATCATCTTGTGACACAAAGAGGCTATCAAACTCCATCGACTCTGATGCTGCCAATGCCGAGGGTCTTTGCGAAGGGGGGTTGCGAGAAAGACGGTCCTGCGTTGAAGACCCATGAAGTGGACGTAGAGGCCTATTCCGTGGCGGAGGGGGTGGCATCGGTGTATTCTCTGAAGCACGGAGTGAATCATCTCTTGTCGAAGCCTGAGCAGCTGTAGATACAGGAGCGGGTGTCCGCCGCGAGAGCTGCGATATCGTCGCTCGTGATGAAGACGGTGCATCGTCGGGGTCTCCTTCACCGCGAGTCATAAGGGTGAACTCCGCTTTGATACCTGGAATTGCATAGGCCAGTTGCATTGGCTTACAGGGTCGGGTAAATTGTGCTGTGATTATGGCCATTCCCGTTTCAGCATGAATCACTACCGCTTTGAAATCTTTCAGATTAATAGTGATGTGCATGTTGTCCTCCACGGAATATTCTTCAAAATCCAGCTTGGCGGCGGCAACCGAGGTGTGTATCGGATTTTTCAGAATTTCTATACACAGCATTAGACATGTCAAGACGAAGAAAATTCCAGAGATCAGAGTCTTGAGCGATAGCGTACCGTCTCCATCTGCAATTCTCTTCGTAAAGCTCGTGAACACAGCCTGTTCATCATCGCCATACAGGTCCAGCTGCTCTGCAGATGCACTGAAGTGATCGACGATCTGCTTCAAATATCGAGGATCCGCAGACCAACTATTCGTTGTTTTGCTTGGATCAAACATGGCATGCTGAATCGCAGCCGGTTCATAAGTAAGCTTATATGATCTGATCACACCCATGGCGCAGTCCATCCTGATATTAAGTCGGCATTCCGTCTGGTGGTAGTCTTCATGAAGTTCTATATGACAGGCTTCTATCGCCGTTTCTTTGCCTCGATCAACTTTCCCTCGGAAAACAGAGAGCAGCGCCTGAACAATAAGGTTAGCAGACATTCGCGCTGCAATAGAGAAAACCAAAGCTGTATCTCAGTGATGTCCATACCTTAAGCAGTATTTGACAATAAAATCGATCGCCGCCGCCCTGGCCATGGAACGAATACCCATTGCTTCTGCTCACGCTAAATTCGTACTTCTGGAAGAATTCTTCCCTGTCACACACGAAAGAGGCAAAGGCTGTCTTGGTAGAATTGAGGACGCTCAATCGGAGCTGATTTCAGAGATCAGGATTAATGATCTTTTTGACGGCAGGTCAACGAGGGGAGCTTACAAGGTCTGGCTCGGCCTCGAGGGCGACGGTATCACTGAATTTGGCTAGGCATACGAAGATATCATGGAACCGAACAATGGCATCCGGATCCAGTGTGAAAGTCAGGGATGTCATGTCTGATGCTTATGCGAAGGCCCTTGTGACTTGGCCATGACTGATCTGACGAGATCTGAAGATTCAAGGTTGTCGCGATTCGCGTCCCTATCGCGAACGCGGATTACATAAGCGAGTCCACCACGAAGATGGATTCGCGAGTCTAGCGCAAAGGTCCTTTCCTTTGTATGGTTACTGTGTGAACAGATAATTCTGGGCATTTGGTCCTGGCTATCGAGAGCACAAGGGCTACCTCGTTTTTTGAGTCATCCAAGACTGCTAAACCACCTGTGTGATTTCTACGGCATAGTCAACTATCAGTGATCACTAAGTTAACGTTATGTTATACACCTGATATTATCTCATCAACGTTTTACCACAATAACGTTTATACATAGCACACTATTTCAAACCCACTCAGACTCATCTGAAAAGTCCTGTTGAAGAGAGAAAAAACCAAAGAAGAGAGGGGGAGGGATGTATAATTTGCGCAATTTGAAAAATCATAAGCCAATTCCTGACAATTCTGGGTCTTGAGCGCATTGTCGCATTGTCGTAATATGCCAAAATGACACAACTCAAGCTTTTTATTGCAAGTGGAACATCAAATTCTCACGGGCTACACTTTGAAGCATATTTCCTCAGTGACTCCCCATTTATTATATCTCTGGTGTGGGGAGAAAGAACTTGGTGACAATCCCCCAGGTCAATTCAAACAGATTCTGTGGTATTCCTGGAGAAACCCATCGTTCGTGTGGAAACATTCGATTCACTTATAGTGGGTTCTCGGCTTGGGCTCAGAACAGACATAGCCCGAAGCGCAGCACGGATGTCCCCCTTGCTGCGCGCCTTCCAGGAGGGATAGCCCTCTTGGCTAAGGGAGAACAAGACGAGATTTTCTGTGCGGCTCCTGAAGTCCTCTACATCAGGAGGTGGAGTGGCGGTGATTATGTCAAGCTCATTCGCAATCTGACGACAGTATGTGGTGGGGGGGGGAGATCGTTGACGTCCTCTCTAAAGTGATTTTCGATCTCGCTGCCGATGGTGAGCAGGCCAAGGATTATATACGCCGCAACTATAGATAGAAGTCATAAGCGACACTACTTCAGAGCTATATCACAATTGGCTTACCCATGGAAGCAGGAATGGTCGTCCAGTGCAAGGATTTGTAAAGTTGACATGGAAGCAGCAGCACATAAATCCAAGAGATTTGCGAGGTGGAGATACTATATGCTGCCGGTGATGGAGTGTCTAACACACGCTCTGTCCCCGTCAGGATTTCATTTAGTGTGGACACCATTGTCACTGCGGGAATCGATCAGTAACTCCCAGAAAGAGGGCCTTGCTGCACCTACTTGCTTGGCCCTGGTACTGAGCCAGGGAGAGTGTGCCATTTCTCACGCATGATTTGATATAGGCAGATAAATGAATTAAAATCTCAATGGGAAGATGTCCCAGTGGTTTCTTCGACCTCTTAATCAATTTTCGTGGGTTTGACTTGGCAAATGAAAGCCCTTGATACTCCCCGACGGACTTCCATGGCGTCTTTGATGGGGGATGCACGATACTCCGGTCATGGGCTTGAATGGTAAAGGTGTCCAAATGGGCAATTAGGCCAGCCATATTCTCGTATGCGACATCGGGCTCGAAGCGAAGTTTGTGTTTTAAAGCGACGGCAAAAGCGAGGATAAGGTCCATGGCAGACCTATGCACGGTAGTTATTCATCCATCGATCATCCAGACGGGCTTTACATACCGCTTCCTCAGTATATCCACCTTTCCCTCTTCTCCCTCTCGCTCACCGAAGTGCACCCAGATGATGCGGGATAAGCTGCATGACGTCTGAATTAGCGAAGCCCAGTATTTGCGTCCGTCTGCTCATCTAAATCAAGTCAATTTGGGCTACCAAGTAGACGTTAAATAGCCCTGCCTTTCGTATGCAGTGGAACCGCGGAACGACAATAACAAGCCCACCACGAAACCAAGAATAGTAAGCAAGATATTGTTAATACCAACTACTTCACCCCATAGGGTATGGGTCAGTCTCTGCTCCGTGCTCCTGAGAAATTACATACGATTGTGATAAAAATGAGAAATGCAGGTGATAAGAGTCGCCCAGCTACCAACAAGAAGTAGCGGTAGGATCATCTGAGGCATTATGCTTCCTTGAAGTCGCATGACGATTGGCCATTTGGAGTGTTGAGTCATGTCTCGGGGCCCGTGCTAGTTATGTACCCGTTATGAGATGCCAACTTGTCTTCACCGAGATCCACATATAAAGTATCTCTCTATCTCGCCTCTATCTTGTACGGGGAACTGTGAGTCCCTCGAGTCTGCCAAATGCTCCAAGAAACTCGGCTGTCGCGAGAGTTGGTCAACGAAGTCACGCTTCTTTGAGCCATGTTTTGGTGAAGTGGGGTCGTGTTCATCCTGATTCTGTACATCGGCTGCGACGGGGACAATGCCGTTGTTATTGATGGTAACTGCCGGAGCCTCGTAGCTCGGAGCGGAGTCATCGTCGGACACAATTTCGATTGAAGTCGCAAAGAAAAGAGGTGAAGCGAGATCGAGGAGAGATGGGTTATTCAAGGAAAGCAGTTGGCGGAACCAGTACTTTAGCACGTGTGGATACGTATAGAAGAAGTAGATGAGAACAAGGATGAAGAGATACATGAAATGGCAGGTTCATATTTTGGTGAAAGTACGTCATGCAGGTGCTGTTCTGTTGATCTAAAACTGCGCTTAATCTTTCAGATCGAGTCACGCCGTAGCTTACGTTGGGGAGTACAATGCCACTTGCCGTCTTCGGACGCCTCCATAGTCGCGCCAAGAAAATCAAATCATAAACAGCATTTGCAGATATATAAATGGACAAAAGTCCTCTGGATATCATTCTGTTAGACGTAATTAGCCTGCAGATCTCTCAACTCTGCATAGGCGGGGAAGAAGAAGCCCCACTGAACGCTGCCTTACTGGCTTATATGCGTGGTTGGATGAATAGATGGAGTTATTGCTCTTAATCGTTAGAGAAATATCTTATAGACCCGAAAGACGTGGGAAAATAATGGAATGCTCTGCGCCTCGTTCATTTCTCTTCAATAGCTCGGTTGAGAGCCATGTCTCCCAGCCTTGACTCTTCCCATTTGCAAATACGTCGTATTTCCAGGCATTATACCGTGACATGATATCCTTCGCCAAAAACTTGTACACCAGTCCTGGAAGGCCAGAAATGCCCATGTCTTGGGCCTCTCTCTTCAATTCTGCCAAAACATCGCACGGCATATTGTATTGGCCAACGGAGCCTCTGCCACTTCCCCCCTCGTTGACTCAATTTGTAAACCAGGTCATCTTTGTTTCCTGCGCCAAAAAAACATCGACGTATTCCTTCATCGACATGCGGGCCTGATCAATTACCTTAGATTCCTTTTTAAGCATTCCAAGGGAATTTTCCGCGAGGATCTTCAGGCTTTCTCAAAAGTAGACTGTAGTCTAGTGTTGTTTTGATGCACGCTCTTTGCCTTTGCCTTAACCCAGGAATCTCGACCAAGCAATGTTAGTGCCGACTAATTTATTTAGTTGTTTTTGACAGTGGCAAAGCAACATTGGTTGATAGAAGACGCGTGGACAAGAAATTACATAAGATATGCCCAGATGATGGTTGCTGCTAACAAGATAAAGCAGACTTGCAATAACAAATGATTTGGATACTACAATCAAATAGTGGCTGATAACAGCAAGAAATAGCATTGATGGTCTAGTGGTTATGATTGCCGCCTTCCATACATCTGTATTACAGCGGCAGAGCGGGGTTCGATTCCCCGTCAATGCAATTATTTTTTCTTTCTTTTTTCACATCCCTCATATCATCTTGATTCGGGTTTTCTTCTTTGATCAATCAAATTGTACTAGTGATAAAACGTTGCATCTGGGTGGATTCGGTTTCGTTAGTTTCCCAGGTTATCCAGATAGCAATAACAACTAATAGTGACTATGTGACAACGTCGACGTCCACGGGTGCAACCCTCTTCAGCGCAGTATTTTCTACTCAGGTGTCTTTTCGTTCAAAAATTTTCACCTACTTTCTTTCGATCTCAGTCTGTCTCGCTGCTTTTCATTTCATGTCAAATAAAACCTGAGAAATAGTACAGATCCTTCAAAGTGTTTTGTCCTCACTGTACCTTTCCCTCCTGCTCTAATTGATAATCAGGCTTCACCTCGTAAATCCTCTTCTTCTTCCCTGCCGCATTATCCATGACCATGCATACGTAGTATTCTGCTTCGTGTGGTGCCCTTGCATTTCTACTTGTACGAAGATCCCATTTCTTACTTCATCGTCATTTGGCATAGCTCCACCCTTCCCTCCAAGGCCTTTGCCGTGCAACCAAGCACAGCGAAAATGGAAGAAACACCAACGCAATAAATGCCAAGATCTAATTGCCAAATCAGCTCCCACTCACTGATATAATAGTGGACCGGCCTACTGATATACTGTCCAAGATAAGGCACAGACGGTAGCAGCTGCGCATAAAATCGATGCAGAGGTTCCAACCGAAGCGAATGCATTGACAAGGTATTTCTTCGTTGGCAGTATTCAAGCCGTGCTATTCTTTGAGATTGCCTAGGAACCTTAAATCTATAAGCCCTTTTGGAATTAAGAAAAATATAGCCACAGTTCCCACCATAATGGCCATGATTCAGACAGCCCAACGCCATCCGAGGGAGCTTTCCACAAAACCACCGACGATCAGGGCCACGCAAGGTCCGATCCGAGGCAGTGCAATAGCCAAAGCCATAGCTGTGCCTCTTTCTACCTTTGGCGAAAAATTCTTTGATGATGCTTGGAGCGGGGGTGAGACTGGTGATTCCCATGCCATTCATAAAGCGAAAGGCCTGCAGCATGGACACGTTGATGCTCAAAGTGGCTGCGACGGAGCAGAGAACGACGATAATATTGTTACCGTGATAAACAATACTCTAACCATACAGCTCTGACGACTGTCCAATCACAAACGAGCTGACACCTTCGCCTGAGATGATCAATGTTCGGTAAAAATTACCGGAGACGTGGAAGTCAGTGGGGATCAGTGGGACACCGGGGAGAAGTTTTCATGGTCTAGGGTTTCCATGCATGCTAAGACCGAGAAAAGCCACGACATTTGGGCCTCATTTTCGTCACACATGCTAGCTTATACATCAGGGCTACGCAAACCACAATTGACCATTGTCGCCTGAGAGGCCCGCTTGTAGGATGAATCCACTGTGCAGGACCTGTACTTCCGATTCTTTCCTGCACGGTTCGGAGGTAGAGGTGGAGAGCCGCGGTCCTCATTGCATGTTTATGATCTCTAGCTTATCGGCTTGCAACGTTTTTCATTGTGCCCAGGCCAACCTCGGCCAGTGTGAACGGCGCAAATTCCTCCACCACTTGATTATTTACTAATTTGTAGCCTGATACTCCTAGACATGTGAGAAGTGACTTGCATTGGTACCATCTGCGTTATAACATCGGTCCCCCAGTATCAAATCAGAATGAGCGAGGAGCGCAGAACCTGAGGCAGATGAGTGACTGCCACGTGTCAGGCCTATGCGAGGTATCTTCGAATGGGACGGGTCAGCTGGATTCTCGACTAGTTTGATAATATCATCTTCTAGGTATCAGCGCGCAAGCTTACAGATTTTGATGTCGAGGAACAAGGAATGTTGGCCTCCAATCCCAGCCTACCTACTGTTAGGTCATTTCATGCATTCTAGGTTTTTCTCATTTGGTGCTTGAATCGAAGTCGGGAACGATAATCTAATTCTTCTTCTTCAATGATTCATCTGCACGTGTGCCCCTGGAAGATATGCCTCTATGTAGTTGGCAATCTTTGTTGAAATAGCCAAGTTCAATTTTCGACAGTCAAGTCTAATTAAAGCGCAAGGACCTATCCAGAGGACCTTGAATGATAACATCATTTCTCACGGGTGGAAACATTCAAATATGCTTATCTCGACGGTTCGGCAGGATTCCGCAGCCCGAGCCGGAGACCGGAGGATTCCGCCTGATCGTAGTACGAACATTGAAGCTTCAAGAAATAACGACAAAAAGCTCTTGGAATTGACTACCAAATCCATGGAAATGCTGGATAAAGTTTTTCACGGATTCATCTTGTATAAATCTAAGTCTCATTCAATGGGTGTGTGTAGATCAGGGTCTGTCAGATCGGAATCGCGGCTTCTCCTGCCGAAAACAACCAGGGACCGGTGACTTCCCGAGATTCGGTCCACATGGAGCTTGGTTTCATTATTTCCGACAGTAAACACGCGGCCCCGAGCCGTTATCTGTGGGCCAATGAGCTGTGGATGATTTCGACATCCTAGGCCCTGGAGCAACGCGAGTGGGTCCTATGGTTTCATGGCAATTTTTCCATGGCTCCCCACTATTCTTTTCGTCGAGATTATATATGATACTCCCCGCTTGCTTCTGACTCCTGTCATCTACTGTAGAGATCCCTCTTCGCCACCATGGGGAAATTTGACGAGCCTAGTATGTCCGGGTATCACGATTACACAATATTCCGATATTGATATTGACTATCTTGCAGAGACCTACCGTTACAATGAGACCCCGGTCTACACAGCCTCTAATGGCTGTCCTGTACGGGAGGACCCTCTCGCATCTGGCAACGTGAATTTTCGATCTAATGTGAATCTCTTTTAGGTCATGGATCCCCAGGCGTCTCAGCGCGTAGGCCCCAACGGCCCACTGCTGCTGCAAGACTTCCACCTGATCGACCTGCTTGCACACTTCGACCGTGAACGCATTCCCGAGCGTGTGGTTCATGCTAAGGGTGCTGGCGCCTTTGGCGAATTCGAAGTCACCGACGACATTAGCGATATCGTTAGTACCTCGCAGAGCATCTTTGACTTGTTGGACTAACATCATACCCCAGACCACTGTCGACATGCTCAAGGGCGTTGGCAAGAAGACCAAGATGCTCACTCGCTTCTCTACCGTGGGTGGTGAAAAGGGCTCTGCAGACAGCGCTCGTGATCCGCGTGGCTTTGCTATCAAGTTCTATACCGAGGAGGGCAACTGGGATTGGGTATTCAACAACACTCCCGTCTTCTTCTTGCGTGACCCTGCCAAGTTTCCGGTCTTCATTCACACCCAGAAGCGCAACCCCCAGACCAACCTCAAGGATGCCACCGCATTTTGGGATTACCTCTCTACCCACCAAGAGGCAGTTCACCAGGTGATGCACCTGTTCAGTGACCGCGGCACTCCATACTCATATCGTCACATGAACGCCTACTCGGGTCACACCTACAAGTGGATTAAACCTGATGGCACTTTCAACTACGTCCAGATTCACTGCAAGACCGACCAGGGCAACAAGACCTTCACCAACGAAGAGGCCGCCAAGCTGAGCGCTGAGAACCCTGACTGGCACACACAAGATCTGTTCAACGCCATTGAGCGTGGAGAGAACCCCTCATGGACCTGCTACGTCCAAGTCCTCAGCCCCGAGCAGGCTGAGAAGTTCCGCTGGAGCGTCTTCGACCTGACCAAGGTTTGGCCGCAGAATGAGGTGCCACTGCGCCGATTCGGCCGCTTCATTCTTAACAAGAACCCGCAAAATTATTTCGCCGAGATCGAGCAGGCTGCGTTCTCCCCCTCACACATGGTCCCTGGCGTTGAACCCTCCGCCGATCCTGTCCTCCAGGCCCGTCTCTTCTCTTACCCAGATACCCACCGTCACCGTCTGGGTGGCAACTACGAGCAGATACCCGTCAACTGTCCAATCCGCGGATTCAGCCCTTGGCATCGTGACGGCCCCATGAATGTCAACGGCAACTATGGTGCCAATCCTAACTATCCTTCCACCTTCCGTCCACTGGCCTACAAGCCCGTCAAGGCGAGCCAGGAGCATGAGAAGTGGACTGGTGCTGTCATGGCTGAACAGATCCCCGTTACTGACGAGGATTACGTGCAGGCCAATGGTCTCTGGCATGTCCTTGGTCGCCAGTCTGGTCAACAGGAGAATTTTGTCAAGAACGTCTCAGGACACCTGTGTGGTGCCCATGAGCGTGTTCGCAAGCAGACTTACCAGATGTTTTCTCGTGTGAACAAGGATCTTGGTGCTCGAATTGAAGCTGCTACCGAGGCCAACGTCACTCCTGTGGCGCGTCTGTAGAGCCAATATGGGATTGATAGCTGTATATATTAGAGTCCCAGTCAAATAGAATTACGAATCATGATAGAAAAACACCACACCAAATCCCCCTAAGATGCCCGATTTCCAGGCGTTGCACTTTTGGCATATTCACGATGCCGGAGGGTGGACTTAGCCGCACGGAGCTCGGACCGGACATCAATCCGCATGAGCCTATCAGCTGGACCTGGCGGAGTCACTTACGACTTAGCGCCATAGGGCCAGGTCGCCCCCCTTGTAATAGAGCATGTCTGGCCCCTCCGACGATGGCGTTGGCCATTTTCTGCAATATACCCAGCCCTTCACCAGAATGGAAAGCTCGGACGCCCACCCGTCAGCGCGGGTAACAACCGATCGAGACACACAACCCTTGTCGTTATCCGTCGATATTGAAGAGCGGCAAAATGGATCGGATGTGTTTGAAAGACGAGGTTCCGCTGATTCAACCGGTGCCGATGGCCAGGCTGACGAGGGTTTTGTGCTTTCAAGAAGCGTGCAAGACCCCTCGGAAGAGCTTCCCATCGAGCTGATAAGCTTGACAGATCGGTAGGTTTGAATCATGGTGTCTTCACGCGTGAACACCGAACTGATATAGGATTCGTCACCAGATTCATCAACTCATTGAGCGCAAAAGTACACAACTCTCCTCCTACGATCGACAAAATCTCTTCTCTCTTCCAAGTCTTCTATGATCGCGCCGAATCTCACATCGCTACACACATCTCCGCACTTGCCTCTCGAATCAATAGGGATCCTGCCCCGCAGGCTCCAGTCTCCCGCGGGGGTACGTTCTCGAAGTTAGGCAACAAAAGGTCTCAGGATGACGTTCGGCAAGGTGCTGCTGGTCGGCAAATGTTGACGGCATCAGAAGTTGCGGACAGGCGGAGAGCGCGGAAAGCTCTAGAATACAAACGTGCTGTGATGGAGGAGGCTGCCGAGCGAAGAGTCTGTGAACTGGTTTACAACAAAATTTGGAGACATAAAACCACCTTGGATGACGTTCGGGATGAGAAACTACGCTCCAAAACTGCCGCCTTGCTGCTGGTGGGCATCAATCTGAAAGATCTGGGCATTGACATCGACTTATCAGCAGTTGAAGAGACGAAACAACAGGAGGCGAATGACTATTTGGCTCAAGCAAGAGTATTTTTGGAAAAGATGAATGAGTACAAATACCCTCTTGGCAAGCTTCAACAACTAGCGGCCGCTCATAAAGCTATTGTCGATGCATTGACTAAACTTTTGCCTTCGTCCTCATCGGCGGATGAGATCCTGCCCACACTGATCTACTCACTCATCACCTGTCCGGCTGACGGGATTAACATTATCAGCAACCTACTCTTCATTCAACGGTTCAGATCATCAAACAAGATCGATGGCGAGACCGCATATTGCTTGACCAATCTTGAAGCGGCTATCAGTTTCCTGGAGAATGTCGAGTTATCCAGTTTGCGAGCAGATGAGCTGCAGGAGGGACCTCTGCGGACCCCAAGTGAGACAGCAACCCCATCTTCGGAGCGAACCGATCCTTTCCGACCAGCCAAAGATACCACCACATCATCGGTTACGACTGTGTCTGCTTCACCTGAGATATCCAAACCGGAGACTAAGGAACCGGCGTCATCTACATTGCCTCGGCCTCGCCCCTCTCCAGCGCCCCAGCAACGACGCCTGAGTAACTTATTTCAACCACCTGCCAAGGTACTCGAAGCGGCAAATGATGCAGTACGTACCACGGCAGACCAGAGTCTCAAGAACATTGGTGCCTCTCTTGACAACTCTTTCAACTTCCTTTTCGGTCGCCTAAAAGAATTGCAGACCCAAGGCCCTAATACAAATGGACCTGTGCTGCCAAAGACATTGGCTGAGGCTCGTCGCCTAGTCGCCCAACCTCTGGCCAACAAGCAAAACATCCAAGATGATATAGCATCTATAAACTCCATTCCATCTGACGATGGCGCTCAGCCAACAGGTAGCTCAAGGGCCACAGGCTTATCCAGCGGCGGTCGCACCCCGCGCGACCGAAGCACTGACAGTGCACGGACACAAGCCAGCAGCAAAAGGTCGATCGCTCCATCTCTGCGAGACGAACCTATGCCAAGTCCATCTTCAGCTACACCTCAAAACCCACTGGAGTCAATGCGGAACTTCGGGAACTCGCTTAACCCTCTCAACCACATCCCAGGCATGATCAAGAACTTTGGCCGTAATGCCCCCGGTCCCGATGCTCGTAATGGCTCAGATACACCGAATCTTAGACCACTGTCCCCTGCAGCGATGGATCGCCTCAGAATATCACCTGTCTCGACAGAGACTGCGAGTCCACGACCTACACAGAAGATCGATCCTCCCATCCAAAGGTTCGTTGAAACTCAAGATGCTCGAGATCTGCGTGTTGGAGATGTAGCTGCTCTACTTGAAGATTATAAACGACTCGCGGCTGCCCTTCACAAGTCTGGACCAGCACCTTGATGAGCTTGCTATACTATCATTCATATAGCTCTCCTAGTCTGAGACACCATTGCTCTCCCTTATTATCTCTTTTCTACTATGTTCATAGATCTGCCTGGGCGCATTTTCCTGAACGGTTATTGCATTGCGGGCTAGTCATGGCGTTACAGGCACTCATTTGTACTTCGTATAACTAACCGCGAGTGTGGATTAGATACATTGATCGAATTTAACTTCTTTTTTTGATATTGTCGTGTCCCGAAGACTGTACCTAGGTAAGCGTATGTTCCTCCGTTGTAATACTAGATCAATGTCCCTGAAAGGATCTACGGGAATAAATTCTTCATGATAGCCCAACACGGTGGCTGTCCATATTATCTACTATGCGGTAAGACTTTGTCTAAATAAAACAGTGAAAGAAACCTAGACCCATTTTCAACGTAAAAAGCAGCAGTCACGAAATGATGTTAATTGTTGCATAAAGGGGTATCGGGCATGGACAGATATGTCTGGATTCGTGGGAGAACACATGAGAAAAAAAAAGTAGACTAAAAAATGGAATCAAAAGAATAGAAAAGAAAAGAAGATACCAGGCTTATAATTTGGTATGAAAGATAGAAAAGGCTCAAAGAAAAATCATAAGCTCATTGATTCCGTCCACGAAGTACCTCGGCACCTCCGGTTCTCATTTCATCCAGCTTGGCAGAAAGATCTTGATTTTGCGTCTCGACTTGTTCATGTCGACGCTTGATTTCGTCTTCAAATACTCGAGCTGTTTGTCGACGGGCGCGACGCAGTTTCTTCATTTGCATGAGAAGGTGGCTGAACTGGTCGATGATTTGGTCTCCGCAGTCTTCCCACTCATCCACGGTCATGCGAGACAGATAACTTTGGCGGTCTTGGCCAGTAAGGTTCAAAAGATGAAACACTGCGTTATCTTGTGACTCGCCATTTGGAGCGAAAATGGGTTCGGGTGGCAATGAAGGTGACTTGATAGGGGGTGGACTGGGTGTTTGCGCTTTTTCGAATGGTTCAGCCTGGAGATCAGTGAACGATTTTTGGTACAGCTGCTGCGGTGAATAATCTGATTCAAGGTGCCGCTTGTTGTTGTGAATGACTGTATTGCTACGACCGCGCTTGGAGGTCGACCGAGCAAATAATGGATCTTGTCCGGCTTCGATCACAGATTCATCGCAGTCTAAGTCTGACATGTTCGTGATACCGAAGATGTTAGAGGAGTGTTCGCTACCCCGTCTGCTGCTCAGGCGAATCGTTTCATCGATGCCGGCCTCGTCGTCACTGTGGTCGGGCTGCGCAAAAGTTGTGATACTGAGAGTTCGCCCGGCCTGTGGTGGCTGCTCAGACCCGTGACGAGTTGGGGATATGTCTAATTGGTCCAGCAGGGAAGGCTTAGGTGGACTGAAGCGCGTCCTGGGCGTCGCTGACATGCTGTGGGGGAGTATGATCTTCCTAGCCGCTGTAGGGGGCAACATGTGTCCCAGTTTCCGTGGCGGGCTAGGCTCATTCGCTGTCTCCACGGAAGTCATTTGCCAAGTATCCGTCTGCTGCTGATCAGTTGATCTGGGTGCTCTCTTACTAGCAGACCAGAAATTCTCCAGGCGCTTGCTTAGTGGCTCTTCTGTCGAACGGTGCTTATGAGCCAGGTACCAACTGCTTGGCTGTTGTTCCTGCTCTTGTCGTTCGGTCTTCTCATCGTCTGCAGGGGCCGTCGAAGTGACTTGACTGGAAGTATCATCGGCGTCATCAGAGTCAAAGCCCGCTTTCTTCATAGCCTTGTCACCCATGCCGTCAAACCAGGATGGCCGTGAATGCCGAGAAGGGCGGGGCAAGTAAGACGGACGTGGCGAGGTATCTATGTAGCGACCATTGAGATTGGATTGGGCATGGGATTGGCTATCGTCAAATCCAAAAACACTAGTTCCCGCAATTGTTGAATCATCGACTCCCTCCACATCCGTATCGAAGGCATCCCGGTGCACTCCATTTTCGGTGTGTGTAGGAAAGGGTTGATGTGGACTAGGTCTTGTTTCCAAGAACTTTGATGAAGCAATCCTCCCATGCGCATTGGAATTCCCCACATTCGTGAGAGGCACCTCGACTTTGGCCTGTGCGGCTCGCAATTGGCGTTGCGACGGTCCCAGGTCAGGTGCACGAGGCTGCCCAGCTTCCTTGGAGTGGACGTAGTCGCCCACTCCCATGATGGAATGACAAAGATTCCTAAGCAGTGTCCAGTCCAGCCCGGAGATCTGTAATATAGCAGCGGGAGCCCTCTAAGAAGAAAGAAAAGTTGCCCAGGGGATGGAAAATGAAATGGTCACTGACGGCTGACCCGACGCGAGATCGCCGCGTGATCACGTGGCCAGGGAAATCAATTGGGAATGAGCTTTCATTCTTATTAGCTCGACGATGAGATTCATCAATACCCGACCAGGCATTTCCTTCCAAAAGCTTCCAAAGTTAAGAAAAGGCGTTTAAGCATCGGGACATGTATAACCAAAATCAGTGCGGAGACCCTTCTGTGGACAAAAATACATATGCATTTACTATGGGGTTTCATTTATACATTCAAAGTATTTATACTTGTTTCATGAGTAATATCTTCTGAATCACCCAAAAATTCCTCGGGATCATCCAGATCGCATTCAACTCCGCGTCGCTTGGCTTGCTGCAAGAAATCTCGGGCCTTGCCAATTTCTAATTGCCTTTGCTCCTCTGCCTGTTTCCTTTTCTCCACTGCCAGACTTTGAGCGAGCTGTCTTTCATACGAGCTGTACGAGCCATCCGTGAGGAGTGCATCGGAAATCTGCGCTCCCTGCTGAAATGGGGTTGGTTCTAGAGAAGAAATAAGCAGATCGCCAATCCAAAGAGACACCATGCCTCGTATTTCTAGCAACTTTGCTGAGTCCGAATAAGGAGGTGTTGCAAGCAGAGCGTCAATGCGTATGGAGATTTGCCGAGCCTGCTCAAGTTCCTGGGCCCGAACAGCCGAGATACGTGTCTGCTTCTTGTGTAATGCTCGATCATCATAATCGAAGTCTTCCTCGTCAGACATTTCATCTTTTTCTATTTTGTTTCTCTCCAGACCACTGTCCTCTTGGGCGACTAAGATCCAATGCTCGAACATGACAGGATAAAAATGGAGCGCAGAGAGCATATGCCGAGCAGACTTCGAATAAGGATGAGCGAGAATCAACCTTTCATAGTAGACTTTCGCTTCCGCAAATCCCTTAATGGTGAATGTCGCAGGAGTGTGAGCGACTTCGTTGGCACAGCCGGGGTGCTTGACTCCTCGGTGTAACAAGATCAGCTCTCCTATTTGAGTTCCAGCATGACGCACATCTATTGGAAATCCTCTGAAATTTTCTCGCAAAAGGAGGCCCCATGCTCTCCCTGCTCGGTGGTAATCACCATGTTTGAGACAACGATGAAGCACGGCATTCAGTGCTGCGAGGTGTTGTAAATCTAGACCCTTTGCCGAACCTCGCGAGACTGACTTTGCCTTATGTTTGACCTTCTTGAGCTTTGTCTCCTCAGCGGGCCCGTGGGGAAAATCACCTCCTGGTATTCTATGGTCAAGAGGAAGACCGGCGACTCGATACTGATGGGATTCATTTGGTGTAAGGGTCAGAGGGTTTCCCGCCGAGACCGATTGTGTCGTTTCTTCTGACTCTGTGTCGGCGCATGGATGTGGTCGATTTCTCCTTTTTTTTCGAGCATAGTGAGGTTGAAGCCAGGGAGGCAGTGGTAATGCAAAGATCGGAAAAACTGTGTCTTCAGGCTCGGTGCCTTCCGACTCTGTGTCAGCCCATGGACGTGGAAGAGTCATCCTGTTTTTTTTCTTGGAGCACAATGAGGTTCAAGCAGTGGCAATGCAAAAGATTGAAACGAATGAAGCATCCATGTGCCCGGTCTCACGGTGTCAAAATCCTCATTCAGGGCTTTTTGGAAGTTCTCGACCAAAGAAGTGGAGAAACACGAATGAAATGACGAAAGTAAAAACTGTTGAAAGAAGCTGAAGTTGGTTGACTAAGAAAGCCTCGAGCAAAGCAAGCAAACATCACTTTTATCGCAGCGCCTCTTGTCTCTCGGCTTCGCTCTCTTCCTTCCCCTCCCTTTACCCCTTTCTTCTATTGATTACCTTCTTTTCTTCATTTCAAACCGTTTCCTGTCGTTTCCCACAGTCTCCGCCGCCCCTGGGCGTCGTCAATAGCGGACCCCCCGATCACTACATTCTCCCAAGGCTCGGCGGGTATCTGTAGCCTCGACTGTGGGCTCGTCAGACCGTTCAAGACTGCTGCGGCTGCTCTGCTTCGTCTGTTAGATAGTAAATTGTCTCACATATTCGGCTTTCACTGCTTGCTTATCGACACATTTGCCGCTTCCTTGCCGTTCCCTTGGTTCTTTCCCTCGCCATTCCCGAAATTCCGAGACGATTGATCCCCGCCCACTTGTCACTTGGTGCTCCGTACCTATCCCCAGGTTGACACCCACTCCATCTGCTCGAAATTTGAGATTGACACCACATTTGAGCGTTGCAAATATCTTGTATCACTTTGAGATAATTGTTGGGTGCGTTATTTTTCCAGCACTCTGCCTCATCGTTGGGTGTACTTCGCTGAGACGGTCGCTTCTAGCAACTCGGGACTCCCATGGCAGTGGACGGTACCTAATCCTCTCTATAATTAATCACCGTTCCCGGAATTTGCTACTATGGGACAATCTTCTTCTACGGCACGACATTCATCCGATATTGGCTTTCCGGATTATCTGACCCCGGCTTCGATTTTGCGTGACCTCGGAACGCGGGATGAAGACATGAACCACAGGCAACTATCTGAACAAAATGAAGAGGCTGGTACCTCGCCCACAGCGGAAATGGATCCAACTAGTCAACAAGATTCAATTTTGAACCAATCAAACGAGCCGCCGGAAACAGGGCAACATCCCACGAGGCGCTCTGGGGGAGCTCGCATCCAATGCGAAGCATCGAAGAGGAAGATATACCGGAATTAGAGGCAAATGGTCGGGATTCTCGCTCTGCAGCTATCACGCGGATGGCGGCGAGAAGGCAATCTACCATGTCGAGGCTGGGTTCCAGAATTCTACCCAATTCGGTCATACGAGGTCTTCTCAGTAGCCAGGAAGAGACGCCTGCAGAGGGCCATGCACACAGACATGGGTTGGTATCGAGGACCCCGCCAAGATCCGAATCGACACATAGCAGTGGCCGCTTCAGTCCGTTCAGTGCCCTTGGTTCCCGGGGGATCAACCGCCGACGTTCCGCTCGGGGGCCATATCTAATTCCCCCGCGTGCCGAATCGTCAGTCATAGCGGATGCGGCAAGTGGTCCGTCATTTCTCGATAATGCCACTGACCGTCTGGCTGAGCCTGGTCGAGCCTCTTGGCGTCGGAGTGGTCGCCTGCATCGGGTGCGCCATTCTTTATCAACACCCATATCTCATATGTTTGGTCAACCTTCGTTAACTATCCCGTCACAACACGATAACTCTCCACGAATATTACATCGGCCATCTCTGAGTGATAGCCTTCCCAGTGCCATGGACACTCGCCTAGATTTCGGGGAGCCTTTGCATGAGTTAGATTCGGTTGAGCCAAACGTGCACGCTGATGGAGCTACACCTTCTGGCAATCCCCAATTAATGCGCCGGCTACCTGGTCTTCTGAGAGCGCGATCAGCACGATCCTTGCGACGAGAAGAACAGACTCCTCTTTCTCGGGTGCTTCAACTTGCTGCGGCGGCGATTGCAGCTCAATTGTCTGGTGCCAATGGGCCTCCCCTGCCAAATATTCAAGCACTAGGAAACGACGGACTGGATGGGTCACTAGAGACTTTCATTCAGAGCTTACAGAGTGCTACATCCACCCAAGCTGGGCCAACGGCATCAGCAGAGGGATCAAGCAACACCGGAAATGAAGGCCCTTCGCCCCCAGTAAATTTTCTACGAGTCTTCCGATTTGCCAACGCTGATTCTCCAGTTGATGCTAATCCACTTGGTCGCAACCCCAACGAATCTGAGAATCCTGAACCGCCATCAGATGGAATGTCTGTTGATGAGCCCCCACAAACAGCGGAAGGACGTACAGTGACTTTGGTCGTTGTCGGTGTTAGGTCGGTTCCAGCTGGCAGTGGAGGCACTAGTGAACAAGGGCCATCGGCTCCAGGGGGCCCTGGGCTGGACGCTCTGCTTGGACTACCTTTCCTCTCACCAAATGCCATTCCACGGCCACAGGAGGCGCCTGGTGATCTTGGACAGCGGGCAGATGGACGTCCAAGACTGCATGTCCCACGCCCTCCAGGCTCTATCCCTAGCGTAGCCGAGCTCCTACGGAACCCAGGCGCAAATGGCCCCAGGAGATTATCAGATGCTGGCTCTCGCGCCAGTTTGCCAAATTTTCCTCTTTCTGCCTTGTCTGAAAGCCCACCAGCCCCCCGCCCTCCTCCCTCAACACCCGCCGAGCAGGGGTTGTCGGCTGTGTCATCTAGCACCTCGACGCCGAGCCGCAGGCCCTCATCCGCCTCGGCCATGACATCTAGTGTTTTGCCTCAGCTGCATGAGAATCACTCCGTTAGACCCACTGTAGAGCCTACCGATGAATCAGTCCCACCGCCTAGTGCTGCACGCCAGCGTCGTCGAAGTGATTCCGAATATGCTCGGCATCGTGCTCTTGGCTCTGGGTCCATTCGTCGTAACGGTGTGGTTGAACCTGATCAGCCTCCCCCAAGTGGAGGTAGAAGCTGGTTGATTTACGTTGTCGGAACCAATCTATCAGAGAACCACCCGGCTCTCACCACTCCCAGTCTGTTCACTGATGTATTTCTCCCCTTTGGACCTATTTGTCTGTTGACTCATCGCCTAACTAACATGTATCCAGAACCCCACATATGAGGACATGATTCTTCTCTCGTCGCTTCTGGGCCCAGCAAAGCCTCCTGTTGCAACTCAAGCTGATGTCAATTCCGCAGGCGGATTATTCCGGCTTGTTGAGTATGATGGCTCGCTAGTGGCCGAGTCTATCAATGGCGCCGGTGCCATTCATATCCAGGATGGCGAGCGTTGTTTGATCTGCCTGAGTGACTACGAGGTGGCCGAAGAAGTCCGAGAGCTTGTCAAATGCAAGCATGTCTTCCACCGGGATTGTATTGACCAGGTATGTGTTTCTCTAGTTTAATCTGCTAGATGCCGTGTTGCTGACTCTTTAAACTAGTGGTTGACTACTGGACGCAACTCTTGTCCTTTGTGCCGAGGTGAGGGCGTTGATGAAACACCTAGCAACGGTGGTTTTGGTCCTGCCGACGCCGTTCCAGCTTCAACTCCCGAAGGTACAGCTATTTGATGAGCCTTGCATTATCCACAATCTCTCTTTGACTTCTCCCTTGAACATTAGCATTCAGCGTCTGCTTAGAGCTCTAACGCCCCCTTTTTTTTTTTTTTTTTTTTTCGTTTGATATCCCCTCGGCATGTAGTCTCCGCTCATTATTTGGCGTCTTCCTTTCTCATATGTTTTTGATCTTGCCATTGAGGCCTAGAGGCCACTTTTGTTTTCGATCCGCTCAGCATCTAGTCTCGGTTTATCTATGTTGAGTCCCGTTGAGTTCCTGTTGGCATTTTGACTGTTTAGGACAGTATCATATTCGATGGCATGATGCAAGGGACATTGGGACCTTTCTGGGCTGTTCCACCTTGTATACAATAAACATATCATTTTGAATCCTCATACAATTCTCTTCTCAATCGGCCGAGGTCGTTATCGCCTATTATCTGTATGTGCCCCGCTGCCCCCGCGGGTCACGTGCAGCAAAACTTTCCCAGTGCGGTATCGAGGCTCTTCATTTTGCGTGAGCTTTCGCCATCGATTTTGCACAGGTATGTAAATATTGCATTAATTTGAATCTTGTTCACTTGGATCCCTTGTGAGCTCGAAATCGGCACTGCAAGCTTTGGTCCGACACTAATTTGATAAATAAAATATGATTAGTTCCGAGAAACTCCAAACCCCGCGAACCTCACCCCTCCGACCTCGAAAAAAAAAAAAAAGTGGATGAAAAGTCCAGATTTCTAATTAGAACATCCCATATCGCAAAAATGACTGCACCAATTCGCACCACGGTCCTCATCTCCGGCAATGGTTCCAACCTGCAAGCAATGATCGACCAAGTCACAGCCGGCACCCTCAACGCAAACATCATCCGTGTCCTCTCCAACCGCAAAGATGCCTTCGGTCTCCAGCGGGCCCAGAAAGCGAATATTCCTACCGAATACCACAACCTTGTCAAGTACAAGAAGCAGCACCCTGCCACGCCTGAGGGTGTCCAGGCCGCACGCGAGGAGTACGATGCCGAGCTGGCTCGCTTGATCCTTGCCGATCAGCCTGAGCTAGTTGTCTGTCTTGGGTTCATGCACATCCTTTCACCGGAGTTTCTCAGGCCACTGGAGGTGGCCAATGTACGAATCATCAATTTGCATCCAGCGCTGCCAGGCGCTTTCAATGGTGTGGTAAGTTTCAATGAGGAGCGGAGCATAGACTTTGGGTGAATGATATAAAAGCATCCTGATTTGCTGATATGGGAATGGTGCAGAATGCGATTGAGCGTGCCCATGCCGCTTGGATGGAAGGCAAGATCGACAAGACGGGCGTCATGATCCACGACGTCATCTCCGAGGTGGATATGGGTCACCCCATCCTGGTCCGGGAGATTCCCTTCCGAAAGGGCCAGGATGAGGATTTGGAGGCATTTGGGAAGCGAGTTCACGAAACAGAATGGATCACCGTAATCGAGGGAGTGGGCATGGTGCTCAAGGAACTGGCGGCTCGGAAGTCAGCTTAGAGCGGACCATCGTATTTCTCCAAGGTTGTCTATCTGTCTAGCGCCGCCGGCAGCACCTTGAGCATCAGCACTACTACTCAGCAACACCACTTGCCACCAGAGGCGGGCCCTTTCATCGATGTAGATCATCGGGCTGTTGACGATTTTATGACTCTATCCAAAAGAAAAAACATCATGTACGAATCTTAGAACAAATCGGAAATCCGCCTTGATTCCGGTTCCACTGGTCCTTCTTACTCCCCTTCCCCCCAGATAAGAGGTTGCCGCCATCCAGTGCCGAGAGGAAATGAGCCAAGAAAAATGGAGACACAGATGATGCAATTGAAAGCGCTCAGCTGCACGAATTTGCCAAAGTATACGAGAAAACATGCACACGATGAAGGGAGTCCAGAAATGAGGCCGGTGGAAAATGATTTTCGTTTGACTATTGAAAGCCTTGCAAATCAATCTGGATAATACATCCCCGAGATCGAAACCGGGAAAAAAAAAAAAAAAAAGCCCGAGAAAACATACCAAAGAGAAAAAGAAGAAAAGAATAAGCCAAGATTGCCGCGGAAAGAAAGATTGAAACAATGCTCATCAACAGAAAGTCAAAACTACAAATCCACATCCACCTCCACCCAAACCCGCCCAAAAGTCAAATGATGGGGCTTGCATAATTGGCAGGGATGTGAAATTGCATCCATCTCACCGGTCGAACTTTCGTCACATGTGCATCTTCCTTGCACGAATCCGAGTCCGAGGCAAAATTCACAGCCACTGGCAAGGTGGATGTTGCTGCAGTGCAACCTCGAGGATCAACAATCACGCCCCAGCACCCCTGGAGCCACCGTTTAACGCATCATGATCGATGTGGCTCGCCTCGGAGCTAACGGACATGTCGATCCGACGATATTTATAAAAACCAAAAAAAAAAAAAAAAAAAAAAAGAAAAGAAAAGAACAATCAAGTCAATGATCTTCAGAGTGGCATACTGGACAGAACCAAGTCCGGAACTCCTGCACCAATCCAAGGCTTCTGAGACGCTGGCGCCTACATAGTACGGATTTAGGCGTTAGTACTTTTGTCCTATGGTAGGTCCCCCAGAAAAGGCAAAGGTCAGTTTGTAGTGCGTCCCCAGGACACGGTACTAGTGGATAAGTGGGGATTAGCATGTACCTGGGTGGGTTTAGTTGATGGCTATCCAAAGAGGTGTCCAAACTTTCATGGCGCTAGACACGAGGGCCACAGCTCAAACGGCCGGCGCCAACTCAATTGAGGGCATTTGTATCCGACAGGTTTTGGGAACCGCCGATCTCTATGCCTCTTTGGGAGAGATAAATCCATAGGTGCGTGGCGTTTTACATTTGGTTAATTCTATGAACGTACTCGTATACTCCGGACCACGTACATAAATGTTTACAGCATCTGAATCGGTATCAAGCTTTGTTCGGGATCCGATGATTATCCGAACCTACCATTGGGAGGGATCTTTCTAACGTGCAGAGTACTTCGAAGTAAATCTTCATCAACCAGCGCTTGGGCCCTGCATATTAATTCTCATTGGTTTAAGACCACAGGATTTTGATAAAAGCACGTCAGATGTACACTCTAGACCTAGATATTATCCGAAACACAAAAGTGCACGTCCCATATAGTCCTGGAGATTCCCCATTTACTCCAGATGTATACTGTCCTGTCCGTATGCTCCATAAGAATTCACCAAGGAGTCTGTCTACGATGCGATAGGTATGCATTTTATGTCTATGATTTGCACTTGGGGGGGGGCATCGGTAATTGAGTCAAGGGTTATATTTACCGAGTGTGTATGATATTGAAATTTGTAGGGCTGAGAGAATGACGGATACGAACTATACGAGCTTCAGACCACGCACTCACCCCCCTTTTTTATTTATTTTTATTTTACCGGGCCGAGATCGAGCTCTGGCCATTGATGAGGCTACGTTTCCTTTCTCTTTTACTTTCCAAGGTTTCTTTCTTGCCTCTCCAGCAACCTCTGGAAGTGGAGACGGCCTTTCCCCAAGTCCCGGTCCAGCAGTCTAAATAAGATCTGAACGGAGATGTTACCCATCCTGGCCCAGCGTGATGGCTAGCTCGACCAGCACCGGAAGCCTGGATCGCCCGGTTCTTTTTGGGGAGTCATTCAAGGGGCCACATGGGACCCGGATGGACCAGAACCCCACTGTCATGGACTTTTCTAAAGCCGGCTCACCTTTCACCCACATGGCGACCATGTACACTCCCGGTCCCTGCAATTTCCTTAAACGAATAGGATGATGATCCGCCCAGCTGTCGTGATCGGTCAATCTGTCTAATTCCTGTAATTTCAATTCTGTGGGAAATACTCCGTATTTTGTTGTACAGTTATCTCTTTTTTTTTTTTCCTTCCCCAGTGGAGTCCCAACTTTAGCGTCTTTTTCCGTTTAATGGCCCACCTTTTGGGTCTGTCAAATCTTCGTCGATCAGGCACGAGATTCTTTTTAACTAAGGGGAAAAAGAAAAGAAATCCCCTCGGAAAGCCACCTGGGTGTCTATATTTAAGAGGTCGAAGTTACAAAGAAAAAAAAAAAAAAAAAAAGATACTCTAGAAAATACCCAACACTAGGGGCAACTACCCCCCCCCCCCCCCCCCTTCCTCCCTGGTTATTTCCCCAATTTCTGCCGGATTCCCCGTGTTCTCATTCCAGAAACGGGGCTTGGTTAGCGTGCGTTCCAATCATGAATCATAACTCCCCTAAATGAAGCTTAGTTTCCACCGGAATCCGTGAGTCCCTTAGTCAGGCCCCACTTTTCCCATCCGATCGCCGTCATGAACAGAGCGTTTTCGGCATTTTGGTTGCGATGCAGCGCTATGACTGGCAAAGTTTCAGATTTGCCGAGTAGTTGCGCGGGACACTCCGTGCTATCATATCTGTGGCGACCTGTTCGTTTTTGGTTAGAGTCTCTGTTCCTTTGCCAAGAAGGAAATCACCTCAAGAGCCCCATGTTGATTATCCTTTGGGGGTTCCACCTGCGCAATCATGGTCGAGTACTAATCGCCTGCCCCGTCTTCGGATTTCGGACGGGGTCCGTACGAATGCTCAAAACATGATGAAAAATAAATCGAAAAGAATCAGAACACCAAGAGTCAGGCCTTCCGTAGGTTTAGGGTTCTCCGTAGGCTTTTGTTTGTGGTTGATCACCGGATGACAGGCGCTTTGATCACACAGGATCCCCTCAGGTCTATGGAACTATGGAAACTATGGAGTCAGGGCTCGAGCCACCAGGTTCAACAGTGATATCACTTGTGGCTAGAGAGGATCGTCAACAGCCCCCTTTCTTTTCCTTTTCGTTTTGTACATTTCCACCGAGTCCCGAGGCTCCTTTAATGGGATTAAGGATAAAAATAAGCCCAAAGTGGCTGATCTAGAGTGGGGAATTGTGAAAGAGCCATTCACAATTCGACTTCCGCTAAGACTACATGAACTGAGCCCGCTGATTGCTTTAGATATTACTATTCCTTTTTCTCCCTTCCTCTTTTCTCTCTTTTTCTTTCCGTTTAATATTTTTTTCTTGTTTCTTTGGGGGTCCAATTTGCCTTGGTTCGTCCGGATTGGAATGTGTGTGGCTCCGCGACCTCCGCCCTACTCCGCCGAGTAAGAACGATGCGGAGGCTAGACTTCCTGCATCAGCTGAGTTTGGAAAAGAAAATCCCTGGAATCATTTTGAAATAATTACTCCGTTCCATTTCATATGCATGTATTTTTCATATTTTTAGATTTTATATTATGATACGTATGCCCTTCCCTGGATATGCCGATCATCGCGATCACGATCGGTAGTTGAAGCCCGCTTGAATGTCCCCAAAGTAGCATAGAGCAGACCAAAGACAATTAAATGCTGAGCTACGGATTCGAACATAAGAGACTGTACTGTATTAGCAAAATGGAGAGAAAGACGAAAAGAAAAAGAAAAAGGAAACAGATAAAAGGAAAAAAAAAGAAAAACCCCAAAAAAACAGGGAGTTTTGCTCTATTAATCTCCGCCCATATCCAACATCCAATAGTCCGGGTCAACCTCACCCCACCCCCTACACACACCACATCCACTCTTGTACATTGTACTTCATATCCACTTTCACTGCCGTCTGCTTCCTAGGATTCTACCATATATCTCTCTGACTTGCAACTACCCCTGGTTCTGTATGATGCAATAATCAGGAGCTTCACGCTAAATTTGCGGGGGGAGATCTGCGCGGAGCTCAACTGCTGGGACGAACCATCATGGAACAATCATCATATCATCAATCCCAGGCCGCCCTGGCCGGCTTTTTTGATCCAATGCAGCAGGATTCAACCATGTCTGCCTACTCGCTATTCGGAGCAGCTCAGTATCCCGAAAATCTTGCGTTATGGCACGATCCCTCCGCCGCGCCGCCGGCCATGACCGTGTCCGCGCCGTCATACCCGAAGCAATCGACCTTGCTTCAACCTCTCCCAGATCCAAAGAAACACAAACGAACCCGGAGCGGCTGCTTCACCTGCCGCTCTCGTCGGATCAAATGCGACGAGTCTCGCCCTATCTGCGAGCGCTGCCGCAAGGGAAGTCGGGATTGCATCTACCCATCCCCCTCGTCTGGACCGTCCAAGGGAGGCGCCCGCTCGTCCGCCAAATCGCGTGGTACACGTCCTCCCTCACAAGGAAGTGATTCATCAGGTCGACTGGAATTCGACGAAATCAGTCCCCTGGAGCCGATCATTGATGAGGAGGAACCCGACAATCCCGGGCTAGGTTCTCGGTCGCCCACCAGCCCCGCTAGCACGTCTCGACCCGACCTGCACAGAAGGCAGAGTGCCCAGTCACTCCGAAAACCGAGTTTAAAACAGACCTCTGAGCCCGGATCGTTCAATATGGATCTGGGCAGTTCGCCCTCCACGGAGTCTTCGTCACGCTTCGAGTCGGTGAGCGTGCGGTCGGCTAGCGTCACTCAGTCCACGACAGATATGCTCAATGCAGCCGGACTTCCAGACGATTTGAGATTTTATCTGAATTTTCACCTAGAGTTTATCACACCCGATCATTTTTTCTTGAGACAACCGAGCCGGGCTTTTATTCAACACAGCATCATCGAACTTGCCCTGCAGTATAAGCCTTTGCTATATGCCCTCGTAGGCTTTGCGGCATATCATCATACCTTGCATAGTCCGGGAGGGAAACTATTTACATTCCTCAAATATTATAACAAAGCGCTGGTTCTCTTGCGGAAATCGCTCGGCTCTGGCGAGGAACATAACGAGGCCACATTGTGTACAGTTCTTGTCTTGACCACTTTTGAGGTAGAGTGCCCCTCCCAATCATTCTCTTACTGATCAACCTCCTTGCTGATGTCCCTTTCCATCAGGAATACACTGGTGATTGGGTGAATTTGATCGATCATCATCAAGCCGCCCACGCATTAATGCGGGAACTGCTGACGCCGGACTCGTCCAATTTAAACGAATTACATACGAACATCTTCCTCTGGTACGCGCGCTTCGACGTCGTTGCGGGGATTTTGGCCGGCACAGAGGCGATCCTCAGTCGAGATTGGTATCTCGCCAAAGAACAGTTCGACGCGGAGCAAGCAGCTCTCGATCCCGACGACGCGGGCAAACAACTCTCGTTGGTCGCATCGATCAATCGCAGGTTTGGTTTGGACATGGCTTCCCTGTATGCCAAACTGTCTCGTGGCATGATTCCCTTCGAAGATTTTGCGGTGCAGAACGAGCGGCTCGGGCAGACGATTGAACGGGCAAAGAACATAATGAGAACATTCGACGACAGTGAATACACCGTACGCTCTTATCCAAATCAACTCCCTCTAACTGAAGATGATATCGTGGATCCCTATGTACCTGGTCGAATCCATCAGGGAATTCTATGGGATGCGAATTATATCTGGATTGACCTCCTCTCGACCGAATTGATGTATAAATATCAAACCATGCTTGCATTAAGACAACCTCTTCTGCCGGAATTGACAAAGCTGGCCTGGGAACAGGCCCAGTTGATGGAAACGATTAACCGATGGCCAGAGAAAGGAAATGGGGCTTGCATCGGGTTCAAGAACAGTATAGGGCTCACGAGCATGTTCCTCCCCGGAGACGTCAGGAATCAGATGTGGTGTCGGCGCAGGATCGCCCAGATGGAACAGACTGGGTAAGCTCCCTTTTTTTTTCTGTTTTTTTCTCCCTCTATTCTCCTTTTCTATCTTGCAATTTGATCTAGAGGCTCACCCTTCCCGGCGCAATTAGGTACATCATGCAACCTAAATTCCGCGAAGTCCTCTCCACTCTCTGGAAATTACCTGAACTCATGCATTGGTGGCTTCCCAACAATGAAGGCTACCCGGATCTGATCCGCGAAGTCCGCGCCATGACTGATGACCGCCTAGAGCAGCCTCGTGATGACTTCCGCTCCAATGTACGCGACATGAAAGCCATGTTCTGGAAACTGAATGTCAACGACGAGGGAGATGAGCTGAGCCCTGGGAGCAGCCATGATAGTAGCCACGGTGGCTTCTCATGAGGAGGGCAGCCTTCCTTCCTGACCGTTGATCCCAGCTGTGGTGACGCTTTTGCCAGCCGCTCGGAACTCATCGACGTCATGATCTGTCCCTTGTCTTTGCTCTAGCCTATATTGTCTCTCGGGTTGTGGGCTCGGCCTATCCGTTGCTTGGAGCGTTGGATCTATTCCCTGTTTCCAGGAAGCTGGAGGATCCTCCATTGTGATCATCCCTGCCAAGTCTTACTTGTCAGCCACACTCCCATGCAAACTTCCCAAAGTCCACTGAGCCACTATTCTCAATTCAATTGTCCCAGTTGAACATCGAGCCTCTTGGTGGCCGGCCACCTCCGGTCGAACCACAACCCAACGGAGTATTCATGCCGCAGGTCAACACGTACTTCTCGCATCATTTTCATCCTTTTCATCCCGCTCCGTACTCTTATACCCATTCCCTTGTTACCAACCTACCTTTTACCACCCTATCCTAATCTACTGTCTCTTCCCGTTGCAACCCCTATACCCGGGCATTCTCTTGGTCATGACTTGACGTGTACGTTGAATATATACCCGACTGCTTAGACAGTATACATTATTGAAGGAAATCATATGAACCGCATCTTCTTGGGCTTGTCTCTGTGTTAATCTATACTGTCTGTGTTTCTTCTGTCTACTTTTTTTTTTCTTATTATTTGTTTCTTTGCACGCATGAAATTTTAGTTGGGCAGCTGCATAAGAGAGTTTCGATATGATACAAACTTGCGAATATATTCAACAGGAGCATCAACTATGTGGAAGTTCTCTTATGCACCCAACTTTGAGGCCCTTGCTTACATGGTAATATGCTATGACAGTGAACACAAACGACTGGTCAGATGTGCCTTTCGCCAGGGCTACATCCGGCCTTCCACGGAACTTCGTTGGGCAAGACGACCGTCTCATACCCACCCGCTAACTCGCCACCCCCAACGCCGAAGTCGTGGCCGTCAACATCCTCACCCCATGGTAAATTGTCTACCTCCACCTCCCAGCCAAGTAAGCATCGCAAAATCACACCCGCGCCGGCTTTGCTCATGATTAAGTTCATTTCCTTGCAGCGCTCGTCACATACACATTCCACACAGCCTTGCGGCGAGAGACAGGCGCATGCCTCGATGCGTGCAACGGCACGTCGAAGGAGTAAGCCAATGAATTCGAATGCTTTACTTGCAATACCGGACCCACACGACCCACCCTTCGCATCGTAAAACGTGAGACGAGCGGGCCGTTGCCGGGACGGCGGTTGGAGGAGTTTCTGAAGTTCCCTTTTGTCGGACATGGAAGTCTCGTTTGCGCGACGGAGCGGACGACCAAGTTCCTTTTTGGCGACCTTGCATTCTGTGCGAACATCACCGGGTGAGGAGATGACAAAAGAAGGGAGAAGAGAGAGGACTGCATGTTCTGCGGCGTGAATTGCGGCTGCGATGTTTAGTCTGTGTGATTCGAGGATCTTGATGGCGCGCGATGGAACATCAAGCCACATCCCCTTGGTCAGGATATCGATGGGCGGATTGTCAACCTCTACGGCATCGAGCACTCGGCCACGTTTATCCACCTTGAAAAACCCGTATACGACAGCGTGGATCTGGACTGCTCCGAAAAATGCGCGGCAGCCGGACGGATCTGCGGTGATGGAGCGCATGGCCTCTGTCTCGATGGGGTCGATATCGGTGAAGTCACGCTGCATGGTGCTCCAGTCAACGTGGACGCGGGTCACGCGTGCAAAATGGCGTTCTGTGTTCAGCTCTTGGACGAGGTAGGTTTCGCCTTGGTGTAGGAAGATCCCACCTTCATAGATGGTGAAGAAGGCGCGGGAGGCCTCTACTTCCTCGAGGACGATATTACGGTTATTGGTTGTGTCGATGACGGCGAAATGCTGATCTTCTGTGTCGCGGATCGAGACGCATCTTGAGGGCTGGGGTCGAAAGCGCTCGTGGCAGTGGTAGAAGCCCATACTATCCTTGATAAGACGTGTTGCTACGACGGCGTAGAGTTGCTCCCCGAAATAGGTACAATCTTCATCTGGGAAAATGGGCGCTTCGAATGCAGCGCACTGGACATGTCCCTCCAGGATGAGCTCATTGGCAAGGTCGATCTGAAGTTCACAGTTCGGTCGAGTGAAGATTTCATCTGGGTTCTGCATGTAATGCTGATCAGTTGGGTACCTGTCCCCGACCAACACTGATAAAGAGTCCTTGTTGCGTCGTCCAGCACGGCCACTCTGTTGACGTAGATTGGAGATCGAGTAGGGAAACCCCAGAGTGATTACTGCGTCCAGGGATCCGATGTCAACGCCCAATTCGAGAGCATTTGTCGCCACTATGCCCATCAATTTCCCTTCGAACATCTCTTTCTCGATGCAACGTCGGTCCTGGGGGCTGTAGCCACCTCGATAGCCCATCACCAATTTGCCCACCTCAGGACGTTCGAGAGCCTGGCACTCATTCCTGACAGCCTGTAGTAAGATTTCACACATTTTTCTGATCCGGCAGAAAGCGATGACTCTGACACCTCTGAGTACCAACTGGCAAAACAGACGTGCGGTCTCGGCAACACTGTCAGCACGCCCTGAGGTTGGATCTGCCGGGTCTTTGAATGGAGTGTTCCAGCAGACAAACTCCTTCCGACCCGAGGGGGACCCATCAAAATCTATCAGCTTCACATCCTGGACACCGAAGACGGATTTCATGTGCGCTTCCGGGTTCGCAACGGTGGCAGAGCACGAGATGAATTTGACATGGCGATTGCCCACGGCAGCGCAGATTCTGCGAAGTCGTCGCATAATGAACGCGACGTGGGACCCAAATAGGCCATTGTAGACATGTAGCTCGTCGACAACCACGAATTTCAAATTCTTCAGGAACGTGCGCCAGGCGCTTTCCTGGGGCAGAATTGTGATGTGTAGCATGTCTGGGTTAGTGAATATGATTCGTGCTTCATCGCGGATAAGATTGCGACTTTCCATCGGCGTGTCACCATCAAAGGTTTCCACCATGGTATCTTGTAGACCATTCATGTATTGTAAGAGATCCATCATACTGCGTCGTTGGTCTTGAGCCAAAGCCTTGGTAGGGAAAATATACATGCCCCTGCTATCAGGGTCTTTTTCCAACTCGTGAAGCATAGGAATTTGATAGATGAGTGATTTGCCCGAGCTGGTCGAAGTAGAAACAATCACATTATGACCCTCATAGAGATGATTTATTGCTTCTGCTTGATGGGAGTATAGCTGGGTAATGCCTTTGGTATTGTACAAGGTATTGACAAGATCTTGCGACAGCCGGAATGTCAAGTCACCATAAACAGGAGGCTGGGCATCAAATACCCGATGACCCTCTGGGACGATCTGAGCATGATACCAATCCATCTTGCGGATATCCGCGATGATATCAGCTATAGGCAGACGGTCCTTGGGGATTGTCACAGGCGCCTTTGCCGCGGCAGGGGTAGTAGCGCCACTACCAGGAGGCGAAGGAATATAGAAATCTTTCTCCTGTTCCAACAGAAACACAGGATCGATGGCTTGGTCTTCGCAGCGAATCAGAAATGCATCAATCGCGTCAGAAAACTTAGCATTGCGTTTTTCAATCAGCTTCAGCATCTGCTTTTGACTGTAGACTGGCATTTTCAGATCCTCGTCTCTCATACGGCGCACTGGTTTGACTGGTTCTCCCGTCCTCGGGTCTATGATCTCCCGCTTGAGATCTCCATCCACGAACTCGAATAGCAGGACATTCCTTGTGACTCCCGGGCTTTCTTCGTTCGAGGTTGCATTGTCCTTCAAATCCTCGGCTTTCCAAAGACTGCGTCGATGGCTCACCCCATAGTCGGCAGTGTCCTTCTCCCCAGCAGTCAACTCCAATTTTGTTTCGTCGACATACTCAAAGCGCACCGCTTCGGGGACTAGCGCCTTTACCCGCGCAACATCTTCAACGGTAAGTTCTCGATCTTGACCAAGTTGTGCCTGCACTGCTTTCTTGATATTGTCGAATGTGGTCGCAAAGTGTTTCCGCGTACAGCAAAAGGTGTACACTACGTTCAGTGCACGTTGGGTCTGCGACAAGCGCTTCAGTACATCGGGCCATGGCGCAACTGGGGATCTCTTTCTCGGGCCCTTGGTTTTTGCAGAGGTGGGTGTGGCTGTTTTCCCTTGCTCCGGTTTTTTGCGTTTGCGTGCTCCGCTTTCCAATGGCGTTCTGGACATACGGGGGCTAAAATCACCTGTTGTGGCTTCGACGGTAGGTTCTAGACACGCGTCAAGGGATGAGGGCGGAGGCCCAGCGGCCCGCTTATCGTCATGAGACTGCTTTCGTTTCAAAGTGTTTGACGTGCTTGATGGGTGTTCTGACATTTTGATGCGCCATCGCGATCTTGGGCAATGCTTTCAAGGCCTTGTCGTGTACAGGGAGAAGTTGGGAAACGTCAGTTCGCGGAAGCGACACGCGATGTCACGTGTACCAATATAACCCAAAGGGTGCGATCCATCAATATCTCGAACCCGCTTGTTCAATCGCTCCAAGCTATGCTCACCTAGCCGATCATGTTCAAGATCTGGGCATGTAATTAGGCTGCGACTCCCTACTAGTCTGCAGAACCTAAGAAATCTGCAATGACGGAGTACGCGCCCAATATGTAGTTTTCAGTGACGTCATGCCCATCGCGTCCGACAGAACTGCTGTGAATGCAGGTCTTTGAAAGGTGTGCATTCAATCAAGGCTTGCAGCGAACATCGGAGTACATATGTGAGATTCAAAAATACATTTCTGATGCCCAGATCCCACCAGGTGAGGTCCGATGTCTGATCAAGTGTCATTGCCGATCATCGGCAGTTTGTAGGACTTGAGAAGTACACTTGAATGTAAAAATCGGCATTTCTAGATTTAATCAAGCTCGGACAACTGAGTCAGATCGTCTCATATCATTCTCTTTAAATTGCTGGAAGTCCGACGAATATTGGCCTGGGAGCTTGTGTGCCATGTTAATCGCATCGCTCGAAGTGATCGACATCCCCGTGTTTCTCAATTACTACCACACTCCAGACCTGCTCCCTAACTTTGGGAGATTGTCATTATCTCGGCCGTTGCTCTACACAGAAACCTTGAGGTCTTGACATGTTCCTCCGTCAATCCTTCAGAAGACCGCTACCCCGAGGGATCCCCGCATCATCGTGCGTCTCCATGTCCACCGCCAACCCCGCCCATGATTGGAGCGCAGCACAATACCTGAAGTTCAAAGATGAGCGTACCCAACCAGCCCGCGATCTTCTCGCCAGGGTTCCTCTACAGACACCGAAAAGCGTGGTAGACTTGGGGTGTGGCCCGGGGAACTCGACGGCCGTCCTAGAGTCTCGCTACCCCGACGCACTACTTGTCGGAATGGATTCATCCCCGGACATGATCCGCCAAGCCAAATCCACTCTCCCCCATTTAAAATTCAATATCGCAGATTTGAAAACTTACACACCCGAGGCGCCAGTCGATCTATACTACTCCAATGCCGTTCTCCAATGGCTCGGAAGAGAAGAGCGCATTGAAGTCATCAAGAGACTGATTGGAACTCAACCCACTGGAGGAGTGTTTGCTTTTCAGGTTCCCGATAATCTCAATGAACCTTCCCATGTCTTGATGAGAGAGACGTCCAAAGCTGGGCCCTGGACGGCGAAGTTGCAATCGGTCGGCCGGGACACGTTCCAGTCGCCACAGGAGATTTATGATCAGCTCAAGCCGCTTTGTTCGGAGGTAAATCTCTTCCATATCAGTTATTATCATTCGCTTGAAAACCACGAATCTATCATCGAATGGGTCAAAGGGACCGGGCTGAGACCGTACATGGATCCATTACAGCCAGAAGAAAGAGATGCTTTCTTGAAAGAATACTTGAGGCGCTTGGGGGAAGCATATCCCTCGTCAGTTGATGGTCGAGTCTTGCTTCGGTACCCACGGTTGTTTGTAGTTGCTGTGAAGAGCTGATTCGGGATTGGTACTTTGCCCGTAAATTCACGTCGGCCATTGCATGAACAAGTTTCGTATGTTTCAAGTCTAGCAACCACTGTATATCTTAATTAAGTTGATGGAAAACCTCCTGTCAGTCCAACCATCGATCCAAATCCTCCGCCGTCTTCTCACATCATAATTGCATGATTCATTCCTAAACACACCAAATATGGGACGTCAACAGTAATCGACTCCGTCCAGCAAATCCCCAGTCTATCCAACACCACGGGCTATCCACCAGTCACGGCTCAAGACCAAAGACATCCAACCAACCCTGTACCTCCAATCTGCCCCGTCTAAAAGCCTTGCACAAAGCGACCTCCTCAATCAACGGCCCACGGGAGATATTCAGCAGCGAAGTAAATTCTTTCAAGCGCCTTAGCTCCGGTTCCCCGACGACCCCCCTCGACCGCTCACTGAGCACAAAATGGTCCGTTTATCTAGCTGATGAGCGTTCAGCCCCATCCCTTTGGCCTTCTGATCAGCCTTTTCCTGGGTCGAATATTTGCTCCACTTTAGGAAACGACTTGCATCCCATATGACAAGCTTCTAATTCAGGCTACCGCAGCACCGAGACTTCCCAGCCCAAGCACCCCGACAGTCGTCATCGTCAGACCTTTGGCTAATCCAGTCCGCCAGGCACGGGTAACATTCAGATACGCACGTTTCATTACGGCATATTCTGCCCCCGCATTTTTCGCTAGCGCCCAGATGAGAGCCCATGTGTGGTACGTCGCGAGACGACTCCTACCCTGTCTGATATCGTGTTTGGGACTCACGACGTGACCGGGAAATGTTTCTCCATCTGCCGCGACTATGGTGATGCCAAACTCACGGACAGTGCTGAAATCGAACGTTTCGAACTGTGTTTCTGTTGCGAGGAGTTTTAGGGCTGGGAAATTCCCACAGTGATGATGCGGAGAAGGGTGTGCGTTCACGTGCGGTGAAGAGGATTCTAAACAGTTAGAAGCTGGCGATAACTGCTTGTCTTTGCTCGGGTACCGTGCATGGATGGATATATGGTAAGAGTAACTTAGTGAATTTGGCTGACGATATATTGGAGAGACGTGAGCGAAGTGCGCAGGTGCGATAACAAAATGGTCGTTCAATGGGGATTGGACTTGATTAGGATGTGGATATCAATGCCAGTGAGGTGACTTTGGGCGTAGGTTGTTCGAGATAACGCGGGGGAGAGTGGAGTCGAGATGCCATTTCTTCTCCCGTCTGGTTCCTTCAAAGTCAACCAAGGGATTGTCATGAAGCTGAAAACAAATCAGGGTCATCTGAATTGTAAATGTGAATTTCGGAAGCGCAGCAGCGAGATCGGACACCTGACATCCTTTGAAAAGAAGAAACCATCTTGCAAGCGGCACAAAGATGTAAATAAATTGATGAACGCTAAAATAAGATATCACACACGGTACCCGCGTAAACTCCATTGTGCACCTGGTCCCTGCTATACTCTTTCCGTTTCCTGGGACCTCTCAATCGGCCAAGTGAACTTTATGCATCTGAGTCCTTGAGTAGATCATGGATAATGTCGTAAAGATCCCTCGCATATGACTCGTTCCCAGTCTAAAAGACGGGTCAGTATACTCAAGAAACGGAGGGGCGAAAAGACTTACACGCAACAACAGAGGAACAGTGCGACCTTCTTCCACGCTGGCCAGAAGAATTTGCTTGTTGGTTGGCGCCTGATTCTTCGCATCTCCATAGTTCATGCCTTTAAAAATCGGGCCGTTCAGAATCACACGCATGGCACCATCGGCTCGCATGAGCATGCGGCCAGTTTGCTTGCCATCGGCACCCTGGCGAACATTGACTTTGAAAGTACCAATTCCACGCTCTTTCCATTCCTTGTTTGAAAAATGAAACAGCTTTGCCTTACAGGAGAAGACGGTCTCTTCCTCTTCTTCGCCAGTTTCAACTAAGTGACCGCAGTTAGTACAGTAATATTGAAGAGAATGGTTTCACATGAGCATACTGTTCTGTGCGTAGAAACGCTCATCAGTCTTAGACGCCTCGAATGTGTTTGTGGTGTCTTCATCGTTGCTGCCACTTTCGTCACCATCGGAATCTTCGGCACCAAGAGGCTTAGCCTTGGTTTCACCAAGAGTGACAGTGGCATTGTTCGATGCAAAGCTGGTCAGGCCACCTGCTTGAGCAGCAGCACCGAATCCACCACCAACACCAGTAAAACCATTTCCCAGGGCACCGAAGCTGGAAGCCCCAGAGGGGCCTGTAAAGCTGTTTGTACTAGAGGCAGCAGATTTGAAGACAGAGGGAGTTGAGCCGGCTAGAGTACCAAACGGAGAACTCTCGGAGCCTGCAAATGCGGCCAAACTGGACGAAGCAAATGCAGAGGCAGAAGCCGGCTTTTGAGAATCTTTCGTTGAATCTTTGATATTGTTTAGCGAAGCAAATGGAGACGCGGCTGCCTTCCCAAAAGCGCTTGCAGCGAATCCCTGTGCAAAAGAGAGCATTAGCAGGTTGGAATTTTAAAGAAAGAGATGGACAAACATTATCGGTCTTGATATCCCGTTCTTGGGAATCATCACGATGTTTCTTCTTCTCGGGCTCTCCATCGGAAGTGAGCTTGGCGTCGGCAAGACCAATAGGGGTTGGTGCTGAGTCGTTTGTCGTATCCGCTTTCTTGGAACCGTCCTCAAGCTGCTCGCGACTTCTCTTTCTCGTCAGAGACTTTGCGGAACCGTCGTCCATGGTTTCGGGAGTGTGTTCGATCGTAGGGGGTGTCTGGTCCTGTGAGAGTTTGTTGGTATTTTGTTTATAAATCTCTTTGTGCATGTCCGGTGTGGTCTGCATGCTGGGTGCAGTGACTGGGCTGGAATATTCTTCCGGGCTCTCGGTGACGGACTTGGGAGTCGGAGTAGAGGAACTGGCCGGGTGGTCACTTCCAGATTCAGGGGTGTATGAATGACTGGAGTCCACCACTGTCCACTGTGGGGCAGGTTCTTCTTCCACCGATTCCAGCACCCTATCCAGCCTGCCTTCTCCCCTCACGGTTTGCATGGTGTTTGTCGGCCTCTTCCAGACCAATGCGCATGTTGCCGAGAGTCCACAGCCGATCTCATTGAACTCGACACAGTGTTCATCCTCGTCGAGAGGATCATCCAGGATATCCATGAGGTGTATGATCGAAAGGTCTAAGTCCAGGGAGGCGGCCCAAAAGGTGTTTGTAAAATATCGTGTTCACTCACATTCACTTTCAATGACTGGGCACCAGAGCTTGTATCCTTGCCCGTAGTCAACTTGGCATTGCCAGTGCTTTCCGGTGTGCCCTCTCGCGATCGCTTTCGTCGGCTCTCGCCGTTCTCGCAGGGGTCATCTTGGTGGTCGCGGGATTCTTCAAATGAGCGCTTGCGACTGCTGGCGTTCTCATTCGCGGCTATGGGGGCGGATTCAATGGAGGTTTCCTTGAGTTGCTTGCGAACCGGACGCTCGCCGCCATCGTTGTCGGAAGGAGGAGATTCTCCACCAGTTGCTGGGGCTCAAACAGAAAGCACTGTCAGCTTATGCAAATTTCATCAACACGATACAAAAAACATTTCAGACCGCACAGAGGAGAGGTAGGTTGCAAGCAGCAGACATGGAAGGAATGCGCAGCTGGCGCCAAGATGTAGGAAGTTATCGCTTCCCTCGAGGTCCACCTGTCGGCATTTATCCACGGCTTCCACGCACACCAGTGGACGTGCAAATTGACACAATAGACTCGAGACAAGGCGCACAAAGGCAGGGCATGGGATCAAAAGCACTCACCCGTCGCGGGCACCGCTTCATCCATGGAGGCCATAACAATGACAGGCTCTCAGGAAGAGGTGGAGACTGGCACAAGGGTTGTATATGTCCGTCAGTAGACAAGGGTTAGATTCAAAGGAATTGGAGCAAAGCAAGAGATTTGACAATAGATGTGATTCAGACGAGCAAAATCGAAGCTCACGTGGTAGAGATTGGGACAGAAAAGATGAAGTTAGAAAGAGAAAGCGGCGAAGATGTTTTGAGTGTTGTTCCGGTCACCGCTTCGCCCCGCAGTGAACCTGGGCCTCACTTTAGAAGGTATCAATAATGGAAAAAATCAGAGAATAATATTGAATTCACTATGCTGATAGTTTTCTATCAAGATAGGTTTCTATCAAGGAAGGAGGCATACCCTTCGTACAACTTCTGACCCATTGCTATGGTGGATTACACCAATAGCTGAAGTCTGGTTACTAGTGCATATTGGGTTGAAGCAGCATACAACCTATCGGGACCTCGGGAATAACAATCCTGGAAAGCATCTCGAAGAAATTTCCTGGCACCTTAGTGATTGTAAAGTCATGGTAGAAAATAACTCAAGCTTGAAAGATATGTATACATGTTTGCACTGCAATTTCGTTCGAGGTTTTCTCCAATATTCCGCTGCAGTCCGAATCCACCGTGACCGAGACTCTTTAATGGCGAAAAGAGTACTTATCTCTGCAACACTAACTAATAAAACAGAGACATCCAATTGCAATGTAGAACACAAAGAGTGGATACACGGCAATGCCTACTCGGTTTCGAACAACACCTGAGCCACCCAAGATGCTCACTCCTGCCGCCAACGACCAAGCCACAAGGACGAGATAAACAGGTATTCTGGCGATAGTAGGCAGTCCGAGTGCGCTGAGCAGGGCAGCGATAACGAGTGGGAAGAGCGTGTAACCGATTATGCAGATCGACTGGAAGAAAGAACTGAAGAGCGAGTCAGAGGATTAGTACAACACGTCAACATGAAGACGACACCAGGACGCGGAACATACATTTTACCACCAAGAAGCTTGATCTGAAGTGTCACGGCTGCCTCTCCAATCCAGACAATGCAAAATACACCCGAGAAAACCAGCGATGACTGGTCACCCTTAGCGACGGATAAGAACAAGCTGAGCACTAAGCAAAAGATCAACGGGCCCCTTTAAGAAAGATATCATTAGCGTGGAAGCCCGCATTGACCACTAAAGGAGAATACCTTCAACATACCATAGGTCCCAGTCGCGCAGCCCATCACTCATTCCACCCTGCAAGACCACATCGGCATCCGGCCAGCGTCCAACGAGCCCGCGCAGGTTATGACCAAATCCAGAAGCCTCGCCTCTCTCTGCAGCACCACCAATACCACCACCGCCGCGTTGCATCATGCCTCCTAGAAGGTACTTCGGCCACAGCACCTGGCGCATCTTCTCCCCGACGGCCACCAAGTCGCGCGACAAAGTGGCCCAGACAGACTCATCAATGGTATTCTGAGTCGCACGACGATCTTCACCAGGGATGGAGGATGTGAGATAATTCCCGTAGCCCGATCGACTACCCCCTCGTGGGCCGGAGTCGGATTCAATATTACCTCGGAGAGGAGCTGTGTCGGAGGTCTCGTGCAGGGGATCATCGGCCTCGACGGCTAAAGACCCAATAAATTAATATGAGTGAAAGGATTGAGGAACAATCTCAAGATCAGGTATGGGCAGAATATACTCACCATCATCGGCATCGATCAGGTCATCGTCTAGAAGGGATTCGTCGTCGTGCAGGTCATTGTGCGACTGGCCGTGCTGCACGGTCGCCATGATTGTTCGCGTCGATTGTGATCGAGAGATGGAAAATTGAGTTTAAAATGTATTATTGAAGAAGCATCGGCTGAGCCTTCAAGCACCAAATAGTGTGGCAAGTGAAGTACAACGTAGTTGTTGATGGCTTGGAAGCTCTCCCGGAAAGGCTAGAGTGGCATTACAGTCCCGTGCTGGTCATAACATGGTAACGTTACCAATTTCCCCGCATTTCTTCATGTTTTGTATGTATCGAGCTGATCTTCACATCTGAAACATCATCAATTTCTAAACAGACCTTCCATGTTGATTTCAAGGAGATACGTGATGGGCGTGAATGTGCCAAATAATTTGATGAGTTGAGGATTACAGCCTGGCTACGCTCTATGCTTGCGGATTCTCTCTGGGGTCGAATAATATCGGGTGGATGAGAGGAAACAAAATGGCTTCTGCGTGGCTCGAGGCAAAGCTCAGTCTGGCGGGCGAGATACCTGCTTGAGTGGGAACGGTGTGAATCGAGGAGACGGATAGACGATGTCGGGGTTATACAAGAAGTACTTTCTCTTGTGATTGATTGTGCGGGCCTTCTCAGGATCAACGTAGAGTCAGTTTCCTGATTGGGTGAGAATGCATATGATGGCCAAGAGTTTTCCCAGAGTCTGTGATTCAAATCGCTGGCCAGTATCCCACCCGTAAGTTCGCAAATCCCTTGAGGATTGCCTTCATCACTTATAGAGGACTCTCGAATATTTGTCGGCATGGCGGTACCGCCAGTCATGTTCAACCGGACTGTCGTCAAGACCAATGGTCTTAAAACGGCCTTCTTATACCATGCCACGACGCTCCAGCCTGCTCGGTCAATTTTTAGGTGGTCCAAGACAGAAACTCGCTTGGCAAGCAAGAACGGCTGCTCAAAAGATGTGGAGGCTGTTATGCCAAAGGCAAGATTTCTTGTCACCGTAGCCATTGCAGAGATTGTTATTAAAAAGACAGCCTTGGGATGACCTTGATTACTACTTCCAGTGTACTCGAAGTCACCCTGACCTGGAACAATAGCTTGGAGTTTGATATACAAGCTCGTCTGAGCAATTCAGGAATGTTTCATTCCTTCAAAGGTTGTTTCGGTGATCAATACTGGGGTCTATCAAAATGAAGCGAAGACGAGATGGCTTACGACAGAAAACTCCTCCAATTTGAATGAAGGCCAAATATGCAGTGGTATTGGATCAAAGATTCTATGTGTGCTAAATAGGGAAAAATCTATGATTCTTTGTACAGATGCGAACCGAAACGCCACAAAATCAAAGTTTTAATATACAGATATTGTACAAAGGCAGAAACTTCGCTGATATGGCAAAGTCACCCAAGAAGGCCGAGGGGTCAAGGCTCAGATTCGGCCGGGCGAGAAGACGAAGATTCCAACGTCTTCTCAGTTTTCTGCTCATCAAGTTCACACGTATCCGATACCGCAGGAATCGTTTTTCTCTCACGGTGCACGCTGCGCTGTTTTGGTGTAGCAAAGACAGTTTCTGCGCTCAACTTCATAATGACGTTCTGATCGGAGTACTTTTTCAGCGTGATGGACTCCGATTCGAGCACTCCGCGCTCGGCTTTGGAGACGAAAGTCGAGTATTCGGATTTCAAAACTTCGTCGATCATCAGACGAATACGGGCCATTATCTTGACAGCCAGAGCCCCCGGGACGCCGTTCCCATTGCGAACAGAGTCCCAACGACTCTTTGAGAGTGGCTTTCCTCGCTCAATGGCCTCGTGAAGCTGAGCAAAATGAGGTCGAAGAGTCGCAAGCGCAAACAGGTGAAGCTTCGCTTGCAACTTCTTTCCCATGGTTCGCAAGGTACGTGCCTCGCGTCCTTCTTCGATCCCTAAGCCTCTCAGGTACATGAGGATACCTGGTTGTTGTGATAGTGCCTGGACCAATTCGAGATATCCCTGGAGCGCTCGGAGGTCAGGGAGAACCAAAGATTCGCCCATCATGTCCATGATTTTGTTTGCATGTAGAAGGCACGAATGATTGTGTTTGTCGCGACGACAGACAGAAAGAGCGATATGAAAAATCTTCCCACTAACTTGCCCCGACTGGATCAGTTGGCCTCGGACGAGTTCAACAGCCTTGTTACTTGCTCGCGATACACGGAGAAGACGCAGAAACTGGATGGCAGCGACCTCGTCTGGTTCGATGGGTGGTGACGTTGAGGTCGATGTCAAATGTTTCCAGTATTCATAACCGGATTTACTCCCTTGGGTAATATTGAGACACGCCTCCTGTATGATTGTGAGGTCTTTGTTCCCAGGCTGGAGTCCCGGCACAGGCCCCGTGGGAAGAGGATCAAAGAGCGAGTCGAAGTCTTCCTCTTCCTTCTCGATAGAAGGCTTTTCCTCCTCTTGCCCATCCTTGTTTATTTTCAATGTCCGATTGTTTTCATCCACGAACGGAACATCCTCTTCCACGGGCGGCTCGGAAAGTTTGGTTTGCTTCAACCTCCATGTCGAGGTAGGCGTATTTTTGGCGCTTTCGGGCGGGCGTGTTGAAAAAATGGGAATCGCCATGGTTTGATGGTAGAGAGCGAAAACATCGTAGTAATCATGGTCACTGGCGCCTTCCAACAGCAGCGCAGCCATGGACTGTACCACATGAGCGTCAGGAGGTAGGCCGTCATTTTGCCATCGATAGAGAATATCGGCCCATATCCTTTTGCCATCGTTGATGAGCTGAGCCTTGAGAGCAAAAATATGGTCGATCTGACTGGCATCCATGGTCTTGATTTTGTTGCGATGGGCAAACAGGAGGGTTCCCAGGATGGCCGTATAAGTTGACATGTCCGGTGCTCCTGGTCCCTGTTCAGGGAGACCCCCAGCAATGCGCCAAAGTGTGTCCATATCTCCGTGGTACTGGCAGACTGATAGCATCGCATTGGTATGAATTATGTCGCGTTCAACTTCGGAGTTCTCGGCAGAGATTGAGTTATAAATGGCTTCCGCGGTTCGTACGACATTGAAGCCAGGAACTTTGGAGGATTTCCGGAGCCCCATGAGGAGAATGGTGAATGTTTGGGGGTTTGGCTTTCCAGCGCGCTTTTTCATCTATCAGGTCGCGATTGAGGTCAGCGAGTGGGGTCTCAAGACCACCTTTCGATGGATAATAGGTGAAACTTACATCATTGAAAAACCTCAGGGCCGGCTTCGGATGACCCTTATCAAAACAATACCCAAAGATCCGATTCCATGCCACGACAAATTTTGTCCCTGGGATTTGCTTCGTTGCCTCCCGAGCGAGTGCCACTGCCATGGCAGGATCACCCCCTCTTAAGGCCGTCGAGACTCGCTGTGCCAGTAGAAGCGGATCCTGCACCCACTCCATTTCCAAACGAACATGTTTGCGATTGACCTGAGATGAAGATTGTTGCGCAATCTCCATCAATAAATCCTCTCGTTTTCTGGCTTCAGACTCACCCGAAGACACCTTGGGACGACGTGAGTTCCGACCGAAGGCATTCTCGGGGGCACTTGATCGCGACACAGATAGAGGTGCAAGGGAGGTCTCCTGGTCTGCGCTGACATGGGGTTCATCTTGGCCCGCAGTTGCTGTCGTATAGCTTCGCAGAATTTTGGATGCGGTTCGCAATTCAAACTGTTGACTAGCGTTGCCATGTGGGAGTCTTTGCTGGAGCAATCGGCTGCGCAGAGCTCTGCTCCAACCTGTACCTGCAGTAGCCATCGCCGAATGAAGGCTCAAATTTAGCTCTGGTCTGTCACGATCTGTTGCAAATCTGTAGCCCGTTGAAATGGAAAATGAAGACAACGGAACAATTATTTCCGATATGAAGTCCACTGGCACGAATCGGGTTAGACCAATTCCCTTATCTGTAAGGCAGAAACACGATTAATGCCATATTTCTAGGGCATCAAGTACCATGAAATTAGCTTTTCCTCTTTCCTGCCCCAAAATCTTCTTTGATTGGTTTGAAGAAGTGAGTCTACCGAGACTCAAATCTATCCGTCAAATTTGATGGAAGAACATGCTTTGTCAGGCACTAAATGTACAAACATGACTAGGTAGGCGCAGTGGCCTGTGAGACCAGCCTTTTATCAGGTGTGTGTGCCTGCGGCAGCCGTAATGTAAGCGCTCATTTGCGAAATTATTTGGGTAATCATTCGCCAGGATAAAAACATCTCAACCCAGGTAATGACTGAGACCATTACAGCAAATAGTTTATCAGGTCAGATCATAGTCATCACAAGTGGACCTCCAACCTCGAGTTGGTTTCATCGATTCGACAGGCATACCTCAATAGCCGAATCATGCGAGTCCCGTGTATGGCCCATGTAATCCAGTTTTGCTTTTAGCCGTTTCTTGGCCAGATGAAAGCTAATCCTGTCGACAACAATACTAACCTTCCTCCTTCCTTGGCCTGCAGAGATTAGTTTTTTTCTTTCTTCTTTTTTCTTTTTTCTTTCATCAGATGGGCATGTATCCCAGTGGGGGAAAGGTACATAGCCCATACACTTCAAGAAGCTTGAAAATTTGCTCTCTATATCAAGACGAGCCCGAACGCCGGATCCACCGGAGAAATTCCTAAAGCTTCAGTATAACGCACATACAGCTCAGTCTCGAGCCGTTTCGACGCAGTGGATTTCTATCTTGCTTATACTTCAATGGGCCAAACGCTTGAATCCCTCCGCAGGAGCTCAAAGTGCTATTAATTCATGAAACCCAGATCCGAGAAACTAATGGCAAATCGTTCGCTCTGAATATGACTGTACGATGGCCACCCAGTATGTATGAAATAAGGATAATTAACATGCTTTGCCAGCAGACCCCTGTTAGAAATAAGCAATGATGCTTTCGGGGCTGACGCCAGGTGGGGCCCTCACCCCAAAAATGTATTCCAATTGGTTGATGCCTTCCAAGGGCATGTTTGATTGGTCTGGATTTACAGATTGCCTCGGGAGGCCACTACGTTCTCCGTAGAAATATCCGTAATGGTTGATCAATGGATCAGTCCCAAGAAGATAAACGTTGATAGTGAGAGAATAGTGCTTTTCGCATAGCCTCTTGATGACACAATAGGTAATCCTCTATGCCACGGAACATGGGCATCAGATCTTCTGACGGATGTGTTGGGGAGTCAGGACTGATAATAGAGGCGTACCGAGATGTTTGGCGATTTCAAACCTTAAGATGCAGATGCAATTTTGGAGACCTGCTAAGTCGGCAAAATCAAAGAGCACGGTCACAGGACTCCAGGGCTTATACCTGGGACGTTCGAAAGCGTTCACCAAGTGGTGCCTTGATTCATGCCAAGAGTGAAAACAAACAAAGTGACACCTCAACCTGACTGCTTCCTTTTCCTTTTTACCTTGAAACTCTTAACGGGTAACTCCGGCTTTCCATCTCAAACAACTACGAAGAAAACCTTACTTCTAGCTTCCTTTTGAACTAGGATTCCTGCTATGCGAAGCAAATCCACCTTGGAGATCTGCCGTTCGCAACTGCACCTCTGACTTCCGAGGACCAGAACCGAATACCCCGCAACTTCGTCGCTCGCACGACCCTTTGAATCACCCAGCTCATTTTACCACCTTATCCAGCATGATACCAATTCATTATACTTCCTTTCCCCACTTGATCTTTAACTGGAACATCAAATGCATAGGACGTGTGCCTCAGGCATGATCCAGATTTGCTTTAGGCGCTCAGGCCTTGTACCCCGCATGACTCTATGGTGATCCCACACAGCGAGGGATAAAAAGGGGTATCATCTGGTATTAGCATCTCCTCTTTCTCAAGCATTAGTCTGGACGAATTCTTTCCCTACCGTTTTACAACAAATCGTCCCTAGCCACTTGGCATTGAGAACCATGTATTGCCCTAAGGTCGGTGATCACATCGACAGCCTTGATACGCCTTCAATGATTGTTGACCTTGATTTGTGTGAGGCCAATATCAAGAAGTTAATGGACAAGCTCCTCCCCACGGGATTGAACATTCGCCCCCACCTCAAGACGACAAAAAGTGTAATGCTGGCAAAAAAACTGGCCAAGGCTGGAGCAAAGGGAGGCTGTGTCGCAAAAGTGAGCGAGGCGGAAGTTATTGCGGGAGCTGGGTTCGATGACCTTCTGATCACATGTGAGATCATCGGCCCCGCGAAGGTGAAGAGGCTTGTGGAGCTGTATCGCAATCACCGAAACATTCGAATCGTGGTGGATAGCGAGATTGGCGCAACCGCCATCAATGAGGCGCTAAAAGCATCGGGCATTCAAGAGCCAATCACTGTCCTGATTGACCTTGATGTTGGTCTCCACCGCACGGGTGTCAAGCCGGGCGAGCCAGCCATGGCCTTAGCGCAGCATGTTGCCGGGTTGAAGCATCTGAATTTGATCGGAGTGCAAGGCTACGAGGGCCACCTGCAGCATTTGCATGATAGAGAGGACCGTAGAAGCCAATGTCTACAGTCCATGAAAATCCTTACCGACACGGCGAATTCGTTACGCAAGGCTGGCTTCAACATGGAGGTCGTTACCACTGGGGGAACTGGCACCGCGGAATTTTGTGCAACAGTTCCTGGTGTGACGGAGCTCCAGCCCGGCTCTTTCATCTTCATGGATACCGATTACCGAAACGCCGTAGGCACATTCTACTCCAATAGCCTCACCCTTTTGTCCACCGTTTTGAGCAAGCAAGGCCCTCAAATTGTGACGATCGACACGGGACTAAAGTCGCTGACAACGGATAGTGGCCTGGCCGAGTGCAAGGACCCAAGGTATATTTATGGAGTTCTAGGTGATGAGCAAGGGTCACTTAGCTGGGGTGATGGTGCGCCGGTACTGGCAGTTGGTGATCGTGTGGAGATGGTCCCTAGCCATATTGATCCTACGGTCAACTTGCACGACTTCTATTATGCCTACCGCAAAGGCGTTATTGAGGAAATCTGGCCCGTGGACTCGAGAGGAAAGGTTCAATGATGGAAAAGAGCGGTAGCTTGAATGCTTGGATTCGCAAAAGACGATGCAGGGTCCTCTTCTCTCCTCTTTCAGCCAGGGTTTTCTGCTTCGCGCTTTGAAATCCCAGGCTTTCTAGGTCTTGCCGACTATCTATCGAATAGATCAACATCATTGTCATTGTCATTATAGAGCTGATAGAGAAAACACGTTACATATACTTTGTGAAACATGCAAGAGCTTATCTCTAAGGTTTTGGTTCTACCAAGTGATATCCTTTACGCTGGCCTGATAAGGAAAATGGTGCCAAGTGCGTTGCCAAGAGAAAATACTTTGATTGAACAACTCAGGTGGAGGCGGTAAGGAGCATGATAACAATTCACGTGGATCTCCTTGGCACGACCAGCTTCTCCAAGCACAACGACAGCTTCCAGCTTGACAAGAGACCAACTTCTGTCGGGCTTGACTAGGAAGCTCCGTTATATCTTGCCAACCGCCCTCGAGATTCATGCGCCCACTGCGCCTACTTCAACTCTGCACTTCCGAACTCCCCGCAATTCCACACCATACGGTCCCACTTTGTATCTCCGCATTCGCTTTTCAATACTTCTCCTCTACCGTAAAAACCCATGGCCGACCTTGCAGCTTGGGCTCTTCCTCGGCTCAGCCAGCTCCTCCCGCTGGATGAGGAATCTTTGAAGCAGATCGTCAACTATTCAGCCGACCTCGCCAAAGATGCTTGTGCCGATCACCTGAAAAATCTCCTCGGCGACTCCCCTGCAGCGCTGGAGTTCATCACCTCATTCAACGCACGCCGCGATGCACGGTCGGCGACTTCCTCAACCACCAATGCCGGAACCATAAACAGCGATCACCCCCGGGGAAGAAATAAGAAGGAAAAGAAGCCGCTGCATAGCCCTGGTCCGCCACGCCGTCCAGATAACTACGGCAATATGGGAGGAGGATACATCAAAGCAAATAAGGTGGAAGACTACATGTCTGCCAGCAAACCCCCCTTGTCGGTACTATCACCCGATCTCTCGGTGCCTGGCTCGTCCGCATCATCGCCCAACCAGTCGCCGATACCCACCTCTTCCAACCACCCCCCGTCAGCTTCTGGTCCGGTGCTGTCAGATATGCTGCCGAATGTGCGGTCCAAAACGAGCACATCGACCCGAAGAACCGGCAACGCCAGATCTTCCAAAGGAAGCGAGTCTCTCACAGCCAACAGTATTTCCGATCTGACAGCCGCCATCGCTGCCCTGGAGGTGTCAACCAACCCTAGCTTGAGCACTGAGAGACGAAAATGCGCGTGCTCTGCGTCAATACACCCATTATTTGACCCTGCTCCAAATTGCCTCAACTGCGGCAAAATCATCTGCGCCTTAGAAGGTTTACAACCATGCTCCTTCTGCGGCACATCGCTTTTATCCTCTGAAGAAGTGCAAAGTATGATACGAGAACTTCGGAACGAGCGTGGCCAAGAGAAAATGCGCGCCCACAACGAAGGCGTCCATCCCGACGGGGGGCCACGACTAGTCTCTGGATCTGGATCGGTAGCTTCTCGCAAACTTGACGCTGCCAGGGCCCACCGCGACAAACTGCTTAATTTCCAAGCACAGAATGCTCAGCGGACCAAGGTGGTCGACGAAGCGGCCGATTTTGAGACCCCTAGTACCGCCACGACGCTGTGGATGAGCCCGGCACAGCGAGCGCTCGCACTGAAAAAGCAGCAGCGCATTCAACGTGAGCTGGAAGAAAAGGCCCGTCCGGAGTGGGAAAAGAAGAAGACCGTAATGAGCCTTGATATCAAGGGTGGAAAGGTTCGACGGGTCTATCAATCTGCGGCCGTGGAGTCAACGCCGGAGAACAACGAGCCGGAATTGCTAGACCTCGACGTCGAAGAATCCTTGGAGTCTTCCGGTCGACATGCGTTTAGTAGGAACCCGCTTCTTGCGGCTGGTGGGTTAATGAGACCCATTTGGCACGCCCCAGATGGCAAGATAGCTGAAAAATCCGAGAGACCTGAGCCGAAAAAGACGTGGCGACGTGTCCAAGATGACAATGATGATAATGAATCGTGGATCTTAGACGGGGGCTTACATGGATATGACACATGATTCTACTACGGAATAGGATTATACGAATACACATCCTAAAAGAGTTCACGGCTTTGCCTAATCTGGCTAGGAAAGAATGAGAAAGCTCATGACAATGTATATTGAAAGGCCTGCGCTCGTAGAGAAGATTGATATGTATTTGTGTTAAGCAATGACTGCTACGTATGCAGGCCTGACAGTGGAGAATACCAAGGTGGGTGAAGCAGCTATTCGGGGTCTCCCGGTACGACCCTCCAGTAGCTCCCATGTCCTACTTTGCAAGAGTAAACTCTTGAATTATAGCACATGAGGCGGTTGAATTTGCTGTAGAGCATTCACGAAGACCCTTGGACTGGATATGCATATCCACTTGTTGGTGCCTGTATAATTAGTCATCCAACGCGCCCGTTTTCCTGCGTTTCCTCCGTTGTCGGTTGCTTATCTGATGAGTCTTATCTGATCCTTTGAACTCCTCCTTACTACCTTACAGGTTCTTACTACCGAGATGCAAATCAAAGCTCTTAGCTCCTTGGCCCGTGGCCAGCCAGGTGTCCTGCACCATATTGTGAGCATTTTCGCTCTCGCAAAATTTCTCCACAAATTTCACTGGGCCTAGCCAATTACTAATATTTGTGCATCTCTTTTGCAGACCTCTCGGCTCGTCGCTTTCGAACACACCCGCGGTTCCCCCCGCAAACCACATACCCTTATTTTTGTCGGCGGATTGGGCGATGGTCTTGGTACAGTGGAATACGTAGCTGATCTGGCAACGGCACTGGAGGGATCCGAATGGACAATATTCAACCTAGTCCTGGGTTGTTCTTATGGAGGCTGGGGCATGGGCCGACTTGGTCAGGATATCGACGAGATTGCGCAATGCGTGAACTATGTTCGGGAATATAAGGGGCCACATTATGGTACCGGAAAGGTGGCTATTATGGGATCTTCTACAGGATGTCAAGATGTAATGCATTACATCAACTGCCCGAATCCACGACCGGCACATCCTATTTTTGATCACGATTGGGAGCCTATCCTACGTGCTCCTATTGACGGAGCTATTATGCAATCCCCAGTATCAGATCGTGAAGGTATTCTTCAGGTTTTGTCGGATGGGACTGAGCGGAACAGTCCTGCTGAAATGCGTGAGATTTACGACAAGGCGGTCGAAGAAGCCCGAAATAAAACATACGAGGATGGCGACACTGTGGATACTATTGTACCACTGTCGGTGACTGGCCGAATTGGATATTCCACCTCCACACCGGTGAGCAGTCGGCGCTTTCTGAGCTTGACAAGTCCCGACAGCCCAGAGAAACCCGAGGAAGATGATCTGTTTAGTTCGGACTTGAGCGATGAGCGACTTGCTGAGACTTTTGGAATGGTTGGGGCTAGAGGCCTTTTGAAGCAAAAACTGCTGGTTTTATATTCCGGCCGAGATCAGTCCGTTCCCCCTTGGGTCAATAAGGGTGCCCTTCTTCAACGGTGGGAAAGAGCTATTGATGCTGGTGAGAAGGAGTTTTGGGATCCTCGCAGTTTGGTTATTCCCAATGCTTCCCATCAGTTGAGTGACCCTGACCAAGCAGAGCCGAGGCGCATTTTAGTGCAAAGGGTGACCGCTTATTTGAATGATCTCCAGAGAGGTTGAATCGGAAAATCAATATACGTACTCCCAAATGACTTGTGAAAATTGGCTGTTAAATGACTCAAGTGTGCAAAAGAAACAATGTCCATAACGTTTTGAAACGCCTTGTCACTGAAGTAGACACGTAGGTGAACACGAAATCTTTTCTTCAAGCCCCAGACTAGACCTCGGGAAACGAAAGCAAGGAAAATAAACCCTGACTTGCTTCGAGTTCCGGTGAGTAAAAGTAAATCTTTATTCACCATAAACCGTTTCACCCTAGGATTACGAATAACATAGGGATAGGCTTCATTGATGCTTGTTCACGAGGTTAGAAATTCAAATTTCGGACGGAGCCAAGTATAAGACTAAAGCTTATGCAATTGCGGTTTGGATACATAAATATAAAATTCGTCTTATATTGATCTTGAGAGCTTAAATTTTGACCTTCACAACCTTCCCGCATACGGTTTGAAGGGTCGTCCACCTTAGGATTGAGCCTCGCTGAGGCTACCCGTGAATCAAAGATGTAGTCTTCCGAAATGCTCAAAAATTATCGGGCGTGGGTGAAATGAGCCTACTTGTCGGACAGGACTCAACTCTAGAGACTGATTCGATGGACAGACACTAACCTGAAACTGGAACTTTTAATCAAGCTCCAGTGTGTCTATTCCTGTTCCAGACTCCCCTTTCCCCCCCTCAAATGTGAGCCAACCTGAACCACTGGTTCAAGTAGATATATAGGTGAGTAATGAATATCACTATTGGTGTTCTATAAATGGTGTTGGCCATAGGAAAGATGGATGAACCCAGCTAATCATACGACCTGGGGTACGATAGGTAATAGTCATGATCTTCTGTTTGAGGCTTTCTGAGTATTGAAATGGTGTGGTAGTCTTAAGTATACTTTCATTACAGAAGGAAGTAAACAGACGAAATAGATATACATTTATGACCAGTATCTTGATTGCCCTGTTGAGGGAACGGTCAGATAATATGAGATGGGGGAAAAGCTCCAGCAATGCTGAAATTAGCACCCAATCCTCGAGTTGGTGTCAAGTTAAATCTGACACAGTGGCATGATGAAAGCAAGGAGCTAGATTGGCTGGATTTCGACGCGCAGGTTAATAAAGTATTCTTGCAAGAAACCACTGAAAAATCTGCTCCAGTTAATGATCGACACCTTCGATATTAGGGCAAAGCGACAATAATAGTATATATCGCGCACAGTGAAGTCCATGTTTACCCATGGAAACCATTCATTTCGGCAGTTGTCTCTGCGTTACGTGCTCAAAATTCGTAGGATGCAGGGACAAAATTGTATTAGGGCAACCTAGATGATCTTTACCTCTCTATCTCGACTAGTGCAATACTCAATATTTCTTAGAGCAGCAAGAGACAAAAGGACCGTACTTATAATGAGTTGTCACTTCTCCCATCCCGGAATGAGCCATAAGCGAAAACCTCAGCGCTTTCTTTGTGGCCCTCATGTCGCTGTTTAGGAAAAGAGAACGGCTGCTGACTGATTCAATCACAGCCATTATCCCAGCTCAGGTAGGTATCGCAGCTCGGAAGGTAAACAGCCATCCGCTTTACTGACCCTATTCGTGCTTCCATAGCATCTCCACGGAATTGCTCTAAGACCGAGCATCACTTCCATTTCAATCTTCCAAACTGAAACCTCAACATTTACCACTCGCCCATGTCGTGGACCGAGAAAGATGACGATTGGAGCTGGTCCATTTGACTGCTAACCTATTATTCCAAGTTTTGTGTAGAATAGGGACCCATTTCAACCGAGAAAGCTGGCTTCTTATGATAAATGCCCAGATTGACTGTTCAGGACATGACGATATAGTGACTCAGCTTCACAAAGCGTGGAAAGAACTGAGGATCCGCTAACCTGTTATCAGCCAAAAGGTCCTTGAGAGGGCGTAGCGATACTTTAATATTCCCAGTGATCAGGCACTAAAAGCATGGTGCCATGAAGCATTCCGCATTCAAGTTTTGTCGGTAGATGAATTCTTCTCTCGACAACATCGTTCAGAGCCTCGTGCTACGCTTCACTATTTCCCTGCCGCAAGCTAAATTGCTTTGATTTCGTCACATGTACGATGGGACGGACGAGGTTACCTCTTGATGCTACATCAACTCCTATTGGCCCTTGAGGATCCCACCTTCCCTATAGTTTTAGTTTTAGATGGCTATGAAGCCAAAAGCCTAGTTCCTGCATTAGGTTTGGTCATTGTAACACCAGGCGACATCAAGCCCAAGTGGGGGGAAGAGTGCTGCCGGAATACTCCATCCATATACTGATGCCCAGCTGTCTCTTGAACTCTTGCCGCCTGGCGGTTCAAGGGCAGACCCTGGTGATACAAACTGAGCTGAGATATATTTAGATATGGAGGTTTCGAAAGGCTCAAAGGTAAGAGCCTCCTTAGTCTTAATTCATGGTCTAATAAATTCGGAGCGTGAATTGATGATCATAGCTTGCCCATGCATAACGGATTCCGTGGGCAATAGTAGGGGCCTTATTCGCATAGTTCCGAAGGCCCCAAGGGTAATGAAACCTATCCATCTATCACTCTACCCGGTTCCACCTAAGTCACAATGTTTCCTCAATACTTTGGACCGATGAACACTGCACGCCTGATAGAATACTATACTGGGGGCCTTATTTGTATCACCCCGAAGACTCCTAATTGCGAGTAACGTTAATTTATGCCGGGCTCACCATGTCCGGCAGGTTCCCTGGCTAGAGCTTACAATTTGAATTGAACGATACTGGACGCACCAGTGTTGGGGAACCAATCAAGAGAGTTTATTGAATAGATACCTCGGAGATCGTTGTTGAGTGCGTCTCATAATCCTAGGGGCTGGTACTGGCTTGTTACAGCGCCGGAATCCTGAATTGACCAGGTTTATCACCAAGGCACTACGGTAATGTAGGTATGGGATGGATAACCATGTTGGCAGTTAGATAATTTTGTTTTACCGCTTTTTGAGTTAGATACTTCCCATCGATATATAACATATAAAAGTGAGTATGGACAGGCTAGTATCATTAGAGTTGAAATATGGTAAAAGCTACTTTGGCCAATATTATTGCTATGAATGCATGATTGAGAAACAATGATTAAAGGAAGAGCTTAGGGGAGTAAGCTATTAGGAGTAAGGGTAGTGATAATAATTACACTAGCATAACAACAAATTCATTAGGCTAGCCTCACTTAAACTGGCTTTCTATGTGATCCCATCCATAAATAGCCTAGGCAGATATAAGTCAGCGTATACCGGGGTAGGGATGGCGGAAAAAGGAAAAAGAATGCATTGGCGAGGCTGATTTCGGGTCCAAACTATGAAACATCTAGTTATCGCCAAATACTACAGGGGAGGACTCTTAATGAGTCACCACCGGATTCAAGACTAGGCTAGATCGAGTTGCTTGAATGATTTCTCGATGTGACACATCTCTCTTAGATGGAACTAGGTTCCATATGCCTTAAAGCTAAGGCTTAGAATACTAGATAAATATATAAAGGGGTGGAATAATTTATGGAGCAGGCTGTCGCTAGTATCTTTATTAATCACCGAATTCATTCCCCAAAGGAAAAAAACAATTAGGCCACTCTTATTCAAGATGTACTTCTCGGTGACTAGTCTCTTATAAGGATTTGCCATCATCACCTTTGCCATTTCTATAGCCCACGGGACTCGAGAAGTTCAAATTTTGATTTCAGCGAATGAAAAACACCTCCGGGATAGACCTCAGAGTTATGAACAGCAGTACTTCACAACTCGTGGGATACTCCTGTTCTCCAGACACTTGCATCAGGCGCCTTTGCTAATTTACCTATCACTGCCGACGTGAACGGAAACGGAGCTGGCAGTCTGACTGTTGGGGCCAACAACTACGCTATTCATGAAAATCGCAATATCTCCGGTGGCATTACATGTACTCGAATGTATAATGACGCGGAGCGCTTCGTGACTTGCACTGTGCCATTACCCGGTTCTCTTCCGTCTATGCCTGTCATACAGGAGAGCGTAAATTGTTTTGGCAATTCCTCAAATCCATACCTGATCCGAGCTTATAACTCGATTCTTACACAACAGAAATCCTCTCCCGTGGCAGGAAACATCGCACAACAGAATATCACGCAGAGGAACATCATGCAGAAGAAAGGTCCTCCCTGTGAACCACTAAGCGATACCCGTACGGTTGGAAATGGCAACCCGCACCAGAATTACCTGAACAAGCAGCTCAGTGTAAGCCGTATTCCCTCAAACAGAATCGTGAAGAACAACCTGGCTCATACTCCTATAATTTAGCAAGTTCTACATTGCGAAAACGCACAAAGCTGTGAAGTCGGCCACAGCGAGAGTACCTCATATACAATCGAGTGGTCTCTTTCTTCTGGGACAAAAGCAACTGAATGGATCTCCGGCGGCTTTTCCGTGAGCAAAAGCTGGGAGACTGGAAATAACTACAATTGTGTTGGTGGTAGAGGGGACACTGTTTGTGTTTGGTATAACACTGCCCACACGGCCTATACAGTTGAAAACTGGTACCAAGATCCATGTTATGGAATAGTCTATCAGCACCCACCCTATATCATATTTTTACCTAATAATGGTAATAAGGGGGGACGTTCTTTCTATTGCGTTATTGAGAGCTGTCGGGGAGAGGGAGATCAATGGTGGGATTACTCTGGTCGTGCTTGGGGGCCATATTAGTCTTTACTAGACCTTAACAAAGCTATGAGATTTCCCTTATAGGACTGACCATAGCTGTTAGATAATGGAGTCCTTATGAATTCTCCGAGTTCGCACTTTATCCTTCATTTTTACCGGAATTCTCCGCTACCTCCGCTTATATGAACGCCATATGACCTTTATTCGTTTGTTCTGTTTGAGTCCATGTCTATATCTTATGTATAAAGTGCTTGTTTATTAGTAGAATAGTTTTAATCTTATGCCTAATCTCTTCTCCATTTTCTACGTCTTAGAATTTCCTGAAAAGACCCGAATTAGCTCAGCCTGACCACATAGCCTTGATCATCTGACCTAAATCCCTGAAACTGGTAATCAATCATTCTGCCAACCTCAGACACATAGTAAACTCGCTAAAGTCGGAGCTCGAGAAATTTAAAGGGGGTCTACGGGTCGACGAACACACACCCTCCTGTCGCCACGAAATTGTCCACTGGCAGTCTATTCCGGTCTCCTCCTACTCCGTCGATTTTGTATTCCCCGAAAGTGAGCCATATTGTCTTTAGATCGCGATCTTTGCTTCTATTTTACTCTCGAAACCTTCCTTTAACAACCCTCCTTCTGACTAAAGCTAAAGCTGTCACAACTCCAGATCAATCTGTAGACGTCGCATAGCTACAGAGAGTATGGCTGAATTGGTTGAAGATTTCCGAAAAAAGGAGCATATTTTGGGGCTAGATAGTGTAGTGGGGAACTCCCTGTTACGTAGGGTGGGCTAGGGGAGGGTCCTTTGGTAACGCCCTGAATTTACATCTGAGGAAGCAGGAATATTTGGTCCACCAAACACCATGTTTGCATTTGTTTATAGGAATTACGCGAGGATGAAACCATGGGAGAAGATACCGGAGGTCGAGAGGCGCAAGAAAATATACGACAAAAAGAAGGCCGATTATGCTTACGAAAAGGAAGTATACATAAAAGAAGGAAAAAGCATGACCAGGAAGTGCAAGAGAGACTGAAGGGCCTCGCTGCAGAGGCTGACAAAGACTACTCGACGCTTAAGAAAGAATGGGATGAGCATCAGAAAGTGATGAACGAATTTGTGTCTTTGCAACAAATGGTCTTCACGATTAATTACTGCGATGAGACAAATAAACAGAAGATCGTCATGCAGAGGAAAGCAGCCGCGGCCGCGTTGGCAGCAGCGCAGAAAGCAAAAGCCAACAAGCTCGCTGAAGAGAGCAAGGGCAAGGAAAAGGAAGCCAGCGCCGCTGTCATCGAAAAGGATCATGACGAAAGAGTGAAAGAACGGAAAGCATACATTTTACGATGGATCCGTTTGACCATCAAGACCCTCGGACCTGACTGGGTGGTATTGAAGCCCAAGTTGGAACGGATAAAAGGCTTATTGGACACAGAAAAGGCAAACAGACTGGGTGAGGACATCCAGAAGAAGGAAGATGCCCTCACTATGCTTGCAGAATATGATTTAGAGATGAACAGTCTCGATGCAGTATCCGTTATGCGCGAGAGTCCATTCTGGAAGGCGGCAACGGCCAAGATCAAGATTCCTGAGTATATATGATTTTGTATCTAAGCTGAGAGAATAGCTTAAGTTTTCATCAATCCGGTTCTATCACTACTGGTTATATGTTCATGAAAAGTAGGTATATAGCCTTGGTTTCAAATATCCTTTCTATCTTTTCTATGAGAACTGATAATTATACACTGGTTCTGATAATTGTACACTTATTTTGATAATTGTACACTGGTGTTACTATTTGTACACACTAGGAAGAGGCTATGCCCTTTTAAATTATGGCCATATGTACATGGCTTTATCTTCCATCTGCCTATAATGTCAATATATCACTAGATTCTTGAGGTTTTTGTTTTGATTTCCAAGGTCTTTAGAGAAGACTGATATATAGCTTTTATTGATTTCCCAATCTCCCTTCTAGCCTATTTTCTACCTCACTTTCTGCCCTAATTTCCCCGATTCTACTCTTACGACCCCTTAAGAGTTACTTCTTTTTAAACCTCGAACCCGCCCGCGAGCCACCCTCTAAGGACCGCTTACAGACCCGCACTTTTACGGGCGGAGGGTGGGCTCTTCCTACTCACGGGTTTGGTAGAGTCCTATACTTCATTTGGGGCGTATAAAGGTCTAATATTAAAGTACGCTAGAGGAAAATAGTTAACTTAGAATTTCCTTAATTTTAGCGCGATTATATAAGAAAAAGTGCTTAACGTAATTCACCCCTAAGCGAGCCACCCCCCTATCCGAGCCACCCCAACCAAAACGCGTCAATTAATTAGTCTCACCCTTCTTCAACCAACCACTATGCCCCCAATTCGCTCTTAAAATCGTCAAAATTTGACTTAAAAAGAGGGTCGGATTCTACTTGCTATCCAGGCTATTGAAAAGCAGGAAAAATTAACAATTCGTCAAGTAGCGCTTATATATGATATCCCTCGCATAACGCTCTAATTCCGTCTTAACGGACGTCAAAATCACGTTGAATCACGCGTTAAAACGTTTAAATTAACTAAAATCGAGGAGAATTCACTTAAGAAATGGATAATCTCTATGGATATATGTGGAGCGGCCCTACGACCTTCTATGGTGCAAGAAATGGCTAATCTCTTGCTAGCGACACGTGGAACGACCCTGATTTAAATAGTTGGTAAAAATTGGGTTATAAAATTTGTTAAATGTTACCTAGAGCTCGTTACTAGGTTCTTAAGACGCTATAATTATAAGCGCGCTAAGTGCGAGGACCTAGAAATCATTAAAGAATAGTTTAACCTAGTTTAATAGATAATATCCGAGTATAGGATCCACGAAGATAATATATATAACTTTAATGAGATAGGCTTCGCAATAGGCTTAACCGTGACTATAAAGGTTATAACGAGAGCTAAATATTACAGTTGGTGAGCTCGTTTATAGCCCGGGAATCGTGAATAGTGTCAGGGCGCGGGCTGGCAGGGTTGTAATAGGAGGAGATCGACAGGATCAGAACGTATCCAGAAGGATTCTAATTAATCAGGTGGCAGACGGGGGCAGACTAGCGTAAGCTTTTATACAAGACGTAGCTCGAAGAGCTATAACAGGGTCTAGGATAGATGTGTAGATAAACAGACTAAAGATCACGTGCCCGTGATCTTCCTTATCGGTCCTGGCGGGTCCGGGCGGACCCTTATAGTTCACATCGTGATAGTACCCCCTCCCTTAGGGCCGAGCTCCGTTAAGGCGGGGCTTATAGGGGTATCTACGATAGAAGTTCCAGATGATTTCGCGGGCGTGCGCGAGGTATTCAGCGGGTTCTTCAGTAGGGTCGTCATAACCAATCCATTTAACGGTGTATTTCAGGCGCGGGCCTCCACGACCGCGTCGTTCCCAGCGGGAATCCAGGATATCTTCCACTTCCCATTCCTCTAGTCCTTTAACTTCAACTAGAGGCGGGGGTTCAGGCACCTACTCGTGTATCGGGTTCTCGGCCGCGAGCTATAGCAGGCTAATATTAAATACCAGGTGGATCTTCATACTAGCGGGTAGTTTAAGCTTATAAGCGTGCGGGCTTATAGCCTCTAGGACCCGAAAGGGTCCTAAATTCTTCTAGTCTAGCTTCTTCTACGGGCGGAGGGTCTTAATGTTCCTAGCATTTAGCTAAACTAGTTATCTAGGACAGTAGCGGCGGGTAGGCGCGCGGTGACGGTTCGTTTACTCTTTATAATAGGCTTATGCGGATAGTATCTCAGCGCGGATATATACAGTCAGTTCCTCTATATATGCGGCGAACTTCTTAGCGTCTCGGGCTATAGGGTAGCCACTCGGCAGGGATAGTTCGAACCCAATATAGGGGTGGAACCTATAATTAGCATAGAATAGGGAGACTCACGTACTCTTAGAGTAGTAGGAGTTCACGGTAAACTCGGCTAGCGGTAGCTATTTAGACTAGTTGTCCTATAGATAGGACACGTACGCTTAGAGGTATTATTCTAAGATAGCGTTCGCACGCTTAGTCTAACTATCTATCTCTAGGTAATAGGCGGTGGATAGTAAGTTAGTGATTCATAGGCGTCTCGTTAGGTGCTTCTAAAACTAGGCCATAAACTAGGGCCCTTAGTTAGACACGATCGTACTCAGTAAGCCATATAGCTTCCAGATATAATAGGTATATAGGCGGGCGACTTCTTCCGCGTTATAAGTTCCCTTATAGCGTATAAAATACTTCATTTTAGTTAGGCGGTCCATAACGATAAGGATAGCGTTATATCCATAGCTTAGCGGTAGATATATAATAAAATCCATACTAATATCTAGCTAGGCTCTCTTAGGTATAGATAGTTATCTTAGAATTCCCTAGCGGGCTTCTTAGGCGGGTATGGCCTAGTGGTAGATATGATAGTTCTTAGTCTAGTCGCTTACGTATTAGTAAATTTAGGGCTAGTAGTACTCTTAAGATAGTAGTTCGTACGTTTTTAATCGGCCAGGATAGCTAGTAATAGGCTTATTATGGCACTAGCGTAGGATTTCAGCCTTTAGTTTATCGTCATAAGGGACATATAGACGGTTTCGGTAGTATAGGTAATTACCCTTTCGTTCACAGTCGGTAAGTATGATTTTAGGGTAGCGGCTCGCGTTACTATCTAACGCCTTTAGGATAGATTATACCATATCGTCTTAGGTATACGCCTCGGCTAGTAGGTCTTTAATCGCGGGCGGTAGTTCTAGTAAGCTATAATCAGCGAACCAGACTCTCCTTACGTATATAGTCGTGGCTAGCGGCTCTTTAGAGGTTCTAGACAGGTCTAGCGGGGTGATTAAGGGTTCTCTCGTTCCCGAGCGGGTTAAGATATTCACTTATAGGTTCTCCTTCTTCAGGACAGTCTAGCTTTAATATAATAGGCGTTTATCCCCCTCTTTAGGGAGATCTTCTAACCTCCTAGTCAAGGTATTAGGTTTCGCACCCTACTTTCTAGGTTAGTATATGATTTTAAAGTTAAAATAGGATAGGAATTTAGACTAATAGGCTTAGCGGCGGTTTAGAAGCTTCGTTATCGTGAAATATTCTAGGTTATAGTGATCCATTATAACCTTAACGGGCGAGGACGTGCCCTCTAGTTCAGGGCGCCACTCCTCGAAGTAATAGATAATAGCCAATAGCTCTTTATCATATATCTCATAGTTACATTTAGCTATAGAATACTTCTTAGAAAAGAAAGCGATAAGGTATAGGACTCCAGCGTCATCATACTAGGACAGGACACCAGCAGAAACGAAATCAGACGCGTCCGTTTCTAGGATTATCTCCTTAGACCAGTTAAAGGGTTTTAGGATAGGGGCGGACGTAAACACTTTTTTTAAAGCTTTAAAGCTTAACTAGTAGGTAGGGGTCCATTTAAAATGGACGCCTTTCTTCGTGAGCTTCACGAGTAAGGCGGTAACTTTCGAGAAGTCTTAGATAAAGCGGCGGTAGAAGTTACCAAAGCTAATAAAGGCTTACACGTTAGTTAGATAGGTCAGGGTTCGCCAGTTCATAATCATCTCAATCTTATTAGGGTCTATATAAATACCATCCTTACTAATAATAATACCAAGGAATTTCGTCTTATAGATATAGAATTCACACTTAGATAGTTTTACGAATAGGCTAGCCTCCTAGAGGCGTTATAGAACCTTCCGCACGTATTTAATATATTCTACTCGTGTGCGGCTATAAATCAGGATATTATCTAGATATATAGTATAGAAGTAGTCTAGGTACTCTCGTAGGGTATCATTTATAAACCGTTAGAAGGATACAGGCGCCCTAGTTAGGCCAAAAGGCATCACTAGGGATTTGAAGAGCCCTAGCCTTATATAGAACGCAGTTAGATATTCTTATCCTTTCGCGATTCATAGGTTATTAAAAGCGGAGATGATATTAATCTTCGTGAAGTATTTCATACCTTTTAGGTTATTTAGGGTCTCTTTCGTGAGCGGCAGCGGGTAACGGTCCTTAGTAGTGATCGCATTTAGCGCGCGGTAGTCCATATAGAAACAGAGGCCTCCATCCAGTTTCTTAATAAATAGAACAGATAAAGCTATAGGCAAGGAGCTCGGACGGATAAACCCTTTCTTTAGGTTATCTCTAATCCAGTCCTTCAAGACTTCGAGCTCATTCCAGGACATCAGATATAGGGGTCCGAACAGCAGGGGTTTATCTTCCTATAGTATAATCTTATAGTTATATAGCCTATAGGGCGGTAAGCGATTGGCTTCCTTTAGGGAGAACACTTCTACGAAGTCTCGGAATTCTATAGGCAATATAGAGGTAGGGTCGGGCTTAGTAGTGGTCTTCAGGTTCAGTATAGCTTCAATATCTTTAGTATTTATAGCGAACATTCAGTAGTTCCTTCTAGCGTATACAGCACACGCGGATAACGACACGGCCGCCACGTCTCGTTTCTCGAGACCAATAGGTCGTGTAGGCAGGGACTTTAGACGGGTCTTAATAGGTATATTATAGAGCGCTCGGGTCTTCACGCTTCGCTAGGGTATATTACAGTTCCTTTAGCAGTAGTCACTATTAAACTCAATAGTATATTCAGCGAAGCGAATATAGGGGTCGTGCACTTTCAGCTATAGTAGGCCTAGTATAATCGGGTAGTGCGCTAGCTATATAGCTAGGAAGCAAGCTCTTCTCTCTCAGTGGTTATTAATACAGATATGCATCTACACGTAGTAGGTAATTAGGCCACTCTTAGCTTCTTACCCATTAAATCCCTCTAGTTAGATCGCGTTCGTAAGTAGTAGGAGGGTAAGACCGTTCTCTCAGGCCCACTCTTAGTTAATAAATCTCTTTCCTTCTACCCCGGAGTCTAACATAGCGTAACTCGGGAGTTCCTTTTCCTTTTAGCATAGTGTAATAGGTAATATCATCAGATTGGATCGGCGGGTTTCCTCTTTAATAGAGAGGCCATTCAGGGCGGCGGTAGATAGATAGATAACGCGCGGTTATAGCGCCTAGTCGCGACTTAGGCCAGGCTAACGCCTTTTACCAAGTCCTTAGGGGATAGCGAGCGGCTAAAGGTAGAGCGGCCGCGCGGGTTACTACCTAGAGAGGGGGAACAGGGTCCATTTAAGGGCGAACAGGAGAAGACAGTTATCTAGCGGGCCACTAGTAGGCGCTTATTAGCTTATAGGTAGTCTCGGACGAAGTGCTCCTTCAAGCTATAGTAGAAACAGGCGTTCTATTTATAGCGGGATAGGTTCTAGCGGTTAGGGGAGAACTAGCGGCGGGTAGTAGATAGGTCCATAGCATTAGGGTTCGCGGGCGGGGGAGTTAGAACTCATTTAGGGCCTTATCTCCAGGAGTTAGGCTCAGTAGCCTTTAGGGCGGCCCTTATAGCTACAGAGGAAGTTTAGGGGGCAGCTAACTAGCTACTATTATACTAGGCCCAATAATTCTCTAGGTTCTAAAGGAATTATACTAGGTCGAGGTAGTCTCCCTTTAGCGGTTCATGGTATAGTAGCATACTCTTTAGCTCGCGGTTAATCGCTTACTCAAGCATCGTGGGTAAGGCTTCCTTATATATCTCGCCTTCTATAGCAAGACGCTAGAACTCCGCGAAGAATAGACTAAACTCTTTATTTCCCTATCATAAGCGGTAGAGTTCGTTTTAGGCATTTCGGGCGCGGTTAGGGTCTCTAAAGGCCCGTTCTAGGATATCTAGGATATTAGTAAAGTCGTTTAACTAGTAGATACCTTCGCGGATATATAGTAGGATCTAGGCGTAAGGGACGCCCTTTAGATAGTTAGTCACATAGATCATCTAGGACTACGGGGTCGGGAAACGGTCACGGTTAATATTCAGCTTCTCCTTAACCTAGGAAATAAATCGGCGGAGGTCCTTTCGTTCCCCTTCAAACTTATCAAGGTCGGGAAGACGTTCAAATCGTACGTAGGAGCTAGAAGACTCGGGAGTAAGCGACGGAGGCGCTCCTATAATAGTAGCTACGATAGGCTTAGCGGCAGGCTTAAGGGTAGGGGCGGGTACGGTATTCACTATAGGAATAGCGAGCTTAGCCGCATATATCCACGTGGCTTCTACGCGGGCAATATTCTATTATGCCTCGTTATAGAGCTTCTTCTAGTAATCTAGGATAGCAGTATCTCGTAGGCGGTTACGCTCGGCCATGGCTAGCTCGTTCGTGAGGCGGTTAATCTCTATCTTCATGGCTTATAGCTATAGTTCGGCTTAGTCTATGCGTTCACGGGCGTCGGTCGCATCTAAGTAGACACTTTCGATATAATCATACACGCGGCGGCAGTATTCAAACCACTGGTCGGGGTGGTCTCTTATATGCTTAGCGAACTACTCTAGGTCGCTTAGCAGGAACGGGGGCTACGGGACTAGGTTAGATATCTTTAGATAATCAACTCCTAAGAAGGGAAGGAGCTACGTAGTATCAGGGCGCGGGCTGGTAGGGTTGTAATAGGAGGAGATCGATAGGATCAGAACGTATCCAAAAGGATTCTAATTAATCAGGTGGTAGACGGGGGCAGACTAGCGTAAGCTTTTATATAAGACGTAGCTCGAAGAGCTATAATAGGGTCTAGGATAGATATGTAGATAAACAGACTAAAGATCACGTGCCTGTGATCTTCCTTATCGGTCCTGGCGGGTCCGGGCGGACCCTTATAGTTCACACCGTGACAAATAGATAACCTTAATTAAGTGTATAGGCGCGTCTAGATATAGCCTTCCTCTAATAGTGATATTTAAAGCTAAACTCTTTAATAAAGGTTAGACTATAGGCCTTCTAGATAACTAGTAATTTAAGGTTAGTCTAAATAGATAGACCTTAGATAAGATTAGACTTCGTTAGCTTTAAAAGATCTTTCTTCTATTAACTTTCTTGAGGATAAAGGGGAAATATTGACTTCTAGTTCTCGATGGTTATAGAAGCCATTTAACTCTAAAATTCGACGAAATTTACTATTAAAATGACGTGATTCTAATTTATATGCTAGCGCACTCTTTATATCTTTTATAACCTCTTAATATAGGTTATTTTGCTATCTTAAAGCGTGTGTATAGGAAATACGTTAAAAACGTTATATAGATAGGTTAAAATTATATTAATAAATTAGACTTTCTTAACGCTTTTCTAATCGCTCGAAACGAGGCTTTTAAAGTAGAAACGATCAGAAATAGCTTCTTAGTAACTAGATTAGTCCTATATAATCTAAATCGAGTGATTTCAAAGCTTAATATTTAACTTTATACGCCTACCCTACTACTATCTCGAGGAAGCGAAAGCAGCGTATGGGAGCCTAAGATACCATCGAATTATAAGTGTTACGCGGTGCTAACTGGTCACAGTGAGTATCGTTCGTAGTAGTGCTATACGTACGTCGAGGCTCGTCCTCAAGTCTCAGTCGCAATCGTACCGTTGCCAGTTGGCCTTACACGGGCTCGGATCTATAGAGTAGACTATTGTTGGGCAGTGCCAGATAGTAGCGCCTAGTCAAGCTATGCTTAGGATCTGTGTCAAGTGACAAGAGACTAAGTATACCTCTCCTAGTAGGGTGGTTGTCTTAAGTACGAAACAAGTATGTAGACATCGCCAAAACCTGAAAATGGGCCCAGAGTCGGGCCCAAAGCCCAACCCACTATGGGCTTTGGGCTTTATGTAAATCTCAAGCCCAACCTACTATGGGCTTTGGGCTTTTTATGGGGGCCCATAGGGGCCCATAAAAAGCCCATCTTTGCATAAAACTATGGTCTTAGCATGTATAAAACTGCTGATTAATACTATGTAATTTAGTACCATTATAAATTACATTTAATATAAGTATATTATTCCTAAATGCTTTTTTATTAAATGAAAAATTGTATGATTCTTTCTCTTAGTTAATCTAATAATCTAAAGGACTTAGATCCTAAGCACTTGGATCTTGAGTACTTAGGTCCTGAGCACTTGGGTCCTGGCGAGGTCTTGGATCCTAAGTACTTGGATCCTGGCGAGGTCTTGGATCTTGAGCACTTGGATCTTGAGCACTTGGATCTTGAGCACTTGGATCTTGAGCACTTGGATCCTGGCGAGGTCTTGGATCCTGAGCACTTGGATCTTGAGCACTTGGATCTTGAGCACTTGGGTCCTGGCGAGGTCTTGGATCTTGAGCACTTGGATCTTGAGCACTTGGATCTTGAGCACTTGGATCTTGAGCACTTGGATCCTGGCGAGGTCTTGGATCCTGAGCACTTGGATCTTGAGCACTTGGATCCTGAGCACTTGGGTCCTGGCGAGGTCTTGGTAATAGAAAAGGTATTGGATCTAGAGAAGGTCTTAGATCCTGAGATAGCCTTAGATACTAAATAGATCCTGGATCCTAAGGAGTTCTTGGAACTTGAGGAGTTCTTGGATCCTAAGTAGGATCTGAAGATTAAAGATTGTATAGTGTATATAGTAACTTAGAACGAGGTAGAGGTAGAGATTTAGGATCTATCCTTCTTAAACCCTAATTACCCCTTCTATGCTAAGTAGGACTAGGAATCCTTAACGGTATTATTTGTCTTGGTGTATTATAAGGATGATATCGTCTGGCTATCATTGATGAGGGTATAGGCAGTCCTATCATTAGGTCCCCTCCTCTACCTCTAGGCGTATGTAGTGATCCCTTTATGTTCGCCTAAGACTTAGCTACTAAAACCCAAGCCCGTTTATTAATTAGTTCCTAGGTCTAAGCACCGTGAGCCATTATGTTGGCTAGTTCCTGAGCTTAAGCAGCCTCAGCATCCAGACTAGCTTGAATCTGAGCCTAAAGAGCCTCAGCATCCCGACCAGCTTATATCTCAGCCTAAATAGCCTTAGCATCCCGACTAGCTTATTCCTAAGCCCGAGCTGCCTTAGCATCCCAACTAGCTTATTCCTAAGCCCGAGTAGCCTTAGCATCTAGACTAGCTTGTATCTGAGCCTGAGCAGCCTTAGCATCCCGACTGGCTTGTCCCTGGGCCTAAGTAGCCTTAGCCCCCTAACCAGCTCGTCCAAGAGCCCTAGTAGCTATAGCAGCGAGTGTAGCCCTAAAATTCTAAAACCGAGCTAGTCCCTAACCCTCCCGATTATGCTATTCCTAAGTAACCTAATTAGTCTCGACAATTATATTAGCCTAGTCCTAAGTAAGCTGGGCCTCCCGAGCGGCCTAGTCCTTAGTAGCACGGGCATCCCGAGTAGCCTGATTCTAGGTAGCCTGGTCCCTGATAGCCTGGTCCTAAAGGGCCTAGTTATTAGTAGCTAGACGCTAAGTAGCCTAAACCTAAGTAATTTAAGCCTGAGTAACCTAAGCCCGAGTATCCTAGGTATCCTATCCTAGACCCTATGGGGATAGGCTAAAGGGGATTGCTTGTATAGGTGGTTGGGGGCCAGACTGACGGGACGTATATGGTGTATAGTTGTTTGGAGGGGCGAGAAATCGGTAGAAGCGGCTTCCCTATGTTGCGCGGAAGGTAGAGTCCTCTCTTCTAAGTTAGTCATAACTTATTAGTACTATATAGAAGGAATTAGTAGAATATAAAAAGAACATACGTAATCCGCTTAAGTCCATCACACTAATGCCTAATGAAACTGGTATTAGCCCCTTAACTAGGCTTAAATTGATATACCGTATCTCGCTAGCTACCTGTGAGCACCTAATATATAATAGTATTGCGTCTGGCTTTTATCTCTTCTGGGTGCCTTGGCTTCCTATTAGGCATGAATGTTACGCCTAAATGCTCTTGTCTTATATGCCAACGGAACGCACCCTGTGTTTTAAAAACCTGGCTATATATAGTGACCCCCTGGATAAGGATGTTATATACCCTAGTATTTTCTTTGCTGAGAATAACTCTGTTATTTAGGGGGGAGTTTGGATGCTCGGGCTTATTACTGATATCTATAGCTGGGAATTTATATGATAACCGCTGGGCTGGAGTTAGTTAAACCTATACTGGGGGATACTATCTAGGGTTGTTATTAGGGATTGGGCCTGCTTAAGCTTAGTATATGTTTCGCTTATGTGTATCTTTGTTTTATTTGGCTCTTACCATGCGTATATCCCTAGAATGGATTAGGGTTTCTAGAAGCGAGGACTTTAACTTGTTTAAATGTAATAAGTTATACTCCTTGGCTATCTCGGTATGAGAGCTATGATATATTAATAATTTGAAAGTAAGATAAAAAGTCACGTGGTAAATGGTCATATAGTCTATTCGAAACTCTTATTATTAAGGTTATAAGGGGAGGTAGGTACTAGATTTATATTCTATATTCCTTAGTTAGGATGATTTATTTTTGTTTGATTCTGGCTATTTAGAATCACTTTTGAGGTAACAGGACGACCTGTTACCACCCGGCAGAATCCGGCTGGATTCTGCTAAGCCACACCGCCTCCGGCCGGACCCTTAAGAAGAGAATCATTAGGATTCTCTTTAGAAAACATGCAATCCTACTCGAACCACATCTGGGAGCATGTCCAAAAACCATATAACTATTCTATAGTATATGTACTAGAAGAAAATACTCTTCTAGTGAACCAGATCCAACTTGGAAATTCGCCCTAGAGTTATTGTGTGTCCGTGCGGATCCGACCGGTCTTTACCGAGAACGCACATAAATAAGATAAATAACTCTAGAGGACTGCATCCTTAGAAAGTGTTTGGAACACTCCTGAGTCACCAACAATCCCACGCTCGCCCTCGAAATCTCCTAAGGAATAATGCTCGATTAGATGGACACCTCTGGTGTGGGCCCTGCGACTTCGTAAGAACCTTAACGCCCACGACCAGCCTAGGTATTATTTAGTGAGAACCACCACCGCACTGGAGAATAACTGCCCGAGAACGTATGGAATACTCTAGGCATGTTGAATGTAGCTATAGTAGCCTCTATTTACGAAATGTGGCGTACGTTGGACGACCCTGCGATGCTGGTACTGGTCATGGAAAACCTGATCCGCCTCGCACTACGCGATCACGACCATACATGGAGAGTCAACGAAGGGCCCGACTATAGCCAGAGAGAGCTAAATAAACTACTTATGAGGGATATAACCCCGATTACTTAGTATGAGGGCAAACTGTAAGACCAAGCGGCAAGAAAGTTTCTGGAAGACTGCGAACGATACTTTTATGATACGACCGTGCTTATATAGCAAGCCCTAATGGAGGAGCATAAGGTTATCGCGGCGAGCGGGAAGCTCACGGGAAGGGCTAGGGAGGCATAGAAGGCGCACTGAGAAAACCACCTTGAAGAGACTATCACGACCTTCGAAGGGTTCAAAACGTGGGTTAATACCTAGTTTTCGGAACACCTCGGTCCTGAAAAGAGATGGGACTACTTCGACAGCCTCTGGTAGGGAAAGAAGGGAGTCTAGGCGTATGCGAGAGACCTCGCCCGAGCTGTAAGAGATACTGGATTTGATATCCCTGAAGCGGTGATGATATAATACCTACGGAAGGGAGCTAACGTACCTCTGTAATAACGCTGGGTGGAGATGAACGTCTCCCTACGCACCTTCCTCGAAGCTGAGTAACGATTGATCGAGTTCGAACGAGGTTAGATGCTATTAAACTATATTGGTCGACACGTAGTAGAGACTGACCCTGACGTAATGGACCTATCCGCTCTCCCCTTAAAGCCCGCACGTGGATCTACGAACACGCGTAGATCTACCGAGGGTCGAGATAAGAGGACACGCCGTTATTTTTAGTGTAACGAACCCGGTTATATTAGAAGAGACTGTAAATAAGGAAGCGAGAATCCGACCGTGTCTACCCAGACGCGCTCGGGAAACTAGTTAGGTCGACGGAAGCCCTCGTCGACCGCATGAAGAAGGCTTCCCATATACCAGATCTAGAGGGGGACGATCCTCTTAATCCGGGTTATCGCGGTTAATTAGGACCAGCCGTTCCGATAGATCTAGCCTCGGACCAGTCCCCATAAGTCTAAGTTTCTTTAAATATCATGGGCGACTCGCTTATGCACTTTAATTATGGAGTGGGCATTAATACACCGATCACTATTCGAGCCCTTATCGACAGTGGGGCATCTCACTCGTTCATTACCCCTCGTATCCTAGAGAAACTAGGAAAGGATATTCCCGTCTAGACCTAGACGGAGGCGCTTAAAGTCACGCTGCCAAATGGTGAGTCTCTGCTGACGAGATCCGCTGTCTATCTCCCTATACGGTTCGGGAGGTGGACTAGCTATGTTAAGATGTGGGTCCTAGAAATGGTCGAACACTCGTTTATTCTAGGTTATGACTTCTTGCGCTAAGAAAACCCATAATTTGACTAGATAACGTCCGTTATGACGCTAAGAGATAGTTAAGATAGACGTCACCGTATCTTTCCTTCTAGAAGCATCCACCTAGCTCTAGACGGAGCTGCTGGGATTAATCTAATGACGGGAAAGTAGACGAGACGGGCCTTTCGGAAGAGAAGAGTAGAGTCTATGCTCTTTGTTATCTGTGATAAAGGCCGCCCGGAAACTAACGGACTAGCCTATGAAGTCCCACGGCATAGGAACGCGTAAGTGTAAGCCGTTCTCGATAAATATGCTTCGGTTTTCTAGAAAGACCTGCCGGACGGACTCCCCCTAGAGCGTCTGTTGGAGCATAAAATTGACACTGGCACGGCTGACCCTGTTAATCTTAACTCCTATCTAATGTCGAAGGATAAGCTGGATGAATAGCTTTGGTAGGTCGAGAAATTACTAGAACTAGGCCTGATACGTCCGTCTAGTAGCCCTTAGGGCTTTCCTGTGATCTTTGTGAAGAAACTAAATGATAAATGGCGGATGTGCATTGACTACCGGGCTCTAAATGGTGTCACGACTAAGAATGGATACCCGCTCCCGCGTATCTAAGATCTACTAGATCTGGTCGGACCCGCCTGTGTCCTATCGAAGATTAACCTTATCTCTGGCTACTAGTAGATATGGATGGATAAGGGATCGGTTGAGAAGACGGCATTTAATACTATTTAGGGAAAGTATGAATGGCTCGTTATGCCGTTCGGACTATGTAACGCTCTGGCTATATTCTAGACGATAATGAATGAGACGTTACGGTCCGCACTAGGACGATATGCCCTTATCTACCTCGATGATATCCTGATCTTCTCGGAATCGATAGAGGAACATTGCGAATATCTAGATTAGATCCTCACACTCCTTGGAAAGGAAGGTCTGATCGCGTCCCTAGATAAGTGCGAGATCGCAACCACGGAATTGGAATTCTATGGATATGTCATTAGCAATAGATACATCCGCCTGGTCCTGGCTAAGGTCGCCGTGATCTGTGACTAGCCGACACTAACTAATGTCTATAAGATCTGATAGTTCTTAGGCCTGGCCACGTACTATCGACGCTTCATTAAGGGGTTTTTATATATCTCCGCACCCCTCTTAGAGCTACTAAAGGAGTTAGACGCCGTAATGAGGAAGAAGAAGTTTAGATCTATCTAATAGACACTTACCTATGCTAGTGCGTTTAGGAGATTAAAGTAACAGCTCGTGACGGCCCCTGTCCTAATCTAACTGGATCGCGCGAAACCATTTATGATTAAGATAGACGCGTTAGAATGGGCGATCGGCGCGGTATTGATGTAGGTTAGAATGGACGGACGTCTCTATCTAGTGGCTTTCGATAGACGGAAGTTATAGGGAGCGGAACTTAACTACCCGACCTAGGAGAAGGAGCTCCTAGCGATTAAGTATGCCCTTCGCCTCTAGGACCGCTTCATCGATAATAGGACGAAGACGACCATCATCACTAATCACGCGAGCTTACAGTATCTATAGACGATAACCGTGTATAGTAAAAGACTAGCCCGTTGGATCGAGGAATTCTAAGAATATAATTTAGAAGTACGGTACTGGAAGGGCGTAGAAGCGATCGTTCCCGACGCCATTAGTCGACGCCTGGATCTTATGGAAGGTAGTCCTGCTAATGTCGCTTAGAACTAGCTAATATGGCCTGCGGTACTCTTAGTAGCACGGCTAGTCTAACGAGTGCCCGAGGATGCCTAGTTAAAGGCGACGAAAGAGTTCCTATATATAGGCGAGCTCCCTAATAAGCGGCCGCTATGGAAAGCGGTTAAGCACTTCGTACCGAACCTATCTCTAGCACCAGGGTCCGTGGAAGTAAATGAGCGTCTGATTTATAAGTACGACGATGGTCTTACCGCTCTATACTTAGACGCCCCGTTCTAGCCGGACCTGGTCGCCTAGTTATATAGGGAATTCGGTTATCTTAGCTTACCTAGGCTCGGTGGTGTTATTAAACCACGAGCATAGTGGCCCGTAATGCGTGCTGACTTAGAGGAGGAAGTACGGTAGTGTCTAAATTGCTAAGTGTCATAAGGCTTAAAGGAGAGTCTAGAACGCGAAGCGGCTTAGTATATAGTCACACGGGACCTACAGCCGTTTAAATAGTGGGGGATTGATCTTGTTGGACGCCTTCCGACTACCCCTAATGGTAATCGCTGGATTATCATAGCGATTAACTACGCGACTGGATGGCCTATCGCGCGTGCGGTTCCGGACGCGATAGAAGAGACACTTGCCAAGTTCCTGTATAATAATATCTTCACGCACTATAGTGCGCCGAAGGTGTTAATATCCGATAACGGGCCGAACTTGCTCTTAAGAGCTATCCGCCACTACGTCCGCATACTCGGAACGCGTTACCGCATAATAACGCCTTACTATCTAAGGACGAATGGAAAGGTCGAGAACCTTAATAGTCTTCTCGGACGCATGCTCACTAAATATCTTATAGGTAAACCGACAAAGGCCTAGGACCTTTTCCTATCGTAAGCGTTATTCTCCGCACGGGCTAGGAGCCACGCTGTTAGTGGCTATAGTCTATTCTACCTAGTGTATGGAATCCACCCGTGGATCCCTAGCGATAATGCGTCGCTGGACACAGATACGAAGGATCGCGATGTGGTGCTGCGGGATCTAAATGATGCACGGTTAAAGGCGAATAAGCTCCTATTGAACCGTGCGATCCACACTAATCGCATTCGTGACTCGGTGGTCACGAAAACTAGTTTCTAGGAAGGGGCCTGGGTGCTCGTCCGTAACGAGTCTAGGAAAAAGTTTGAGAGCAAGTGGTTTGGCCTATATAGAGTCATTTAGTCATATCCACTTAGAACTTATGCCCTAGAGGAACCGTCTAGACGGGTACTGCGCCACCTCGTTAATGGGTCGCGCCTGATCGAAGCGAACATGGATAATCCTAAAGCCCTATGGGCCTTGTCCGCGTCACGTTTGGCTTTGAGGAGAGCTGGCCTCCGCCTATAGAAGCCGGAGGAGCTCTAAAGGGTCCTCGACGACGAGGACGACTCCTAGCTAATATATTCGGACCTTTCGACCTTCACTCGGCTAGAGTGGGAGTAGTCGCGACGTGCAGGTGCATAGTCGGGTTTGGTGGGGGAGGAAAATGTAGTTGTGGAGCGCGTGCTCGCGAAGAGCTGTGCGACCGCTAAAAGGAAAGGCCGGTATATAGTAACTGCACTACCTATAGCCGATACTATAGAGTAGGACGAATGGGACTCTAGCGTAAACGATTACGAATTAGTCGTATTAAGTATGGTAGAGTTAGAATACGAAGAAGCTAACGAAGCGACTATAATAAGGGTGCGACTGGATCGGGACGCCGTCTGGCCACAGCTAGTCTACTTCGAAGGGCCATTCGCGGTAGTGATCTAATCACTATCCACACGGTTAAGTGTGGTATGCATAGGTATATGCAGGACTTGTGGTAAAAACGTAAGGGGGGGGGATAGCTACGGCTTATCTCTAGTACTATCGGGTACGAAGGACGCACGGTTAAGTACGGGCTACACGGTTAAGTGTAGGTCTTATATGGTAAAGTATAAGGGGGGGATAACTACGGGTTATCTCTAGCGTTGTTAAACGCGAATAGATCCGATTGGGTGCAAGAAGAAATTCAATTGAAACAAACGCCTATATATAGGAAAGAAATTAATATAGAAACTCTTTAACCTAAATTGATACCCGCGAACGGATCACCGATATCCTTAGACTCAGACGACTGAGAACTATCGGCCTCCTTATGATGCTCTAGAACCTTCTAAATGGTCTCCTTCTCCTAAGCGACACGTGTAGTAACCTCGTCGAGCCTCTTCTAGAGCGCGCGGACCTTACTCTAGTCCTACTTAAAGAGCTTATCACGCGTTAGCACGGTGTTGTAAATGTCCTTAGGGTAATCGGGACCCTTAGGAAGCTTCTTTGCTCTCCTCTCCTCCTTAGAGGTACTCTTAGAACTGCCCTTGGCAGTGGCCGCACCCTTACGTCGCCGCTTTGATCTAGCCGAATCGTCAGAAGCCTCGGCCTTAACGCGAGCCCGCTTCTTCTGCTTCTAACGCTTAACAGCGGGAGACTCCGACTTAGAAGGGGTACGGTGCTTACTAAGACGAGCCGATTTAGGGTTAACGGCCTGGATGGCGTTAACGACAAAGTCGGGCATCTCTATCTTGAAATTGTAGCGCGAGGTCGAACCACCCCAGCCATAATTTCCGCAGGCTCCGCCAAAATGAGGAGTATCGCCAACTAACCTAATAACGTAGGATTCGAACGGACCTAGACCATCGGCATAGCACTCGCACTCCTCGCCTAGAGGAGCCGTAACGCCGAATTGCTGAACATACGCAGCACGGCGTTGCACGGCCGAAACCGTTCGCTTAGGTTGTTATCGTCGCTAGTCGACATCCCGGTCGGCCGGAGTCGACGTGAGCGTACGTTCGATATTAGTCGCTATAAAGATTAGCAATGGATTATTCGAGTCATCGAGGCCCTCGGTGATGCCCTCCCGTTAGTTAAACTTATCTAAAGGAGCTCCGCGTGGCTTCTTAGGCATATTCTCGGGCTGCTTGCCCTTATCCTCGGGATTGGTGGGATTAGTTTCCTTGCCCTGGCTTCCGGACGGACCCGTAATAGCTATCGAGATATTAGTGAATGACCGACACGAGAAAGAGGGACATCTTACAAGACATGGTGCTTATCGGTACTGGAATAGAGATATCTAAATAAGGAAATATTACAGGAGATGATGATGGAGTGTGATGAACAGAAGAGAGAGGAAGACGGGCAAGTTGCGTCCTCTTATACCTCGCTAGCATCGGGACTTTCCGTTCCTAGCAAGCAAACACAAAGAACATCAACGGGCTAGTCACGAGCGAGGACGATTGAGATCCTTGGCTCAGCCCCGACTAAGACGTTACCGAGTCTATCGGAATAGATCTCGAAGACAAGGGCCGCTTTTAAGGCCTTTATAAGAGCTGAAACACTTAGCCCTATCCTTAAAGACGCGTGCGCCTATTCCTGGTCACGCCAAGCTCTGGACGAGCGATTTCCTTTATCTACAATATGTATAAAGACCTGATCACAATGAATTATGTGTGTTAACCCCTACATGTATCTAAAATTAGCTACTCTTCCCCTATATTACTTGAAAAGATCATAGAAGGATGCTGGCTCTCCTGGCCGCGTCCGGTGGGGCACGCACGGAGGATGAATTGTCAGGCAGGATCTTATGTACTTAGAAAATTTCAGTTTACGGAGCGCAGAATATGCTCTGGTCTAGTGGGGGAGGATGAGGTAACAGGACGACCTGTTACCGCCCGGCAGAATCCGGCCGGATTCTGCTAAGCCACACCGCCTCCGGCCAGACCCTTAAGAAGAGAATCATTAGGATTCTCTTTAGAAAACATGCAATCCTACTCGAACCACACTTTAATTTTCTTTTCTTTATAAACTAAAATCAGAAGACCACACCACCATCTTTGAATAAACTAAGGAAACTTAGGAAGTGGAGTATATATTTATGTAACTAGGCGTGATGAATAAAGATAGTAGTAGACTAATAAGTTTAAAGTAGAGAATACTTTTTACTCCTTTGATATATTTCCTTTTCTTTATAAACTAAAATTAGAAGACCACGCCACTATCTTTAAATAAACTAAGGAAACTTGGGAAGTAGAGTATATATTTATGCGACCAGGCGTGATGAATAAAGATGGTAGTAGACTAATAAGGTTAAAGTAGAGAACACTCTTATATACCTTTAATGATTATTCTTTTTTTTATTTCGTCTATTAAAAACTTTAATTTCCTTTTCTTTATATTTTATAATTAGAGGACCATACCTTCTTTTTATAGTAAGAGAAACCTTTAGAAGAGAAGTATATAGTAGAAATAAGCTTAAAGTATAGTAGAAATATATATTTATAATATATAAAGGATAAAGTGCTTATACTTGGGTTTTTTATGGGCTTTCTATGGGCTTTCTGTGGGCTTTCTGTGGGCTTTTGTGGGTTTTATGGGCTTTCTATGGGCTTTCTATGGGTTCTATGGGTTCTATGGGCTTTCTATGGGCTTTCTATGGGCTTTCTATGGGTTCTATAGGTTCTATGGGCTTTCTGTGGGCTTTCTGTGGGCTTTCTATGGGTTTTATGGGCTTTATGGGCTTTCTGTAGGTAGGCTTTCTATAGACCTATTCTATTAATAAGTTTGAAATTTAGATTATTATTATTTATATATCTCTTTTTATTTTTTATTATCCCTCTATTACCTACTAGGATTATGTCTTAGAGTTAATAAAGTAACGCTCTCTTATTATTAATCTATAATGCGGATTTCGATGACCCACCCCCTCACTTTCTATCTAATGCCGCTGACTCATTTACCCCTGACCTCTCTGGTAGCTAATATACTTTGGATCCCTTTAAGCTAAACTTCTTCAAAACACCTCCCTCATAAGCCCCCTCCTCTTTTACCCATGTTAGCCTAAATCCTAAAAAAGTTTATTTACTTTATTAGGATATGAATCATGTGGAGTAGGTGAGATAGTGGCTTAAGACTGATTTTGGGAAGAAAAAAGATATTTAATAGGACTCTAATCACTCCTTAGATATATAGGAACAATTTAACCAAGTTACATATAGTACTAGTGGTGCACTAAAAGTGATATATAAGCGATGTAGTATAATTCTAGAGCATCCTTATATAGCATAGGTAAATAAATCCCGTTAAGGAACCTCTATAATGGCAAGATATGTTAAAACCTCTACTTGTCTTCACACTAACCAAAAGTCTTATAGAGCTATTATAGAGTTCATGAAGGTAAGGAACCATTATACCTATTACTTACTAATAATCTAATCTAAATCTAATTATATACTAATATTGGTAGGGAAACAGATACTAGATACCTCTATAAAAAACGAATTCTATTAAGATGATTAGGAAGAAGAGCTTCTTACCTTTATCGCAGTTGAGAGACTTCCATTTTAGCTTATTAAGAGTCCAAGATTCCATAGGCTTATCTAAAAGGCCCAATCTACCCTATCTATACCTCACATTCCTTCTATAAAGATAATATGGCGCTAGCTACATACCTCTATATACAACCGATAGTAGGATATCCTCTATAAGCTTCCCGCTAATATAAAGCTCTTAATTGCACTAGATAGCTAGATATCCCTATTTAACTAGTCATTTATAGCTATTAGTGGCTATTTTATCGATTAAGATTAGTAATACTATAAAATACTACTTAGGTTTAAGCCACTTATAGGTAGATATACTAGTGCTAATCTTAGTACTATTATCCTTAATATCCTTAAAAAATACGAAATCCAGAATCGGGTTTTAGCGATCACTACTAATAATGTATCTAATAATAATACATTAGTTAGTACTTTATAGTAGTTAATATCTAAGGGTATAATATTAGTCCGTGTTCTATGCCTCGCATATGTTATCTAACTAAGTTTAAATAATCTCCTTGGTAAGATAAACGCCATACCAACTAATAAGATAGCTAAAACAACATAGACTCTAGCGCAATCTTAATATGCCTATATAAATACAATAAAGTAAGATATCTATAATATATTAAATAAGGTATGCTTACCTTTCTCTAGTCTATTTACTTTAGTTATATACACTACCTTTATCTCCTGATTCTCCTCTCTTTATCTATATATATATTTAGTATATACTCTATATATGCTTAATATATATTCTATGGATCTTCTTATATCTTACTAACTTTACCTTAGGTTTGGTCCCTTATAATCTATATAAATATAAGCCCTTAACGTCGAGATACCTTCTTTTCCCTTTAGACTAAAACCCCTAAAATCTATCTAATTTAAGATATTAAGACACGCTAGAATTCTACATTTTTGATGCTATAACGCGCGAAACGACTTAGATTAATATTTATAAAATTCTATACTAAATAGGATCGTTCAGACCTTATACTTAATGAAGATAAGTGGCGATAGATTGATTATCTTCTTTGGATTATATATCCATTCTTTAACTTCACTATATAGCTCTTAAAGACAAAGAACATTATAACACACTATGTCTTTAAGATCTATAACTAACTTTTTAAACACCTTGAGGAATCAATCTCCTAACTAGCCAAAAAAAGGGTTCTATAGAAAAAGAGAATGCATTAGGCACTTAAGGCTGCTCTTAAAAAGCTTAAATAATACTACTTAGCGATAGATTTAATTAAGGGCGATCTTTACATAATTAGTACTATACTTACACCATCTAAAAAATTGAAATTCTTTTTAATAGATAACTAGGATAATAAATAGCGTCAGCGCTATCGAAAGAGCTTTTAAACCTATCTAGCGCCCTACCAAGAACGCCTTACCAACAAAAATAGATTAGTAACATCGCCAGTATCTACTTAATAGATAGCACGTAATAGCCTTAATGACCTATTAAAGAAAGATAAGCCAAAGTAAATCATATAAAATGATAAGCTTACTAGGTATCTAGATAGCGGTAAGTAAGCTCTTATTTCTTTTTTGAGATTTTTTAAAATACTAATTACAGAAGTCTAGATACACTTGATGAATTACCTCTTGATTTCTGGAGAAGACACTAGCATTAATTCCCAGTAACTATAGCCCTTGCACATGATATGCTTTTAATCCCAGCAACTAGTGCTGGTGTTAAGCGTTTATTTAATACTACGCGAGATATCTACCACTATCGCCGTGGTAGATTGAGTTCTAAAACCATCTAAGAGTTAATGCTTTTCCTATATATATCAAGATTTGATATCCAAGAAGAGGAGTCTATACTCCAATAAGAGTACTACTCTCTAGATAAAAGTAAGTCAAAAAGGGAGGAAAAAGATACTTCACCAGAAATATAGGATCTTAACCTAATTAGTGATGAGGAGGAGGGGCCTGAGGAGTTAGAAACAATATTCCTTGAGAATAGTGAGAATAGTGGTGATGATGATGATGAAATTCTTCCAGTGATAGAGGAAGAAAATACCCTGATACACACATTAGTAAGGACGCGGAAACGTCCTAGGCATTTTGAGGATGACCAATATATTTATCCTAGACCTTAAATAGTTTATCAATATTAATATTCTTTAATTGAATTACTTCTAAAATCAATTATAGCTACTAAGCTTGTGTATATGAAATACCCAAAAATACAGACTAAAAATGCATATTTTTATGTTATACTAAAATAAGTAGATGTTTATACTGTTTAAAGCATAATGGGCCCCCAATAGGCCCCCATTCATGGGCCTTAGGTCTAAGGCAAAGCCTAAGGCCCATAAATAGGCTGAGCAGCGGGCCCAAAACCTAACCCATTCGTGGGTTGGGTTGGGTTGGGCTTTAGGCTTTGTGGGTTTTGGCGATGTCTACAAGTGTGAGACTAGAACTATAGGTTCTAAGTAATAATATGTAATTGAACGTGAAGAACTAAATATAGGTGTGGTAATAAGTGTTCTTATATATCCTTCAAGTTCCTACTTTCGGATCTACTCCTAGGAGTATATCCTAGAGTCACTGTATACTCCTATGTATACTTCTAGGAGTCGACGCGGGAGTCACGGTCACGTGATGTTAATCCCTATAGGAGCCTCTTTAGCCTTGTCCGTGATTCTACCTTGTGGTCCCTCCTTTACACGTGATCCCGTTCTTGGGTCCTTCTTATCCTGAACTAGTTAGCCCGTAGTCCTCCTTCTACGGTGCGGACTAAGTGGGTCCGTAACATCACTTCCCCCTCTTTTTGGTCTCTTTTATTTTACTTAAAGGGCCATTAGAGTCCCTTATAGACGCTTACCCCCCCCTCTTAAGTAGGTGTATCCCCCCCCCCGTTCTTTATTATTTTTCCCTTTTTCCTTTATGCGGTCTATATGTTTTCTGGCACTATACCTTCTAACAATCAAACACGTAAATAGAATAGACTTACTTAGTATAAATCAATTCTAACTAATAGATATCCTTCTAAATCCCCCTATGAATATTACACTTCTCACTTCATTAACTATATGATAGATCCGAAATTCCGTAATTGCGCTAAATGTACTTAGCGCGGTTATAAATGCGTAAAGACGTTTTATAGTGAGATAGAGTAGTAACGGGTTCTTTGTGATTAGTAGAGGATTAATAAGGAACTCGCGTTGGCCGAAAAACAGTAAATAGACTTAATGGTAAAAATTATTCGACTATATAAGTAACGTTAGTTCTTATGTACTAGAAACGATTAGATGTTAGATCACGATTCTTCTATCACGGAGGTACTTAACTCTAAGGATCCTCTTAGTTCTAAGGATCTTACTAAGCTAGATCGTCTAGCTAATACTAATAATACTTAGGTCTTAGCTGCCACGTCTAGTGGCCCTACTCTAACGTAGATAATTACGTCTGATCTGGCGTTAGGGTCTAGCGATTAGTCTAGCGTTGACCTTAACGCTTTCTTAGCCTCCGTCCCTTAGGGGTCTTTTTCGCCCTCTAGTAATATTACTTAATCTGTTAGTGGCAGCCCCTTAGGTTCTTAATAGGTTCCTATGTATTTTCTAAGGTAGGATACCCCTACTATTTAACTAAGAGTTATTACTAATTATTATGCTATCTATCCGCTAGGATTTCTTCTACTTCGTACTCCTCTTCACTAGCGTCTTTAATTTCTATATTAGTAGCGATTTCTATATTATCTAGCGCTTTTTCTAATAATAATATATAAAATACTAGGTGAATTCTATTTATGCTTTACGGTAGCTTTAGCTTATAGTTCACGGGTCTAGTTTTTTCTTTAATCGAAAATGGTCCTAATTATTTATGGTCGAGTTTGTCGCTAGGTCATTTAGTTTTAATATTTCGATAGAGGAGGTACACTTTCTCCCCCTTCTATAGCTCTAGGCCCTCCCTATAAGTTTTATCGTAGTACTTCTTTATCTATAGATTAAAGAATTCGATATCTCGTGCTATCTAAAGGTGTAGCTATTTAATTCCCATAGCTAGGATTCGCGATATTTCTACTACTACGTGGTCACTAATTAGATCTCCGATAATCGTGGGATTATACCTATAATTAGCGAAGAATAGTAATTCTTTCGTTATTATATATATCGCGTTATTATATACGAATTACGTAATTAGTAGTAGTTCTAACTAGTTATCCTATTAATAGTTAACGTAATGTCGTAGGTACTATTCTATTATCTAATTTATTCGTTCTATTTATCCATTAGTTTATAGGTGGTAAGCGGTAGAGAGTCTATACTCAATACTAATTTAGTCCATAAATGATCTCTATATATTAGAGGTAAATAATTTATCTTAGTTAGACGTGATCCTTTAAGGTGTTCTATGGTTAGCGAATATATTTTAGATTAGGATTAATACTATTTATTTTACGTTAATCTTTTCTATAGTTAGGAGCATATATACATATTTAGTTAATTTATCCATAATAACTATAATTATGTCGTGTCCCCCTAATTATGGTAATTTCGTGACGAAATCCATTATAATCTATTCCTATAGTTTCCTAGGTACTTCTAAGTTTTATATTTCCCTATATAGTAGGTGCCTTATTAGCTTATCCCATAGGTAAGTATCGTATTTACCGATATATTTCCTTACTTATTTATATAGGTTTAGAATATAGAAGTGGCGTGTAATTAGTTCTATAGTCTTCTCGATTCCTAGATATCCTCTAGTAGGTTTATTATGATGTTTTTGGATAATTTCTTCCTATATTACCCTAGGAACATAGATTAATCCATATATTAATAGTAGTCCTTTGTCTAAGGTTATCTATCGATTCTCGTCGTTAAGTATTTACTATAGGTTCTTATCTTTAGCGGTTACTTCCCTAATTCGTTATAACTAGGTGTCGTCCTATAGTTCACTAGTGGCGGCGAGGGTCTAATAGTTATAAATTAAGTTTCTATTTTCGTTGGAGGTTAATATAGCTAGTATAGCTTCTTTAGTTCCTTCCTTATAATCTAGTCGCTAACTTAGTGCGTCTACTTAGCTATTAGCTTTTCTATTATAGTGTTCGATCCTATAATCGTACTATGATAGTATCTTAGACCACTATGCTTATCTTCTTATAAGCTCCTTTATCGTGGTAAAGAAGGTGAGGTTTTTATGGTTGGATTTAACTAGCACTTAGTGGTTTGCTCCCTTAAGGTATAGTCTCTAGATTTTAAATGCTAACACTATAGCTAGTAATTCTTTATCGTGAATGTCATAATTAAGCTCTGCTAGTATTATTTTTCGCGACTAAAAAGCGATTGGTCGTGTTTCCATCACCCCGTTAATGGTGATTTCTTATGTTATTCTTACCCCTATAGCATAGTCTAATGCGTCGGTTTCGATTATAACTAGTAGTTCTAGGTTAAATATATAGACGGGTGGTCTTTCTATAAACGCTTCTTTAAGTTCCGTAAAGGATTTCTCTACCTCTTCGTTCTATTTAAATTATTAGTCTTTTTTAGTGAGTCTATTTAGTCCTACTACCCTTCTTCTGAAACTGTCTATGCTTCTTCGGTAGTAGTTATATAGTCCTAAAAACTATTATACTTCCCTTAGGTTTTTTGGTTATGGCCATTCTAGGATGCTTTAGACTTTTTCCTCTTCTATATTAAACTTATCGCCGCTAATAATATATCTAAGAAACCTAGTTTCTTATATATAGAATTTGTATTTCTTAAGTTTAAGAGTCACTTTAGCCTCTTGTAACTTCTATAGTACCTTCCTATTATGTTCCTTATATTCTTCTAGTGTCTTAGAGAATACTAGAATATCGTCTAGGTATGCTACCACGAAAACATTAAGATAATCCTCTAGTACGCTAAAGATGAACTATTAGAATGACGTAGGTGCGTTAGTTAGCCTGAATGGCATTACTATATACTTATAGTAGCTAAACTTGGTTCTAAATGCCGTTTTCTATTTATCCCCTTCTTTAATCTAAAGGTGGTTATAGGCCTCTGTGATATCGAATTTAGAGAACCATTTAGCTCCGTGGATTTAATCTTATATTTCTTAAATTAGTGGGAGTGGGTGTCGATCTTTTTTAGTGATCGAGTTTAACTACTGGTAATCCATATATATCTATAGGCTCTTATCTTTTTTAGGCATAAATAGGATTGGGTATCCTACTAATGATATAGAGTGTTAAATATATTTCTTCTTTAGGTTAGCGTCGATGTATTCTCTTAGTGTCTAAGACTCTTTTTTAGATAATTAGTAAATTGGTATATATTTTGGCGTCTTACCTTCTTTGATGTTGATCTCGTGATTATGTAGTCTATGCTCTAGTAGCTGGCCTATTGGTGGTGCCGTAAACACGTCCTGGAATTCCTCGTATTCCTAAGGTAATTCTGGTGTTTCTTCTCCTGTCGCGTAGAAGGATATTAATTCTTTATATACTATGATATATTCTTTAAGTTTATCGTCTATTATGCCTAGCCTATGTTCTAGGTTTCTGATGATACTTATATCTATAGGTCGTCGTCCTATTAACGTTACTTGAGGTATATTTACCCTTTATGGTGTATCCTTAGGTTTACTTACTCCTATTCTAAGGACCTTTTCGATTATTTCTTGTGATGCGCCTAATCATATTTAGTTTGTTCTTTTATAGCTGTAGCTTATAAAGTAAATGGCTCTAGTATTCTATTAAATCGTTAGTTTATGCCTTTTTAACTAAGGTATTCCTAGTACTATATCGTAGTTTCCTAATAGGGTTACATTAAAATAGATAGTCTTAAAGTAGGTCCCTATGATTATAGTTTATGGTTCTGTTTCGTGGGAGATGCCTAGGCCTAGGCTTTCTCTATTTAGGCTAATAAGTGGCCTAGCTTAGCGCCTCTTCTATACTGGTATCTTAATTTATTATATATATTTAGGGTCTATGAAATTTCCATATGCTCCTAAGTTAATGAGTACTTTAATAGTTTAAAGGAGGATATTTACGTCGACTTTGAGATATACTGCCTATTTAGTGGCTATAAGTTATTATGGTTCTTCTTAGTATGTAGATGTATTATCGTTAGTATTACTATCTATTTTGGGAGTTTGCTTAGGCGCCTATGTTTCTGATCCTAGTTCCTATATAACTAGATCCTAGGAGCTGGTGTTATTCTAGTCTCTATGTTAAGTCTATCCTTAGCTCTTGACTTCCTTAAAGTTAACGTTTAGAAATAAGTCTATTACCTTTTTCTAAGTCTCTTATACGAGTTCTTATATCTAACTAAGTATCTCTTAGCGCTCTTTACTACTAGCTATTATTATTTTAAGTTATCGCATAGCTCTATCGAGGACGTTATCCTCTTCTTCGTTTATTGCCTTTACTTATTAGTAGGCCGTATTAAACCCTACGTCGGTCGATTTTACCTTTCTAACCTCGTTTCCTTAGGTTATTTCTACTAGTTCGTCTTTAGCTATAGCCTAAAGTTACTATAGCTCGTTATAGCCCCCTCGTTCTCGAGTGGCTCTAAGTTATTAAGGTTACTCTTTACTTCTATAATCCTTAATACGGTGTCTAGGTTTTCCGTATTTAAAGCATAGGTTATTATTCTTGCGTCTTTTCTATTCTTCATTGGGGAGTCTCGCTATATCGAGCTCTATTAGTCGTGGACCGTAAGGGTTATTATTATATATCTAACGCGTGTTATAATCCTAGCGTCTCTTAGGTCGTCGGTTACTATATAGTCGGCTAATATTACTCTTCCACTATTTATATTCTCGCCGTTACTAAGCTCTTTCATAGATTTAGTTATCGAACTTAATAGCGATATTAATAAGTTTAGTAAGTTCGTCTAGTCAATTAATTCTTATAAGTTCATCTTTAACTTCCTCCTTAAGTCCTCTCTTAAATAACTAGATATAGGTATCGTTATCTATATCTAAGTGCGAAATAATCTACTAGAATTCCGCAGCGTACGCGCTAGTGGATCCCGTCTACCTAAGCTAGTCTAATTGTCGTTCCATAGTGCGTACTACGTTAATATCGCTAAATATTTATTTAAGTTTCTTCTTGAAGTTATCGTAAGAGGCGAAGATTTCTTTCGTGTTATCGTTCTATCTATCTTTCGCTTTTTCGTAGAATTCTCTCATAAAAGGCTCAAACTAGTTAAACGCGGCCCCTTATAGGTAAGTAGATATATAGACCACTTTATCGATTTTACTAGTACATTAAATGATCCTTAGCTACATTTCCATCTATATAATAAAGGCCTATAGCTTAGTTCTTTCTCTATGGAAATATTCTAGCTTTAGTAGTTTAATAGGTAGTGCTCGCTAGCTAATACTAACTAGTTATTCTTAAAGTTAGCTAACCATCGACATAAGCTACTTATTCGTCGGTGGTGGCGTTAGTGCTAGTGTCACGGCGGGTTACATAGGCGTAGCGGCTACCCGTGCCTAAGTATTGTTTAGGGTCGCTATACTAACTATTCTCACGAGTGGTTTCGTAAAGACAGGGCGTTTAATGTGTTACGCGGTGCTAACTAGTCACAGTGAGTATCGTTCGTAGTGGTGCTATACATACGTCGAGGCTCGTCCTTAAGTCTTAGTTATAATCGTACCGTTACCAGTTAGCCTTACACAGGCTCGGATCTATAGAGTAGACTATTATTAGGCAGTGCTAGATAGTAGCGCCTAGTTAAGCTATGCTTAGGATCTATGTCAAGTGACAAGAGACTAAGTATACCTCTCCTAGTAGGGTGGTTATCTTAAGTACGAAATAAGTATGAGACTAGAACTATAGGTTCTAAGTAACAATATGTAATTAAACGCGAAGAACTAAATACAGGTGTGGTAATGAGTGTTCTTATATATCCTTCGAGTTCCTACTTTCGGATCTACTCCTGGGAGTATATCCTAGAGTCACCGTATACTCCTGCGTATACTTCTGGGAGTCGACGCGGGAGTCACGGTCACGTGATGTTGATCCCTGTAGGAGCCTCTTTGGCCTTGTCCGTGATTCTGCCTTGTGGTCCCTCCTTTGCACGTGATCCCGTTCTTGGGTCCTTCTTATCCCGAACTAGTTGGCCCGTAGTCCTCCTTCTGCGGTGCGGACTAAGTGGGTCCGTAACAATAAGTAGCTCTAGAAGTAAGCTTCCTCGATTAAAAAGCTCTTAAATTAATACTCTAGGAGCCCTCTAAGTCCATTAAATTCCGCTATAGATTAGGTGCTAAAAGCTTGTTAAATCATAATGTAATTAACCACTTTTCTTGCTCGAGAAAACGAGCTTTTACGTGCTAGAAACGAGAAAATTAAGCAAAAAAAAGCAACGTCTAAGCTCTAGATAGCTTATCTAGAGGGTGTATCCGTCGCTGAGCTTAAAGAGCTAGCAAAAATTACTAGAAAAGCTCGATTTGAACCTTAAAATAGTAAGCCGACCGGTTAACTAGGAGCACAAGGACGACGATCTAGGGCGCCACCAAAATGCTCTAAATGCGGTATTCAGGGGCATAAGATAACATATTGTCCAAATTTAGCTAAATAGCTTATATATTTAATATTACGTTGTTTTGGTTGAATTACGTTAATTTGAATTATCGAAAGTTGATGGGGTGGCTCGGATGGGGGGGGTGGCTCGCTTAGGGGTGAATTACGTTATAGTCTACTTTTACTAAGCCTTTTCCCTTATACTTGAGGGCATAGGGTAGATTATCATCTACTAGACTATAGTGACCCCTATTGGTTAGATATATAGCGCTGTAGGCTATAGTCCTTAGTCGTCTCCTCTATTAGAGACGTATTAGCTTAAAATATGGCCTAAATGAATAAGAATCTAGATAAACTTGAAGATGAGCCAAGGCTTATTAGGCTTTCTTTTATCGAGAGAGAGCGCTAAGGAACTTCCGTTTCATTTCCCAGGGGTAGTTCGCAAAGATCAGAATTCAGGGTAATAAACTCTGTGGTAAATGACAATCCCTTCCGCCTATAACCGGTCTGGCTCCCTCTTCTTCTACTAACATAATTTTGAAGCTGCCCGATTAGAAATTGCGCCAATACTTATTATCTATACATCAAGTGGATTTCTAGCTGACAAGAAAATAAAACTGCCTTCAAAATGGGCGTATGGATGAAATTGGCCCGGCCTTCTGGGAGCTGAGTATCAGCCGCACATTCATAGACAATATACGATTATTTTCTGAAGCCTATATCATTTAGAGCAATGCGGGAGATAGGTTTGTGGCTGCCGGATAGTTATTGTGGTTAATAAGAATCTGAGCAGTGGCTGCAAACGCTATCGAGTACACCAATCCCAGAGGATTAAGGGCGTGATAGAGAAAAATGAAACCACGACGGGAAGCTCGTTGAGGCATGGCAGGAGCTCGATCCGCCATTTATGAGGTGGATGATTGGTTTTGTGTAAAATATTCCGAGCCTGTGGACATTATGGAGGAATAATCTTATGACCGAAGTAGTTTCATGGCGTTACCGGGATATGCACCACTGCCGGGTTGAATAAAGTTACCGGCAGCTAATCTCTATCAACTTATATATTTAAGCTCTACTGACAAATTGTAGGTACGTTCTTGAATCGAAAGTGGTAGCATATTGCTTTCTGGAAAATTTGCACGACTGTGCTTGGACTTCCAGTGATTTCGATGGGCATTGCCGGGGCTAAATTGACAAGCTATTTTCAACTAACTTCATAGATGCGTCCGACCCTAGGTATTCCCTTCTTCCTTCCCCCGATAGCGCTATTAGTAAGCTTGTACATTATTTCAATATGACTGTAACTCTTCTTCGACATCTTTTAATCAAATATGGTACGTACAGGCATGGTGAAAACAGATAGTTGGAAGTTCGTATACAGTGTAGACTCTGTCAATGCGGACTGGAAATAAAAGAGATGAAAAAAAAGAAACGAGTGAGCAATGGAATAGCTCGAGAACCTGAGACTAAAGCAACCCGGCAAGTTACACAGACCCAACGGTTAATTCATCGTCCTTTGTTGAGTCATTCATCGAGTGAACTTCCCAATCTGATGTGACCTGGATATTGATGTTCGATGGGCCACTGGATTTCCGATACACAGAGTGTGCAGTAGACTGACTTGGCGGGATAAGAGGTACATCAGGTCCATAAATTGTCTTTCGTTCATGTGTGAATGATGCACGTCTCCAAATTCTTTCTCCTGATGACCCTTCAGATCCATGAGCTGAGGACGCAAACTTTGTTATCTTGAAAATCCTCTTCAGTGCAGGAGGCAAGATTGGTAGACATGTGTTGGTGATGCCCAGAAGCGGGACAAGACTTGAAAGCAGAGCTATTTTTCTGTAGCTATATGTTACATCAAGCGCATCAAGTCTGAACATGTACTTGAGACGTACGCAAGTGATGGCTATAATACTGCGAGCTCAAGTTAGATTAACATAGCCGGATGAGAGTCATACTGAATACTCACATGAATCCTAGCGCAAAGATACCCATAAGCCCAAGCTTCTTTCGGGTTGGAAGCTGCAAGTTCCACAGGACCGGCATAGGTAAGAGAATTGTGATGATGTCGATAATGAGGTCAGTAGCTGCACAGCCAACGTAGAGGGCATGGCTATCGCCACATTTCCCTGAAAGCTCCGAATACCAATTCTTCGATACCGGAATGCAAAAGAAAGCAATCGAAAAAAATCCGCCGATCCAAAATGCCACACATAATCCCATTACAATGCAACTCACACGAACGAAGCCCCTATTGCGGAACAAGCTTATTTAGAAGTGAAGAATGGAGAGATTGACCAAAGCACAAAGTGTAACCCAAAGGAGGTTATCGGCGTACTCGAGCTTTTAGATACGCTAGATTAGTATTCAAGGTCAAAACGTCTCATGTGAATTGACTTACTTTCCCAAATCTAACAAGAACATCTGGCCCTCCGTACTTCATGACCTCTTCAACATGAAGACCAAGGCCACACCATAAGACGACGATGACCTCGACAACGTAACGACTGGTCATGAGAATCTGTGATGTCAGGTTTTCCGAATGTCAAGCAAAGGTCGTTGAGAATACTGCATACTGTTGCAACTAGAATTGCCCAGTCATTGATTTGAAATCCAACCCGTCGAAGTTTCCTTGACCATAGCCGTCCACCAACCGCAACAAAAGCTATGAGCAAGAAAATAGTTTCCACGGCAATGTCTATTTTTCCAGTTGTCATATGCCCGATTTGTCCCGCGAGAATACCCATGATTTGGCGCTTTGTTCAAGTCGGGGGAAAGCAGATAACGTGGGTTCCTATGCTCAGAGTGGTTGAATAGTCCAGACTGGAAAAGAGAAGGAGAGAATAGAATGCAGCGAGAAGTAGTTGTCAACTTATCTCATCGACTAAACCTGTCATCCTTAGTGGAACTACGCTGTGTTTCAATTTCATGCGGTGTAACGCGAGTTGGGGCTGATTTTTCAAGCTGACGGGAAGTAATACAGTCGACTCCCGCCTTTAGCACACCCTCCCATCCAAGGAAAATCGGGTGCAATAAGTGAGAGGATGACATAATATTATTTATGCTAGGTCACCTACCGCTTCTCCTCGACTAAAATCCTGCTAAACTCGCCGATTAAACTCTCAACCTAACGTTTATGGTCTGATTTGCTCTTTCCTTCGCTTCCAACCCATAGTAATATATCCTACAGATAACCCATTACCTCGGAATTGGATAATATCTTAGGTGGTGGCCCGTTTTCTTCAGTATCTCGTGCTTTTGAGCTTTGCATATCAAATATATGTCTTGCTCATCGGTCTCATTTTCAACTACAATATCTTCCTCTATTAGATTCAAGAATTGATTTAATGGTATAATATCATCATAACCGAGCTTCTCATTACTTAATTACATAGAACTTGAATCTCACCACTTAATCCAGGCTTAGAAACTAGGTGGCCGGTCTTGGTAGAGGTGGGGGAAGTATAGTTTTAAGGCACTCTGATTGGATAATGGGGCTGATTGAGCAGATTACTCAGCAAAAAAAGAGGTGTGCAAAGGTGAGTGTGCTAAAAGCGGGAGTTTTGTATGTAAAATCAAGAAAAAGTGGGTCCATCCAAGCGAATGGTGTGCCATAAGCGGGAGTGTGCTATAAGCGGGTGTGCTAAAGACGGGAGTCGACTGTATACACAACCTACTGATAAGTATTGTTCCACTTCAATTTTTAGCCCCACCCCACGAAGTATATATATCTACAATCTAGTGCATTGCATCACCATACTCTAAATGAATTATATATAATTACATGCTTGCAAAGCTTGAATTCCGCACAGTCTTTCGGTTTAAATTTGGAGAATTCATACCGCGTACAATACCTTCTGGCTCTTAAAACTGTCGCCAACCATCTCGGCATGCTCAAGATTAAAACATCAATTACTCTTGAGGAGACAACCACCAAGCATCCATTATACATACTTTAAAATATGCCTAATCAGTCCTCGATTGACCTATATTCACAGGCTTAAGATATAATTAAAATCGGTGAAGCTTAAACCATACATACAACGATTTGAATTTAGTTAGGCGGGTTAAATTTCATAAGATTTCTATGCTCCTTCAACTAGTCTCTCGTCACGTACGCGGTAAAAATACTCGCGTTTCCTTGCTCATAGGCTCTTCTAGGTGTAAAGATTAGAAAGAAATAATTATTCAGCACATCTATATACTACTTGGTGTGGTATTGGAGAGGGAAAAGAATATGGGTGGTTATTAGCCGGAAAAGTGGAGTGGGTCAATTTTTATGGACGGGTATGGTATGAGGACGGTGTACAGTAGCCGAGTCATATACTTTGTAGCTCTGATTTTGGACACCAGATTGATCTTCATAGACCAAAAGATCCATCCTCAATGGGTGGAGTCCGCTGATTTGTTTCCACCGCGATACATCATCTCATGAATGAACACATACTAGTAGACATTGGCCCGTGTGCTTCATGATCAAGTCCTGACGGACCAAGAATGGGTTATTCATGTACGGAGTGGGTTTTTGTACTAGTATCTAATACGCTCGTGCGGACTGGCTGGACAGACTCCACAGTCCGGCTTTGTGCGGCTCAATTCATTCCACCTTCGAGCCACATACTCAGTGTTCAATCAAATTATCAAGGAAGGTTGCATAAAACCAGAAGGACGAGGCAGCAGGCGGTGTGGGCTCCACTACATCGAGACATCAGGGCTGATCACATGGCCACAGCGACGTTGCATTATGCACAGCCGGACGTGTCTTTGCATGGGTGCACATATGTACGCTGTACAGTACCTATATTTGTGGTTTTTATATGTATTATAGGAGAATGTTTCCGAGTACTATGCGAGACAGATATTTGAGGCTGTATATAATTCTCGGAAGATCAATGCATGGTTTTGATGTATTCAACACCTAGATAGGGATGTAATTATGAACCTTGAATCTATTCTACTCGTAGAATCTTTGAGCTCGCGCTTCATCTACTGACAAACAGCTTGGTTGTGGTAATTGGTTATGCAGTCAGATCGACCTGCACACCCGAGAGTGTGCTTGACATCTAGCGTTCCCGGATTCAATGTGTAAAGTGCGACTACGGCCCCAAGAACATTCCACAAAGAGTATCTAGCTATAGAGTGGGTGAAAACTCAAGATAATTCTCAAATTCTGAATGTCGTTTCTTTTGGTGGCCTCAAGCCCCCTCTATTCTGACGTTGCACATGGGCGGTTCCAGGTAGATTGGCTGAGGCGGGGCTGAAATACACAATTTTTTTTTTCACTCTGTACTGCTTGCATAAATGCACTTTTTGATGCAAACGTAATCTCGAAGCTCCACAGTTATTTTCTTGCCTGTGTGTGATAACTTTGGAAATACCTTGGTACGAAGTTGGCGGCATGCCTGCTCGCCTGCGTATAGCGCATTTGTTCCAAGACTTTGAAGCTCTCGATGCTAATCGTACTAGCTCGAGCTTTACTCAATACTTATAGTACTTGGTGCCTTGGTAATAAAGACAGTCTCCTTTCATCTGAATGTTCTTGCTCAAAATGAACCAACATTTCGCCTATTACGGCAATCGTGTCAAAAAGCCAGGCCAAGACTATACCAGAGCCTCCTTTATCCACTCCCCTCTAAGCTAGTTACATATTTTGGAACCAAGTCTTCTAACCGTACGAGCTGCTGAGCACGTCATACCCCATCTTCTTGGTACCACAAAAGTCTGCCTACAATTTGCGCGAGTTTGTATCCTGTAAGAGATGGCTGGGAAACCTTCTAATGGAAGGGGGCATGAAAGTTGAACCGACGGTCTGGGTCATATTTGTTCTTCAATGAGCGCAGACGCTCCAGACGCCAACTTTTATAACCGTACTAGGCCTCAGGACCCTCGTTCCCGAACGCATAATTGACATACGGAAACATCTCATCCTGTCCACTGCCATGGTACACAACTTGACGTAGGTACTCTCCAAATCTCATACCCTTAGCATCACGTCTCTTGTCTGTTGGCTGATAGATTATCAAAGGCGACGCCAGAAGATTGGCTTTACGGTGGGCAAAAGCTGTAGAGTCATCCTCAATTTCCTGAACACCCTGTAATGAGTAGCCTTCAAAAAGGAATAGAGAATTGTTGAAAGCGGGAAACTTTTGAGTGAAGTTGGAAAAGGTGTCGAATGCGAAACGCTGGGCGGTGGGATTGTAGCTTTGGAGATCCACAGGAAAGCGAGCGTTAGCTAGGTCAGCTTTCCGACACGGAAGCGAGTCGTCAGCATTGCTAGTCCATTCAGGAAGATCTTTGTATGTTCCTTTGCCGCCTGTCGTAATCACGGGACCGAGTTTGTCAAATGGATCGGCGTACTCTTCTTCAACAGCCTCGACCCCTTGACGAAGGATGAAAAAGGCAATAAGGGGCTAGATGGATCAGCTTAAGGAATTTTCGATCTCTTTTAGCGAGACTTACGTGCTTCGAATCAACAGCAGGGTAGTTAAAGAAGAAAGAGTAGTTGATCAGGTCTACAGGCTGCTTCCCTCCCTTAAGGAGGTAGAGATTGATTGCATCATAAAGCTCCTCAACCTGTTCATGCGTGAAAAAGAAGCTCTTGTAAGACCACAGCCCGTCGTCCGGAATATCATAGATTTTGGAAGTGACCGATGTGACAATGCCAAAGTTATGGCCGGCACCTTTGACAGCCCACCATAATTCGGAGTCCTTGTCAACGGTAATTTGAGAGCCATTAGCAAGCACCATGTTCATTGACATAAACTGATCTGCAATCAAACCATACCAACCCTGCAAAAACCCATGACCTCCACCAAGGCCGGGTCCGAGCAGACTCGTACATTCGCATCCGCCAGTAACTGTTTGAAAATCAATTAGCTGCTTCATGAAAACATGGAAAGCACTGGAAATGCTTGATCAACTGACCTGTCTGTTCCCCAGCTGCCCATAGCGCGTCTGTGATGTGCTTTGATTTGACACCTCCACCAAATGTAGCTGTCTGACCGTCGCCAGCAATGGACACCGAGTTCAGCTGATTGAGCCAGATTTCAGTACCATTTTCGACTGCACCAAGTGTCTCAATGGCACCATGTCCACCATTGTATACCAGAAATGACATACCATTCTCTTTTGCATATCTCACCTAATAAAAGTCAAATTTTACTTTCTTTCACTGCGTTGAGTGAGTTATTCGTACCGTTGCTGCCACGTCATCTTCAGTAGCGACTTCAACAACAACACTGACATTAGGGGCGCCCAATGTGGACCACCGCTTAGTGGCAGTGCTGAAGTCGGGCGACCCTGGAATCCAAATACTGGCACCAGGAGAGAAATGTGGACCGAGGTCAGTCGCTATATCTCCGCGATTGCATAAGCCACGAAAAAAGCCAGGCATCGTGTGAGGCGATAGATTATTGCAGATGATACTCTGTATAATAGCTGCGGCGGCTATCGTGACAAACCCCATAACAAGAATAGATGTAAATACTATTGGTTACTTTGTTTGAGCATTATCAGGTCAATATAGCCCAAGTGCAAAGTGATAATCAAAGGGGAGAACTCGCACGCCGTCACTTCTCATGTGATTTTCTCTGTGCGAAAAATTCACTGAAGTAAATGAGACTTACGGGAAGAAACAACGGAAACTATCCACGAAGTCTCGGACTGTGGTGGACTGAGCTTTGTTCTGATCTTGGGCTCAAGTCTGAACACACGAAGAGGTGTCTACCCGGTCAGGTGAGGTTATGAAACACAGAGACCAGGTTGGGCTTAAAATTGGGCAGGTCTTGGTTGCTCCAGAATTGAGAATAAAGGGAATACGCTCTCAGGCTGATTTCTTAATCTCCACACGTTCTTGTACATGACCTTCATGTTTGATATTACATCATATGCGACCGGGATTAGCGTGATGTATTACGCACATGCCAGCTCGCTGTGTTAATTCAGCTTTAGGCCCCGTATAATCAGTACCTCGCTCGGAATATATAGTGTAAACATTATATTGTTTGAGTCTGCGACCTTTTGAGCGTTATTTATTGTTTTCACACATGTTGCTGGGAGCGCCGCCACATCAGATCTTCCATACTAGCATTTTGGCCCCCAATCGCGATCTGCACAGGCTAGGACCACTTATTATGAAAAATAAAGAACCAGCTGACTTTAGCCACTAGAGGTTTTGGATAGGGCGTAGGTCCCTGCACCTGGGCATCGCTCGAATCCCAAATGCCGATCTGTTGCGGCATGTGGTTAGTGGGGCTTATCGTCTTCCGATTGATAAATTTGGAACCTAGAAAGCGCGCAGTCAACCTTGAGATTTGTGAGCAATCAGGTCATACTAGTAGATATCTTTGTCAGTAATCTATTCCTGGCTCTATCTTCGCCGTTGGCTGAATTTTGGCCTTTTAATATGAATCATATACCCTCGTTGAATAGTAAGGCGCTTCGTTGACGCGTACTGGAAGGCTACTACTTTGTCAAACGAAAATTTGTCTAAAGTATCATGGGCTTATTGGCACCCGAAAATTTTGAAACGTAAATAAATAGCTACCAAGATTCGGGGGTATCATATCTAATGGAAATTTGGTGATTTTAGCTAGGCTTTGATAGTTGGATAAAAACCATTAGATATTCATGGATAAAACCATCTGACTTTGGGATGGAGAAATACCCCCAAACCTGCTTTTCTTTCCATTTGCAGCCGAGCCCCGAGACCAGTATCGGGATATTCAGTATTGCAACTTATACCTGGTTCCAGCTTATCCTCCAACACGCTACCTGAAAAATGTTGCCCACCGAGATCTCTGGGGCTCTGGCAATACTCGCATACACCAAGCCGACAGTCCACCCTCAAAGGCAAAGTCTTCCGTCCCCCACTTTTCTGCAAGCTTATTCTGCCATTCTTCAATCCAAATCGTCTGCCTCTTGCCATCAGAACTTTCAAGCGCCATCATTCCATTCGGCGCACATTCAGAGGGTTGAAGGGGAGGGCCGGTATAATAAAAATCGTGCCGGGGATCGCAGATGCCCCTAAGATGGGATGCCGTGGACCGGATACCGTGGTAGCACCGTTGACAAATGGCCGTCAAAGGGCAAGAACGACAGAAGTACCAATGACATATTGAGTTCATCTCACGCTTGCAATTTGAACACTCGGCGAGTTGGTCGATTGAGAATGGAAAATTGTCATCGTCCGGTCCTTCGGCTCCGTCATCTGGAAGATGCCGCTTTGCCTGCCGCAAACAGTCTCTATGCCAGACCTTGAGCAAATACAAGGCCCCGTTCAGATCTTCGTAGCTGTCCGCAGCCACCAAAAATGTACTAAAGAGGATCATAAGTGCCTCATCATCGTTAGAAGGACCATCGTCCGATAACAGCTCGATACTTCTCTTCACACGACCGCGAAGAGCTTCTCTAGCGTTTGTGATATCTCCATGGTCCCGCAGCCAACTCGAAATGACCAAGCAGATATCACCCGATTTAGTCTTTTCGTTCAATCTCAAAGGGGATTTTGCGCAGAATGGAGCTTCTGGATGATAAAGGCACACCGTTGCTAAACGGCTCCTTGACCACGTTTGAGCCGGCTCGGTATTCCAGCCATCAGGGTTATCGAGGGAGACAACTTCGTACCAAGCTTGGATTCCTGCACTTATCAGGCCGTGTTCGAACATCACTGATGCGAGCAGGTATTTCGATGCCGCCAGATTATCGGTTTGAGTCTCCCTTGAGGCCGCGACTCTGCCCGGAATCAAGGCAATAAGATCAATATGCTTCCCGTCATCCCGCATCAGCGCATAGTGAAGGACCCGATATATTAGCCGAGGCGCCCAAATGATTCCCGAAGTGAGGAACTCGATCAAATCATCTTTTTCGGTCCATCTAAGTGAGACGGCAAAATCGAACACATCTTGAACACGATGTGTCTGGTGCAGCTGCAGAAAGAGCCAAAAGAAAGAATGCAGCGTATCCCTGTCTCGGTAATCATCCTTTTGTGCCACGAATGCTTCCCAGGCCTCGTTTGCGGTGGCAACAGCTTTGTCGGTCATTTTCGCTACGTGCTCCATTTGCGCAGTATTCAGCAGTTTGCCGATATAATCCTGCCAGCCACGGTCCCAGCAGTCGTCATACAGCAGCTCGGCCAGGTCAGAGTGTTCTAATGCCTCCCTGTACCTTCCGACCTTGGCACATGCACGAGCCATGTCTCTGTGGATCACAAAGAGCGCTTGTTTGCTTAAGAAAGGTTCCCTATGATGTTCACTGAGAGCGATCTGGAATTGTTCGATGGATGCCGCATAGTTATGATTCAGGAGGATTGCCTGGGCGAGTCGGGCATGCCATATAGGCGTCTTCTCGAGATGCTGTATCTCGGCAGTGTGCAGCATCTTGCGAGGCTCCAGACCGGGTACCAATACCTTCAGCTTTCCGTCCGGGGTTGGCCAAGTGGCTGCCATTTGAGAGTACACAAATAGCATGGAGGAGAGGACCCCTGGTAACCCATCCTCCTCTTTGATATCTTTCGGAGCCAGCCAAAGTCGGGAAAAATACTCTGCCAAACGAGAAAAAAGCACCGTGAAAGGACAGCCATCACTTGCCACCGCCGAAGACCGAGCACAATCCTGCAGGAGCTTTTTCGCATCCGAGGAGAGCCAATTCAGTACCAACTCTGCCCTCTTATTCGCCGTATCACGATCTCGAGTATTCCACCAGTAACGGGCGATCTCTGTTGGGTGGGACGACGGGTAAAATATGTATTCAGAAAGGCGACTCGCGCGGCAATTCTCAATGAGCCAGTGCTGGGGCTTGAACGCCGGCTTCTCGGTGAAGAGAGTGGCAAGCAGAGTGGCTATATCTTCTCTTCGATTTGCTGCTTTCTCTGGATTTGCACGCGACAGATGCAGCGGTAGGAATTTCTGAGCATACCTATTGACTGGTCTTAGCCACCTTTTTGATACGGGTGCGATGTTTCTTTGGAGAGCGTAGAGTAAGACAAATACAACGGATGCCTCAGCTCGGTCGGGGTCGACCTGGATGGGTCCAGCCTCCACAGGTTTGCTGAAGAATTCATAATAAGAACTATGACGCAGAGTTACAATTGCCGCGTCTTTGCCTTCTTCTACTTCTTCATCATCCCCAGCGGGCCGGACCGAAAACAGGGATGCGTATACCGTGCGAAGGTCGTCCTCAAGATTCAGGACCTCCTCTTCAAGGATGACCTCCAGGATAAGGTCGAGTTGCTCCACCGTCAGCGGTTTCTGAGCCTTCGTCACAAATGAAAGTAAGATGTCAAGCTGTTGAATCTGTGTCCCCGTCGCTTCCTCATCGAACAGCTCGTCGGGCAATCCATTCGCCACCGTATCCGAGGCCAAAAACTCTCTAGCCAGGCGCTCCAGCTCCGCATGCAGCATTGCGCTGATCCCTCGGGGCATCGTCCGGATTACCTTCCGAATCTGCTCCTTGGTCCGACAGCGCAGAACCGATTTGATGACAAGGTTGGCCCATTCCCAAAGGCCTTCTGCTTGCCAACATATATCACGGACGACCTCGGCTTGAAAGTCTGGAGAACCGCGAAACAAATTGGTCTTCTGCAGCTTCTGAGAGACATATACGGAAAGGTCGTCCTTGTTCTGGTTATTGGTTATTTCGATTTCGGGAATCCACCCAAGGGAGTGGTGGTCGAGAATGCCGCGCACCGAGTCCCTGCTCAAAAGCACGACTCGGATTGATGGAATGCCCATCTGATCCTCTGTCGCGTACGTCCTCTCTAGGAGGCTGAAAAGGATCTCTTGTTCCTCTGGGTCGGCCTCATCGACACCATCAATGATAAAGCAAATTTTGGCGTCCGGTGGAGACGCGACGAAGTAGTCGAGCAAGAGTTTCCTCCAAACAACGTGGCTGTTAGCTGGGTCTTCTTTCTGACAGAACTCCTCGGCATGCGTCGCGAAGCCCAATCGCTGGACAACGATTTGCCATGCCAGCGTCCGCAGGGCTTTGTTAAAGGAGCGCAGATCCACATCGTTGCTCTTGAAGAAGAAAGAGGCGACAATAGGTGCAGGTGGGACGGATGGTTCTGCCGTCGCGATATCGCTGATGATTTTCGACGCTAGATAGGACTTCCCCACACCTGGGCCGCCGTGAATCCATAGGAGACGCTCGGGTCCATGCAACCAGGACTGGATCCTATCTTCAATCCAGCTGCCCGATCCAGGTATCCGATTCTCGTTGATCGCGGAGAAGACGCGGCCGGATGCAGAGACGGGATCTAATGCCTTCCGCACTCTATCAAGTCGTTCACGGTCATTTCTGATGTCGCCTCGTTCGAGTAATTCTGCTGTATTTCTGAGCGCCTGATGAGTGAGATCGAGCCCGTGAGCAGAGACCATCTTGTGTTCCTGGCTAGTCAGCTCCTCTAGCTCGCCTAGGAGCGAGCTAATCGACGTATCCTCAACCAGGACGTTCTTGGTCCAATTTGTAAGTCTTGCTCTGAGTGACCCCCGACTCAGTAGTTTCTGCGACACCGCACAGACCCGAAGGAAATTAACCAGAACCTTGACAATGATGGTCTTCATCCCTTCGCTAAGAGGAACATCACTGTACGAGTCCAGACGGAGAGCAAAATGGCCAAGTTTATGAAACAACTCCGTAAGCATGTTGAAAGATTCACTGACCCTGCGAGCACCTCGAATCAGGAGCAACATGGCGCCCATGATGGAACCAGCTGGTGGAAAAGCAGCGGCAGCTGTACCCGCAATCAGATCGCCCCAATTCTCAAACGGCACCAGGACCATCTGCATAGCATGGAATAGTGGGCGTTTCTTCATCCGGAAGTCTTCAAAATGGTCCTTTTCTGCGTCTAACTGACGGGACAGATCCTCGGGACCGCGGACCTTAGGGAAGTCGCAATCGGTAAGGGCAATTCCCGTTTCTTGAGCATAATCGTCACACGCAGAACGCCATAGTGCGGACAGCTTGCTATCCAAAGGGTCATTTGTTGTTCGAGTCATCGCAGTTAGGCGCGCAGATAGGAGGGGCTGTGAGGTCGCATGTTCATGTTCTTACAGAGTCTGACATGATGCCCCTCATTTCATGCAGTCAACTTCCGTTTCAGGATTAGCTTGTGCCACGTCGTTACAGGACCTACATCGTGCATCAGCACGCGTCTCCCAGTTAACTTTGATGTTGCTGTTACGTAGCACAACCCTGCTGCTTGATTCGCCAGAACTTTTCGATCCCTCTTCGCATTCGCTGGCCCCTACTCCTTCTCAGAATCAAAAACAGTATTCCAAAAAATTCTACTGTCATGATCCACATACTCGTCGACTACCTAGCTAACATTCTATAGGTGCTCGCGATCGTGGCGACAGAAAAGAATCTCTACCTCGAACGCCGACCAAATCACATAATCTAGAGTATCATTCCCGATATCGTTAAGCTAATTAACATAATCTAACCAATAGGGGTCACTATAGTCTAGTAGAATGTAATCCACCCTAGGCCCTTTAGTATAAGGAAAAAAGCTTAGCAAAAGCAGACTGTAAGTGTTTTTCAAAAGTAGACTATAAGCACTTTTTCTCGTACACCTACGCTAAAAATTTAGGAAATTCTAAGTTAAATTCTCTTGAGCGTAATTTATTATTAGACCTTTATACGCTTGAGATAGAGTATAGGAGTGGTTTAAAAATAGTGAGTTTTAAGTATTATTTTAATAGGGTGTAACTACATAGGCTAACTTCTGATTACACGAGATTCACCCCTTGAAAGGGCCGTGTCGCGGTAGTTTAGCGAAGTAGCGTGGACCTTAATTAGGACATCGCGGGGACCTGGGATTGTCCGAAGTTCGATATGAACTTTGGTAGTAACTATGTCGCCGGCTTTAAAAATGCGAATAGTTTCATTTGCGTTATATTTGGCTTTTAGGTTAGGGTTTAATAAAAAATTCGTGTGGTTAAAACGGTGATTGTGAAAACTATAGGAGCTATAGCTATTTACTATCTAGGAAGAGTCTAATGTTAATGTCCCCTAATGTGGAAATTCGGGGATGATTAGTGATTAATTATAATATTATTCTTATAGCTATGAGCTATTTTTAAAATATTAAAAAACTGCTCTTTTGCTCCTAGTGGTATCCTATATATAATTTTAGAGAAGTGCGAGGTAAAGATTAAGTAAACTATAAGTTAGTTTAGTATTATAGGCATCTTTTTAATAATTATTTCTAATATATTACTATAAAGGGTAGGGTAGATCAAGTAAAGAATGAGAGGCGTTGTAGAATATATCTCGATTATATTCCGAAATGGTATAGAACCTAATCCTTGATTCCTTGGAAGAACTTCACTTATTCCTGACGGATTCTAGATTAAAAACTGTAAAGGACTAAACCTAACTTTACGCGAGCGATCTGCTACTAGATCCCTGTCGTTCTGCAGCCGATATGCAACTGCTCCTGTTGAGCCTTGGCGGGGTTGCGGGTATGGGGTCTTCGCCGTAACACTCTCACTTCAACGCTTAAGGTAACAGACCTTCGCGTAACATGCATCAACATCCTCATTTACTACTTACGTTGTAGCCGTATTCTATTCTCTGTTTCCCTTAGCCCCCACAAACCCTAATTCCACATATCTCCCCGTCAGAAGTTCAGACCCTCCAACACCTCCCCGGCCTACTTAATAGTTCAAGAAGATCCCACGCGGCACGCTATGAAAGTGAATGACTATGTCGCCTGAGATATCCTTGTATTGCCTGCAAAATCAAATTTTGGGCTCTAAATGGCATGTATGTTAGTGAAAGCACGGGAGTGCAGTTAAGAAAGATTACGCTTTACAAAAGCTGATTTTAATCTCCAGGCATGGGCCCAACAGCCAAAGCGGTTCCCTAGTTAAGGTTAGGGTCCTGGGATTCGGTCATCCAACGGGCCCGCAAAATTTGACTGCAACTTCACTTGCGAATTTTTTATGCAGTGGGCGTAAATAAACTGCTCAAGCCAGTGGCACAGCACGTCCAAAGCGCTGTTTTCCATTGGATTTCTCTATCATTTTTACGTGCTTCCAATCGACTGGTTCGCTCGGCCTGGCAATCAGCGATGTCTAGCTATAAAGGAAGAGATCCCATATTCACTGGCCGTCAATTAATTTTCACTTCAAAAGATGCATCCAGCGCGTGAAAATCATCAGCGCCCTTGCACCGTGTGGATGGCTGAACCTCCGCCGAGTGGTTCCTTGGAAACATCTCGCGCCTCCTTGTCTGAGGCCACATCCGACGCGTGCGACACGACCACTGTCGCTGCCAATAACTGCCTCATTCCTGCTGTACGAGTACAGCTGATGCCTCATGGGCGTGAACACCATAAGCGGTCCCCAACCGTGTTGACAGATGAGACGTGGGACAGGTTGCTGAATCCCTCCTGCCCATTCTCATGGAAACCCACGTTCGGCGCGTCCGACACCAATGCTGTCACAGCCGCTACCATCGCCTATTCTTCTACGCGAGCGCAGCTCGTACTGACTGGACTTTCGGCTCCCAAAGTCCTGCCGATGGCCAAAGATCCCATAGAATAATGGATCTTGAAAACGAGACTGACGAGGTGAATATTTCAGTCCTTGATTCGTCTTCAGTCGCTCCGCGAACTCCGTTCATATACTACAATTGGGCAACTGGGCTGTTGAGAGCTACATGCCTCAGTAAAGTTGGCATCGAAGCTACAGTATTGTCCAAGACAGGCAAACTAGCCGGCCCGGGCTCCCGGGGCGCATTTCGAGATTAAGCAAGGGGTACGGACATAGTCCCTATGATCTCGGGGACGGTACAAATTTCATGATTTGAAAAACGCGATAAGCAAATGTCGCAGCATTGAGAAGTATTCAACCGAAAAAGTCACTCAAGTCAACCTATGCCCTGGGCAAATAATCTCTCAACGCTGAAATTGAAGGAGTAAAGAAGTATTCCCCACCATGCGGAACAACAAATCTTTCCAGCGTAAGACTTTTCTCGTAGACTTGGGGAGCGGGTTTCTCCAGATCAGAATCGGGGAAGGGAATTACGGGAGGATCTTGATACTTGGGGTTGATCCGTTGACCATCAGTAGGCTTTGCATGTCGGCTTGGATGAATTTGGCCGATAAGAGGATCAATACCCTGGCTGGTTCCTCCGCTGTGCTTAGCCATGTCCGTTGGGCTATCAGAAGCATTGGCCCAGCCTGCAAAGTGTCAGATAATGGGGTATTTTTAAGATAAACAAGAAATACTTACGTTTCTGCTGGGTTACAAACCCATTCTCAATGCTGCTCTGGTAACAGACAAAAAGCAGACCACGCTCTTTCTGTGTAATGCCAGAATTCTTCTCCGGTAACTCGCACTCATCTCCATAAGGAATTCCTCGACGCATGATTACATGTTTGGCGTAACCGGGGTAGTCATCCCGAGGGCCAGTCTTGCGCATGTGAGATACGTAAGGACACTTGATCTGGTCAGTAGGGCGATAATTGAAGGCATCCGTGTAATTCATGGTCTTTAAATCGGCTTCTTGGAACTTCTTCTCGAATTTAGACCAGTTAGGGTCCTCCTGAGGATGAAGCTCCATTGGAGCACCTAACGTATCGCATTTTTTTCAGTATTGAGAACTTGGCTAAGGACACGAAGTGGTTTCTCTAGGAGAGTACTCACCATTAGGCCAACGTCCCACTAGTCGTGAGGAAAACAGAGCCAATTGATTCATAGCATCAGGAGTGAAGCCTTGCGGTGGTTTCCCTGTTTCTTGCATGGACTTGATTATCTCTGCCATAGGAATAGAGCAATTGATAGCAGCCCAACTATGCACAGCAGATTAGTTTACTTGGAACAAATCCATGGCTGATGACAATGATGTAGCAACTTACCGGTAGAATTCAGGGACCAGCTGTTCGTAGATACGGAAGACCATGAAGCTACCGTCCTTGGCCCATGCAGGATGCTTGCTGTCGTCACCCTCGTTTCCGACGAAAATGATGCTAACGAACCAGAATTAGATTTGGCCCCTCGTTTGACAAGGAAAGAAGATAGTTCCTTACCCAGGATCAATTGGTGTCATTCCTTTACCATCATCTGCCTCAGTAGGGTCCAATCCTTTAACAATAGGCTGGCTAATACCATCCACCCAGCCAAAACTGTCATCACAGAGATTAGCGATTGCAAGTGAATATGAGCGGGACTTCGCATCACTAACTGTTCGAGGTGTTCCTTATAGACTTGGCCATCTTTGGTATAGACTATCTCAATGCTCTGCTTGTCATTTCCGACGTTGAACACCCAATCAAATGACTTCTTGACCATTTTCTCAATACTCTCGATACTGTCACCAGCCACAGTGAGACAACCGTCGATGCCACCACCGTTGGGTTTGAATTCATTGACCCAATCTTCTTGAGGATCGAGGCCTTGGTGGTCTGCATCTGATTCGCCCTCCGAAGGGGCAGTCATGTCTTTAAATTGACCACCGTTAAAGATATCGTCGTCAAATTTTTCCGCCCCAAGCTATTGAATATGAGATAGTGCATCTCTTATTAGTGTATTCTCGGTGCTTACCTTAGCTAGGCCATTGGCAGAGAAAGCAATATTTAGCGAAACGAGGCTAACGAGACCTTTGAGAGTACCATCGGCTTTCTGCTTGTAGATATTTTTCCGGTTCATTTCAGCCGTATACGCGGTGGTAATAAAACCGACTATCTTAGGGAGCGCATTCTTGAACTCTTCCGCGTTTGTAATTCGAAAGAAGATAAACCTTTCGGCCTTCTTAGGCAGACGAGGCCTGATTGTGTCAATCCAAAAAAATCTCATAGCACATCGGTAATCACATAATAACCATAGTTTAAGACTATTATGAATATGAATATTATTTGACTTACCACGTGTCTCCCTGAATGTTCTTCTTGTCTACCATTTTGAGTGATTGATTGAGGATTTGGTAAGTTCAGTAAATTAGTCGATTGCTCTTCAACCTGTTTGAAAACCTGATGAAGAGAACATTGGAGTGCGAGAAACCAGAGAATCTTTATAGGAAAGAGTTCAAATATGCCAACACGTAATTGTAACATATCAGTGTAACCCTGAATTGCGGTGAAAATAAGCAATTATGAAATAAATATCCGGAGAGGCGGGCGCTGAATGCATAGCTAGCTATGTTATGCGACAGTAATTTGTTCCATGCATGCGGGGATGTGAATGGTAGCGAATGACGATTACAATTCTAGATAAGTCTCATGAGATCATCGAAGTAAGGAGTCAGATGAATGGCATCTTGCGAGCCCAATATTTATGAAACTTGCTATACAATAGCGTTCCGAACTTTCCCAGCTTTAGGTACTTCGACCACCTTAAGTTACTGAATTCTAAAATCTGGGACTCGAATCGGACGTATTCGGGTCATATCGAAATCTGTTCCTACATACAAGTCATGAGGATGTTGACTTGGAGGTATAGCCAGTGGACGGTTACTACTTACTACTAGTAGTACTATGCGGGGATGGATTATATATTGGTAGTCCCTTCAATGATAAAACAAAAAAACAGCAAGATAGGTTGCGTGAAATGGAACATAACAATCTACCTGTACCCGCTCGACTTTCGAAAAAGTCGAAAATTATGATAACGATCCAATATCCACGCGGGACTTGAGCTAATTCGGGTTGAACTTGTTTTTAAACAGTACCATACAGGCTACAATACGAGGGAATAATGAGTTCTCGGTAGATTATTTGCAAACTACGCTACTTGACCGCAAATTGTGCCAAGGGATCTGCAGTTATAAATCTTTGTTATCCGAGCTGAATTGCTTATTTTTACCTACATCGAGAGCTGAGTTAAATGCACGAAGCTGTCGACGATCGGTTACACACAACCCCGCAGCAACTCGTACTGAAGTTGCACTTGCTTCGAGATCCCCAATTGTCTGCTTGCGTCTGCATTCACCTACAGATTGGAAGCCATATTTCCCCACTTCAATGCATGAATTGGAAAAACCGACCAATCAGATTGGGTGCAACGGAAAAGAAAAGCCTAGTTGATCCGATGAGCCTTCAAAAGTACCGAAATGCTCCTGCATGCAGCCGCACGCGATAGTTGAGTGGCTGATGTCACCAGTTTTTCTTTTTTTTCCCCCTACCAATATTGGAGCAACTTGGAGCATGCAATGGAACCATGGTGATACTGGTAACGCGTGTAGCATTTTCTAAAATTTTCGACTTATTATTGTACTACTAAGTATGATCTAGAAGGAGCCAGAACTGTGTATTACGCACGGAATGCTTACTGACTAGTCAAACTTTAGTCATTGTACAAAGTTGGCCCGACGATCCCAGAATGTGTAGCTGAGCTGCGGGTATCCCCCTGCATATCTGGTGGGACGATCCAGCGATTAGGAACTATGGGGACCCGAGTTATGGACAGTGATGACGTACCTTACTGCAGGGCTCGAGCGGTGTGTGGATCGCACAGAGCTACAATGTTTTTGGATGAATCATTGAAATTTGAAAGTCTTGGCGAACCACTCGAATTGTATAAATAATACCTTTCATCATGCTGGTGGTAATCTTCGCGACAAATTACGCAACAAATTGCCATAAACGTTCCATAAACGCATAACTAAAATGCATCTTTACTCCATCCTCTTTGCCACTCTTGCCTTGGCCCTTTCTGGCGCCGTTGCCCGCGGTGAGCATAAGCAACAAGCCATGACCGACTGCTTCAACATCTGCGAAGATTCAGCAAGCAACCTCTCATGCCCCCCTGGCACTGAAGAAACCCAGCTTTCTAGCGTATGTCCCTACAATGAGGAATTAATACATCAATCCAAACGATGAAACTTGAAACTAATTGCGCTATAGGGCTGTTGGACCTGCTGTGACACCGAGTAAACCGGAAAGCGACAAGGGGTGAATTGCGTACTTCTACGATGAGCCTTAATCTATAAGGGCTATTGCCCATTCGGGATAGAATACTGTTTCCACAAATGAAGGTCGATTCTTCGGTCATTCACAAAAGATATCAACCATGTCCATGTTGCTGCTGAATTAATAGTGAGGGGTGGGCGGGTGAAGCGAGGCAGCACGGTTACAAGAAAGTGGAGGTACTCCGTAGTGTAGCTCGAGTTTTGAGACAATTGAGAACCCCATTCTAAGGGGACTGTTTTTCAAGGATATTTAATTATATTTTTTAGTATATCGGATTGAGAGAACAGAGACCTGATAATGAGACACCCCGAGCCTGCGGGAGACTTGTGCAACTGGGTATTCCGGGAGAAAGCGTTGGGTAGATATGAGAAAGTGAGCATTACCATTAATCATGTACAATAAATGTATTGTGTCCAAAGAATTGGGTTCTACCCGTATCCGCACCCGTACTCTCCCCCCGGGCCGTGATGAATCCAGGGATGGACGGACCTTGGGTTGTGCCCGAAGATTGGGGACTAACTGAGTGAGAATTAGCCAGTGCAGTGAGGAAATACTGTAGTTGAGCCGGGTACCCCGACTCGGACTTCCCAAAGCAGTGTCCCACATTGTTACGCACATCTCTCCCCAGCCACATGCATTTTCCTTGTACACATCCTTGAAATATAGTGAAGCCAAGCAAATACAAAGTGCGTTGTATAATCGGGGCTGCAAAATATGCATAAAGTCTCAAAAAGGCGTGTTTCGTGGGCACTGCAAGGAATGCTCAGGTGACGCGATCAATCTTGGCGCACGGCCGCGTTCGGCGAAATGCTTTACACAAAGCCCATGGTTTACTGTATACCAAGAACTAGGTGCAAGGGTGTCCGCCCTCGGCTTCTGTACGGAGTAGCAAGGCGATAAATGGAGCGTTCATCACACGCGCAATTAGGACACCGACTTCCATGCAGCCCGGGCGGGCGCAGGGAGTTGTGTCGCATACACATTAGCTCGTACGTAGAGAGAAACAGACCGAGAAACAGACCGAGAAACAGACCGAGATAGTTGACTTCCACTCCAAATGCTACCATTTTAATGCTTGAGTAATTCCGCAAAGAACATGACAGGACCGCTTTCTAATTTTTGTCATTTCTATTTCTGTACATTAACCTTGATACAATCGTCAATCGCTGCTTTCGCCATAGCATGGCCATGAGCATAGTCCATAAGTAGTTTTTCATCTATAGATATGTATTGCTGGCACTGTTGCAAACAGTGATATTGCCGCCGAAAAAGGATTTGTAAATGAACGTAGCTTTCGGGCGAGAGTAACCCAACGCTAGGAGCCTCTGAGATGACTCCCTGAAGCTCAATCAGCGTGGCGGAGACGCCAAGTAGAACTCCCAAATTTTGCAGCAGCTTTGAAGAAAGCCGAAGTATTTTGTCTGCAAATTTAGAGGGCCAACGAGTGAGGAGCGTCGCCAGGTCAGAGGGCACAGGGAGAGAGGCCCTTTGAATCATGTCCAGGCCAATCCCAACAAGGCCATTGTCGTTTAGGGTGTGTAATTCATCTATCCCTGTGACCACCGTATGCTCCATCTCAAATCCAAGTTGAGCTCGTAATAAGCGCACCACTGCGCAGCCCATCAGGTCTGCAGTTCTCCCCGGAGCGTAAACAAATGACTCGAGGAGACTGCACTGGGAGAACCAAAGAGGCAGCAAAAGCGTTAAATCAAGATCACCTGCTCTGACTTTTGGCCTGGTAGATGGTTGGCGCTCGTGGTGCTGTAGCAAAGGTGGAATTTCATTTACCAGGTCTGTGGACTCTGATGATTCAGGTATTGTCTAGGGCGTATTCGAGCTGCTGCAGCCCTGGCAATGGACATCCTCAGAGAGACCAACAAAATGATAGTAAAATGGGATGCGATGTAGCCCAAGATAGTCTATCCATTGTTATAGACTAGTCAGCTCCCCCCTTGTAAAGTGCCGAACATTTTACCCCCGCCCCCAGCGTAGTTCTTTCACGAGCCTGCTGTTGTTACTGTCCCCGGGATAAATCCACGGCTTAGAGGCGGCCAGAGCTGGGAGAAACTTTGATTGCCAATTCTCATCCGACAAGTTATTCAGACTCAGCCAGTCATCTAGAGAGCGATTTCCGATCTTTGCCTTGCATCCAGCGTGGATTCCCTGTGCAGCCTGAGCTTTGGCGCGGAATATATGACCCATCCTGGATTCAAGCTAATTACAAGGCATAGAGTCAAGCTTAAGAGAGATGTCAGCTGTCTGGATGTCTTCAGATCCTAGCCATTCACTCGATGTGTATCCTGCCTGGACTCGTCGCCACGCAGTACGAGTGGCATCTTTCCCTTCCATTTCCGAGACCTTTTCAATATAGTCCACTACGCATTCCATTAACATAGCAGCATGACCAGAATGGATGTTGCCAATGGACACATGGTAGTACGGATTGAGACCAACTTCTGGTAACTCTTTTGTTGCCTGCATTATATCCAGCTAGGGCATTTCGAAGTGCATGTTGAACCCCAATATCTCCGAGAGGAATTCTTCCGAACACGTAGCGATCATCAATTGAGCAACAGCAGCCCTCCAATGTTTGATGCTGGTAAAATTCAATCTAGGATGGAGGATTTCTTTTGTTGTCGGCGAGGGTAAATCTGGCTCGAAAGCCCTTAGAAGCTCTTCGAAAATATGAACGTGGTGCTGCTGGAGATTGCCATCACCTAGCTCCTCAGTGAACACCTACGAGGTTCTCTTCATGATTAGACGTAAAGCAAACGGTAGCGTTATTTTATTCAGATGACCCAGCCAAGCCCCATCAACCAGTTTCAACGGGGCAATCTTCCTAAGCCAGAATTCGGCATCTTGTCGGTCGCGAACCAATTAGCGAGGGCCACCCAATTTCCTTTACGCAATATACTCTCCGTATCCATCCGTGACGTTCTTTTTATGATCTTAGAGAAAGCGGGAAAGCTCATTTTTATTGAAACTATCCAATGATAGGATACTGGAATTGGACTTCTTTTTTAAATTTTCGTTCAACGCTTCGGACAAGAGAAACAGGATTGCTTGACGTGCAAGTGGGGAAGCTTCCAGATAGTACTCCTTATTTTGCAGTTTGAAAAAGAGGCTTTTATAAAATTCCAGCTCTTGTAACCCTGATTCTTTGGCGGTTGGTTTCACGGCCGAGGAAATGAACGTCAACTTCCTCGTGAAGTCAAGGGGTGTTCGTCGGCGTGCTTGACTATCCTGAGATTTCCAGATTCGGCGAAGACAAAATGCGGCGGTAAAGAGGAGGAGGACGGCGATCATCCTCGACATTAAGGATGGTGGGAAGGAAGCAAGGGGTATTTCATAGTTGAAATCTATCGTCGCTCCTGAGGCAATCCGAGGCTTAAGGTGGGAAAGGGGAGAAGAGGCATTTATTACTGAAGATGAAGTACCTATTCCAGACCCATGTTCCCAATAATGAAAGATCACTTTGGGTCGTGCAGATCGATCATCGTGTCTCAATTCGTTCGACATGTGGATCTACGACAAGTCACCGACACTGTACAGTAGTTATGTACATACACTGCACTGTATAGTATGTAGGTACGCAAAAGTATTGGTTACATCATCAGGTAGGTACTCCGTACTGTACATTCCTACAATATCTTTCTTTCCTTTTCCTTTTTTTTTCTTCTCGGCGGGTTGTCCATTAGGTTACAGCAAAATCTTATATGCATCTTGTGTAACCGGAGTCACCGCCAGTCCCTTCCCGCTCCTTGCATCGATACCTTGATTTGCCTACATGAATGAATGGAATCGATAGACCCGAGAGATCCATGTGAAGAAGAAAAAAAAAGAAACAAATGGATTATACCTGGAATTACCATTAATTAGATGCAGCCCTTAAATACAGTATATTGACCAAGTGCAAGGCCAGGTGCTCCTTGTAAAGGAGAAAGGATAGCTAATTTGCACCAAACCCGAGCTTAGACGTGAACGGTCAGACCGTAGAGACGGCTAGTAGCAAATTTTAGCTACTAAATGCTTTGGCGCACGCTATATGCCCTAAAACGATTAATGAAGCGGAAAAAACAGAACCCTAGCTTTGATCTATTATAAGTGCGGAAATGTTTAACCAAAAAAGGAGCCATCCAGCCGAACATGGTAATTGTTGATACCGTTCCCACGGCTCTGTGACTAGTGTAATGACTAACTGGGCTAGCGTTCCATGCTACCATACTTCCCCCAACGGCCTATCCGTATTTAAAACACTTCTCAAATCCCATCAGGAACTTCGTATGCTTGTTCCTCTCGTTATCAAAGTATGTTGAAGTCATTAATATTAAAGCCCTCCCACAATAGCTTTCCATACTTAAGTTCGGGGAAAATTTTCCCTCACTATTCCACTATATCGTAGATAGCATAATCATACCCGAGGAATCACCCTTCTTAATTCTAGGAGGAAGGTTGGGGTTGCCTGCCTCGGGAGGATTAACCTTTAATGTAAACCGTACTATATTCTCTAAGACCGCAAACGAGCTAGGCTTAGAACTACTGTGGAGCGAAATGGCCTTAACTAAGATATTCATTATAAGACCGCTAAATCCCTTATTCTATTAGTACTAAGCCTCTTTAGGTAACCTAATAATATTAATATTAAGGGCTATATAAGAATAAAGTATTAGAATAGTGATTAAAAAGGGAGAAGGGAAATTAGCTCTTATGGATATTAGACATGCGATAATCATCAGCTACTATACTATCTATTTTATCGGTATTAGCATCGGTGAAAGCGGCGTAGTACTTATCAATGCGCGCTAGTAATATCTTATCATTATGGTTTTAGATACGGTTATTATTAAATGCGGGTGAGGGCGAAGCTATGTTATATGATATATGATTTCTGCGGTCTACTTGTCGCAGTAGGTGTGTTGCAAAATGACTATAGTTGCTAAAGGGTTGAGTAGGGAATCGAAGCTATAATTATAGTTTTATTTCTCAATTTAAGTGTATTTTAAATTAAAGGGTCCTCATGTTCTCCTCACCTACATTATGCGCCGATGCGTAGTTTATCACACCTTAGCTATAAGCTAGAACCAGTTATCGCCCCTTGGGCTTGCCGGCTGTGGCTTAAGTCATTGCCAGTTAATAAATATTCGAGAGCCACACCGCTCCGTAGTGTTGGTAATAATCTACGTCACCACCACCTGCGGCTTTTGTTGCACAGCGTATACATATATGCAATAACCGGACGAAGTCGAGGACAATGTTTTACTTAATAAGAATTGATCGTGTTTTCCTCTTAAGGCAAAGAGTGTCTTGAGATAGATATTGTCCTAAGATAAAGATTGAGAAAAACAAAACACGCGAGTGTCGGACCAGTTATACGCTAAACCAATAAGGGTGTCTGCCAATTTATATATCCTACCTGTGTCTTAATAGACCATGGATCTAAAATAGATTTACCATTAAAGGAAATTCTACTATTAACATACAGGACTTATATCTCGAACCCCTCTATAAAAATATTAGTCTGTATCCTAGTCTGGAGTACTGTTCTTCATAGCAAACATGCGCTTGGCCAAACTGTCCGCATGGTGAAATTTGCAAGATCCTCACACCTATGTCAGTAGCTATAATTGCGGCGGAGTCTTCAAGCTTCCGTATGAGAAAGAAGTATGTGTTTGAGACTGAGTTCTCCGTCTTCAGACGCGGAATTGACTAACTCCAACTTGATGAGCCCTCACAGTACATGCAGATAGGAGACCGTCATAGGGGACTCAACCGATGTCTTCTAGGATCTGAAGGGCTCCTGGGAACTGAGACTATGTTCCTGAAATACCCTTACTCGCTTCTGGGATGCTATTGCGAGCTCCTAAAAGCCTTCAAGTTCCCAGAACAAGGGTCGTTGCGACGGTCTTACATCCGCACATATTGTGGTTGGTTCAGCAACTTCGCACTGGCCAATCCCGTGTCTGAATATCAAACCCAGACACCCAAAAACGCTGATGAGATGCCTGGGAACAGCGCAATCGAGTTCTAGGAATGGTGAAGATTCTGGGAAGCAAGAACTGAAAATTTATCCAATAGTATGTAGGAGGTGGTACAACTGCACAACCTGTTCACTTCACAGGATATAAATGTGAGCCAAGGGATGGTCTATTTATTATCGCCCGTCCGCCCTGTTGCTCTGCCCACTCACACTCCCATCGACCCTTCTACTCGTAACTCGAACTTTTGGAATGGTAGGTCTCACATGGCTTGAAGCCGGCTTGAAATGTTCGATGGCTGACTTTTGAGAAGGCATCTAGTGAAAAACTGCACCGCTTCAGTCAGCTCCGGAAGTTTTTCTCTCAAGGGGATGTCCGGGCTTTTTTGGAAGCCCTGAAAGCACTGAACATGGGACTGAACGATCCTGATAGTTGTCATCGAACAGCTTTGTGGTATGCCGTTGATCGTGGGGACATCAACGAAGTGATTTTCCTTTTCAAATGTGGTGGGGATCCTAGCGTGGCGGATTATTTGGGCGTGACATGCTTGCAAGTCGCTCTCAAAAAAGGAAAGAGCCCGATGGCAGCCCTTATGCTGGCGTATCTAGATGATATGTCTACGTCGCAAATTATCCAAAACGGACTACCCCTTGAGCAGCTACTCCTGAGACACTCAAAAAGGCCCAATAATAGCGAGATCATGGAAATGCTCTTGGACTTGGATGCAAATGTAAATGCAAAGAATTCCGAGGGTGGAACACCATTGATCCAAGCAACCCGGCGCGAAGACCTAGCAGCTATTCAAATGTTACTCAATCGACGTGACCTTGACCTCCATAGGCAGGATCGTAAAGGATCTATGGCGCTCCATATAGCTGTCCGAAGAAATCATCCGCAAATAGTGGACCTCCTTCTTTCCAGTGTACGACTTGACATCAATTGCCAGGACAGCCAAGGCAACACCGCCTTTTGGTGGGCGACAGCTCTGGGCCACAGTGAAATTAGCGAGAAACTTCTAGATGACGGCAATTTAGATCCAAACATCCAAGGAAGCAGCCAATTCAATCGTCGTTGGCTGACCCCTCCTCTCTACAAAGCGGTCATGTCAAATAACGTGCCATTGGTTTCCCGTATGCTTACAGCTACCTCAAGAACCCAACTTGATCCGAACATTCTCGGTGACCATCGATGGAGCTCCGTCGGGGCTGCAGCATATCTAGGCTCCCGTGAGATGGTGAAGGTCCTTCTACGGGCCACTAATATTCGGATCAATGCGAGCAAAGAAGGCGAAGATGACCCCTTATGGCTCGCGATCCAGAGGCGTTCCACCTCAGTAATCGAGCGTTTGCTAAATGAAAGGGAGCGACTGGACATTAATTGTCAGAATAACAAGAGCCGTGACACTTATCTCCTCGCCGTAGCTCGCAAGGATGACTTGAGTTTGGTCGACAAAATACTCGAGTTTGACAATGTTGACCTCCACGCAACAAATGCATAGGGTGAAACCGCGCTAGCGGTCTCCATTCGTGAGAACTACCACAATGTCGCGCAAAGATTGATCAGCCGGGGCGCAAAATGGTAAATGAAATCTGTGCCGCTTGTGATCCACGATGGGCTGGGCTAGCAATGGCACGTAATATTTGATAGGAGAGGCTATCATGAATTTGGTGGTTTGGGCGTAATCGACTTAACAACTAGTATATTGTGTTGGAGTCAAATTCAGATTCGGTATTTCTTTTGGCAAAAGAACTGTTTTTAGATACAGACGTCTGTAAACCATCGACTTTCTCTTTTTGCTTCCCAATTTATTATGCAAACGGCCGCATGCGTATCAATTTCATTCTTTAGGTATAATTATAGACTCGAGAGGCTTCGTTCTCATTTAATTTCCCAATTTGACTGTTCCAGAACACACTCGCCTCCCGAGGATCAGAGCCCTGTTTATTTGGCATTTCCAGTGTGCTAGTATTCGTCAAAACTGGTCCGTGGGGTCCAAAGGTACTCTGGTGATGGAGCGGTTGACCGTCATGTGCGCTCACTCTCAGATTCATGGATCTATCCCGCGCCTCTCGGATTGCCAGACAGCCCGGAAGCCAGTTCATGCTAGTGCATGACTTAGCTCCAGGGTCAAGAAAGAATATTGTGGGCCTCTCATGGGCTCTGTGCATAGAAGACCTTATGTTGAAAGATCTGTATTGTTAAAGCAATGCATTAAGGGTCCGTGATATTCTCATGTTCATTCAGAATTCACACCGTCAGCTAGTGGGCGGCTATCAAGGAATAGTCAACAAGCCCTTTTTCTCTACCTCCTGCTGTGTTTTAGGATCGCTGGGAAGATTATGAATACCGGGTTCGTCTTCTTCATCTTCGTCCATTCCCCTCCGAACAGATTCAACATGGCCTAAAATGACTTCGGCTCCTGATTGTTCTGCAAGACCCCACGTTCTTTGAGCAAGTGGTCTACCATTCTCCTTGGCCTGTAAATGTTCTCGTAGAGAACTTCGGCTAGCCTGGCGATACGGTCAATTCCAGAGGTTATTTGCTTCAAGGCCTACCCTGCAGTCGCCAGACTTTCCAGTAGTTGGGCCTAGGATCTTTCGGGTCAAAGAGCTCTTGTATAAGGCCTTAGTAGCATTCGACAAACGTCCTATTCTTGATGAGCACGGGCCTTTGATAACGAAGGGTGATCTTTCCAACGTGCACCGTGTTAGTGGAGATATGCAATCCTACTCATGTGGCCCACTCACTAGATAGTGACTACGTTTACCAAACGAACACAGCCCCAGAACCTACGTGTTAGCAACGCGGTCAACATCAGACTGGCTGGAAACGGCGGAATGGCGATTTATCCCCTCAAGCCAGCTTCTCCTTCACTGTCGCGAAGTCGTGTATGCCAAAGATGCTCCGACGTGTGCAGCAATATTCTTTTTAGCAATCGCTGTTCATCTTATTACCTTGATTCACAATTTCAGTGCGGTTCTTCACCACATCAAACCCAACAAAATTCGACCCGTACTCGATGCGTTTAACAACCGTTTTGACCTGAAGGCGGTAAGGTGAAGTGGGTCGCAATCAGATCCACTTAGATCGTTGAAACAGGGCCAGAAAAAAAAGCCGTTTAACCTAATATGGCTGGCCATTGTTCAGTGAGCTACCGACTTTTGAGACTCGGCTAGAATACTGCGGCGAGCAACCGACTATTCGGGCACGAATCACCACTATACTTGTCTGAGTGGAATGAAGGAGCCTGTCATTCGTTTTCTACCCCACGTATTCCACGTCGTATTACTTCACTGAGGTATTGAACTGCTACGAAAGATGTCTGCTGTAACTTTCGGTGTTGACTGAGCACTTTAACGCCTCCTCGATTGAACAGCCCACTCAGCCTGCGGATGCTGCAATATGTGATTGCTCTCGACAAAACAAACTGACCTTCAAGATTGTATGCCGGTGCTGCGCAAGAATTAAATTAAGTCAGGTGAATTGAAGTGTCATTTATCAAGTTTTGCGTGTGGAGAAGATGCTAGGGAATTTTAAATTCGCGAAGGCTAAGACCGTAGCACGGATTTTGATCAAGAATCAATTAAAGATTCTGAACGAATCTCTTCGTAGTGTTCGCAAATAGTCTAAGGCTACGCGTAAGGCACTATAGAATGCACATGTGTATTATAACTAAGCAAGCCGCGTCGCTCGCAAACGACCTACGCACGAAATTATGCAACATAAAACCCAGCCAACAAAATTGAGATAGAATGAAAACCCATTATTTCAGCTACGCATTTCGACCAATCGAAAAATTGATTGACGCATTAGTTCTTCGAAATAGTGAGAGAACTTTCAAGTTTGAATTAATACCAAGTCGACTGGTCAGGTATGAAGACCAATACGTACTCGCTCCAGAGTTGGGTATTCATATTTGCTTCGACCCTTCTTCTCAAAAAAAAGAGTACCTTTGGGGAGAAGTATCTTTAATCGATTTACTTCAGAACACAATCGGCACTTTTGCACCCACACAACGTGTTGTAATGACAAGCTTTGTTGCGAAGCTACAAGTACGCGGAGGGGCTCGCATTCAGGCCGTTACGTACGCAGTTGAGTTTCCAGAGAATACTGAGAAGCAATTTATGAGGCAACTTGGAAGACCGCTTCGCGGCCGTCCAAAGGTGCTCGTCGATGTTGAACAAACAACGGACTTTGAGTTTGGAGACATCACCCCTGATGGTTCGTTCAGTCCATAGAACTCAAAATCTGGCACATGACTGACATCAGTAGAGGCAGAAATTTTGGAGGAGCTAGAAATGCACCCTCAGCTCAATATGCCCTTGACAATTGATTTCGCGAAGTTGTGGCAAGAGCGAAACGTGCAAATTCGTATTGCAGTTGAACCAAATGATTTTTTCTACAACAGTTTCGTCATTATTAGCGAAGTTCAATTGGAAATCTACTTTACGGTTTGACTGTCGTATTCATATTGATGTACAAAGTTTCCATCGATTCTCTTATGGATTCAATTGGTGGCTCAATGGAAAAGCTAGCTCTTGGAGCCTTTTGAACGGCGTTTGAGGAACTCACAGATGGTACCGAATCTTCTCGTGGGGATAGCCCTTTTTAGGCATGACTCCACTATAGATCCATTAAAGTTCTGACAATGGCAAATTGGTTTGAGTTCAATCACAATACAATCGCATCATTTTTCACAGATAAAAATTTCGCTAGAGGATGGCGCATCATCAAATCCACATAGGCAGCGCCTTAGGGCTTGTAGTGCTACTCCAAAGCGCGCTTTGTCCCGGACACTGATGAAGAGGCCACCACCCACTGCCCATTTCAGTACCTTTCATCGGCCAATGAAATCAATCGGGAACAGTTGGCTGCTTCGAACCCAGATGATTCACTGCCCCCCGCGGGTGGCCTGCGGGTCATCTAAAGATTAACCTAGGCCTACCATGCTTGTACTAGGAGAGACTGAGTACGAAGAACCAGCTCATATGACGTGTAGCATTCTATGCAGTCTGTGCTCGTAGGCCATACTGTGACTAATTTCATCTTGACAGGATTCTCCCATGAGCCGGACCCTCTCAAAACGAAGCTCCTGGCCCTGAGCTTCTAGGTGTCCGTGATCTTTAGAATGATCTACCAAGAACAGCCTTCAATTAACGATTCTCACGATTTCACTAGTAATACGCTCCACACATTACCATATGTACTTCACACAAGCATCTGCTATCGTTTCTGTCGGTTCCCCAATTTGTCTCTCACCGAGCGACATGGCTCATGTTTTTCATGGCCTCCAATTCTGAATTATACAGACTTATATTTGGTCTATAAGGGCTCTGTCATGACTCATGATCTCCTAGGCTTTACTGAACAGCCGGTGATGTATCCTCTGCCCTGTACAAGGAAGCCATGATAACAATTCGTCTGTCTTAGACAAGTAGGCCTTCGGCCATTAGCTTTTGTTCTTCATGTTTAGAGGAAATAAAAATGGCATACTTGCCCTCGTTCGTGGTTGCCTGTTAACACTGAGCTGGTCTGAGATCTCCATGAGGAAGATCATATAGAGAATACCTTTTCCGAAAATGGTTTTCCGCAACTCGTTCTACCGCCAAGGTATCTGCTGGATTGACGAGAAGACAACCTGGTGAGGCCGATAGGTTCTCGGCAGTTGATTCATACTCATAGACAAATAATGATGTTTTGAGATCGGCCTTTCGTTTCTCGGCCCTCATGCTCTTCCTGGGCATATGTGGTGTCATTAAGATCCTCGCAATCGGGGTCATATATGTCTCTGCGCGATGTGAAATGCTAGACTTTTTACATACACAATATATAACAGATAACGTGAAGGGAATGACTATAGATAAGTCTGGAATTTCTGGTAAATTCCGTCCTCTCTACGAGATGACATTTTCCTGCGCCAAATGTCTTTCGTCATCCTGAATAACCTTCCTAAGTTTAAAGAATTTGGAAAAAACTAGCAAGGCTAAAAAAGTACAGAATGCCAGGCCAGTAATAACAGTTGTGACAATTGACATTATAGACCACTGACCACCCCGAGATGTGTATATATTGATAAGCGTAGTGAGCAGCCCTGCTGCCGCATTTAGTGCTGCTGGCCTTCCTATGGTGAGCGTGTGACGTTTCATCAAGTTGAATTTCCAGACCACTTACGTGAATAATTTATTAATGAGCCATGTGTAAGTTCTTCGTAATTTGCGGACTCGAAGTAACAGTAGAATACCCGTGATTGCACCCACAAAGAACAGAAATGCAATGGCGAGCAGAGGAGGGTTTTGTATGGTATTTAAAATTGCTTGACCGGCCTTGTTGCCGCTAAAGGTCTCCTCGACTTGGCTAGATTTTTGCAAAATTTTGTGTCGGCAAAGCGGGTCTAGCTGACCCGCTGCCTCAGGATAACTGCGGTTGTTAACCGCGTTGACCAACCAACATTGACGCCGCTAGATTTTTTTGTTGGTTTGTGTATGGTGAAATACCACTCAGAAGTCGCGCAGTCAAACGTTGAGAAGGCTATCCCTAACTAAGGTATATGACTTAGTTCCGCGCCTATCCACACATGCAAGGCGAAACCCAGTGGTGATGGAACTGCTCTATGCAAACCTTGTCATACCAGGTCAGCGCTGTGCTAGAAGCCTAAGGTTCCTTTCGCGCCTGCCCTCCCGCAGAAACAGGTATCTCTTCGCGGCGCTAGAGACTAATATTCAGTTCAAAAGGACCGAGAAAGCCAAGTGTCTCGTCAATTTTGAACGGATCTATCCTGCCGCACTCCCGACAGCAACGATTAATTAGGTGCAACTGTAATATTCTGCCACCGTAGAATCTCGCGAAACCGTAAACCTGGTCAGGCTGTTCCCATCCAAACATAGTATACCTTCATTCTGGTTTCTTTAAAGGAGACGGAGTCAGCGTACGGCAGGGTTTCAACGTTGTGCGGCAAAAAAGGACTTCGGGTCTCTTGACCGTTTGTGTTCAGCCAAAGCTGCCGCACGAATTAGTGGCTAGTGTGTTAACGGTCTGCCCTAGGTTCGACTTTTTCTCTAAAAAATTTACACTATGTGGATAAAAAGCTTCATCTTCGCACATGCCTTTTTAAGTTATAGACTATTCAGTAGTATACGCTAAACCTTATTTTCAGTCTATTTAAATGCCAGTTCAATTAGTATAATAATTCACACCAAGTAAATCGAATGCGCCAAACAAGCAGGCCGTAGTTACACGTTCAAAGGCTGAGAGGACTGCGGTCTGGTTCTCGTGTAAAATCCATGCTCAATCGTTGGGCAAGAATATCGAAGTAAAACAATTTTTACACGACTCAATTATGTACCAAAGAGAGCAAGCGTGTTAGGATGAATGCTGAGTTTGATATCTTGATAGACGGGTATAAGGCTACCCAAAATATATAAAGAGGAGTTTCTGCATCACTTTCTACTGCCCTCTATCAAAGACCGTAACATTAGACTGTTATTATGGAGTCCGCAGAATTTGATCAGTTTCTCGCCTTGATGTTTGCACAATTTGGCTTCCGTGTCGATGAGTGCTTTAAGTCTTTGGCTAGACGCACCAAAGGCTTTCTATCAATTTGTGGGAGGTCGTTACCGTAGATTATGTATGTCATCATAGGTCATAGGGATAGAATAAAACTTATATTCTTTCAGTGATGATCCTGATCTCATAGATGAAGATTTTGAATCCTTAATGCGCCATATGGACACGAAACGCCCTTATCTACGTACCCTTTTAAGCGCTTGGACCCAGCAGGAGCCGAGTTACTCCGGACGGGTAAAGTAGGAAACGATGTGGATTTCGACGCGATCGCGATTACGATGAAGAAGGTTTTATAAGCAGACCAGGTTGAAGCGGCCAAGGATACATGTAAATGGGTATCGATGGAGTGGAAATGGCAGCCGATGGTTAGAGACTAGATTATCTTTTCTGATGAAAAGCCTACCTTATCTATATGTTCAATAGCCTAAGTATAATGTACCTCCATATAAACACATACAAACCCACTCTTCTTTTGAATATCGAAAGTTTCTACTGCAATGCAATCCCATATTCTATTTTCCAAAAATCTTTTCACTTTATAATGTCTTCTACCGCTCAATCCTTCCGTGAGATCGTCGGAATTCCCCGCCCCTTAGCTTCCCCGCAGGACTCGACTCTCATCATTATCGACACCTAGAACGAATACACCGGAGGCGCTCTCAAGACCGAAAACGTTACAGAAACCCGTAAATCTATTACCAAACTACTCGAACGTTACCGTTAAGCCCGTAACGGCAAAAATATTGTTCACGTCGTCTTTAAGGTGCCTAAAGGCGCACCCATCTTCACGCTAAAGACCCCCTTAGCCTAAGAGTTTAAGGAACTCACCCCTAAAGCGGGAGAGAAAGTGGTCACCAAAAAATTCCCTAGCTCATTTTGCAAAGACTAATCTACATGCCTATCTCTAAGGTCTAGGTAATATAGGAAAGAAAGTCGTGTTAGTTAGCTATATAGCACATGTGTGTGTCTCCACCACTACCGGAGCGGCTGCTGAGCTTGGATATGATGTGCTCGTAGTGAGGGATGCAGTTGGTGACAGGCATATCCCTGGTGTTAAGGCCGGGAATTTGAAGTCTGTTGTGTTGAGTGAGCTAGCGGATGGTTTTAGGACTGTCATCTCCGAGAAAGATATTCGTGCATAGGTAATTGATGCATTCTGAAACCGCAAGGACTGTTGGATCATATTTACCTCGAATGCCTACTGTATGACGGACCGTTCAGCAAGTACACAGCATTGCTCTTATTGGCGCCACTTGGATGCGGTTAGGCATGGCTTGGTAAAAAAAGAACGCTGTTCAACGGTGTCCATATCTACATGGGTAAATGAGATCATAACGCATGAAAATTACAATATGATGACGTTGTAGAACTGCGACGAGAGCAAGCTACTCGCTCGACGTATCTAGGTTACTAAGGATATGGTTGCGCTACTGCGGCTTTCCGAACCAAGTAGGCGGGGAAATCGAGTCAATTGGAACATTGACGATGAAGATGATTTGTTTGACTAGCCAGAAGAATCACCGTCCCTTGAAGAAGACGTTATGAATTTTCCAATCAATATATGCATCATTTGCTGTGGTCTATCTCGCCAGTCATCATCGAACCCTCCTCCGCATAAATTTTCTCCCAATAGACAGGAATCTCTTCGTCGCCACTTGATTGATACGTACCTGGTTCATGCGCGCGATGGAATTAGCTGCAATTGGGAAGCCTGTAGTAATGTTCCCCAGTTCAGCGATGTCAACAAAACTTTTGGCCCATGCTTCCACTGAGCATTCATATGATATCAAAATCAAATTGTGTCATCTCCCGCGGGTATCACAAACAAACTGCAGCGACACATCATCCAGAGAAACGCCTTCAGTGTCGGAGAATCGACAAAGGACTGAGACTCCCGCATCCTCCATCGACCTCAAGATGAAAATATTGACCCACGCCTATTGGAGGCACATCCTGTCCCCGTTGCGATGGCTTTGCCGACTCAACCAGATACTGAAACTTTATCTACCTCTTGGATTTTCTCACCCCAGCTCAGCCTAAACTCCAATTAGACGATCGAAGAGCAGCACGGCAAAGGTGACAGAACTCGCACCCGCGCCAGAGCCGGAGTTCTAACCTCAACATGTAAAGCGCTCATCTCGGAAAGCAGAAGAGCCACTGTGTGGAGAAAAGGAAAAGAACAGGGGGCTGGACTACCTGAAAGCACCCAAAGAGCCTCCGCTGCGACGAGCAAGACGATTGCGAGTTTAATAAGTTTTTCTAATTGAAACCTCCGAGATAACATGACAATACTCCCGAGGACATTTTTAAAAACATAATTTTCCTGCTAGTCTGCCAAATGTCAAGCAAGGACTATGGGCTTATGGAGAGCAAGAAAGGGAGTCAAGCGCCAATGGCTCTCGCATGCGAAAGATTGATAACAACCCACCAGTGAGGAACACGATAAGGCTGCGAAGAACCTTCCCATAAACCAAGCTGCATCCGCCAGTTAATTACGGGACCATTCCGGTTGCTTTGGGACACATTCAAGAGTATCATGCTCGTGCGTACGTCATCCATTCAATGCGTGAAGTAATTTCCGGTAGGGTCACAATTGGTCGAAATTCCACAACCACTGATCTTTCGTGTTCTGGATGATCGCCCCAGCTCTCATGTCAACATTCGGCGTAGTGACTGAACAAACTTTTCGACAGGTTTCCCCTCTTGGACTACAATGACCCTTGCCCTCATCTGGCAGAGGAAGGCGAGCTTCGATCTAATTGGGCCGGCTACTCGGTTAATATCTGCGATTAGTGCTCTGGAATTCAAATGAGGGACCGTAATTCGAACATCATATGTGAGACACAAGTTGAGGAGCTCAGGTTACACCGCGATGGTTCTAGTTTCCACGGTTAATTAATGATCACGTTCGCCTGACAAATATTATGTATATCCACTAACCACGCTATTTATGCATTGCTTCGATAGCACGCCCCACACTTTTTATCCTCTCAGCTCAAGCTGATAAGCTACGTGACAACCCATACCGATTATTCAAGTAATGATCTTGCTTATCACATGATGAAAAGAAGGGTCCGATCGACCAAGGCCGAAGCTTGATTATGCTAGCTTGGAATCAAACTGATCAGTTAAATCCATAGATGCGATAAGTTAGACTCAATGTCCTCGAAAAGTTTCGTTCCAGCTTTCTCACCTTGATTTCGCCTTCACACCGCAAATCATACAATGCGCTTTTGGGAGGAATCCTGCGAGGTTGAAAGTCATATATGTATAAGATGGAATTTCCAAACTCGGCCCGTAAAGCGTTTCTCGTCTGCTAGTGTTCTCTCTCCTCTTCACTTCAGTCACCACCCATTATTAGTCAAATACAGATTCAGTCATGCGGTTTCAACGGTTTGCTTTTTTTCTCTTCCTTGACATGGAATTTGAAATTAACACAGTGCGCTGCTCAAAAGCTCACTGTAGTGGAGTGGAGACAAGGGTCCACCATGCGTGACTAGCCACTCCCATATGCAATGTGACTCAAGGATTTCTCATAGCCAACCCTCAATTGGTGGCTCACATTGTGTAGTACGGCCCATTGTTCTGTATTTGTGTACTTAGTATATTTCCCCTCAAATTTGAGTCTTTTACAAAATCATGATATATAAGTAGAGTGGCCTTCCACTTTATTTCCATGTTTTTCAGACACTACTGACTGAAGAGCCCATAGTCTCAATAAGATTTCGTTGGTCAACGACAATGGCGCTCAAGTCAACTATCCTGGGCTGGTTGGCGCTTGCGTCAACCAGCCTTGCTCAGCTTCACATGTCAACAAGGAGTCCTTTACAGATTCCTCCATCATTCTCTGGGAAAGGCGTTACTTTGTATCCTGGTCTTCATCCTGACCATAATACCGATAACCTTGAACATCTGACCCCGAAAGAATCTAATCAGCTCTATTATAGCCAAGAGGGTCACCGGCGTAAGTGTAAATAACCCTCACAATTAAAGCATCAGTGCTGACTAGAATACTACCCAGCGGCTCTTCATGGTGCAAAGCATGGAAGTCTGCAAGCGACTTTCACCCGCCCGACAGTCGTACTGGATCATTCCAGCCATCTTCGAAACATCAAATGCAGCAACAGACATATTGAGGCCTGCTTTACTCCTCATGCATTCGGAAAGGTGGAGAGTGAATGGCACTACACAGATTTCAATTTGGTCACATACCACGTTGGGTGCGGTGACCAGACATCAGGAAAACGTTCTTTCTTCAATGCCAAACTGCCAGTGTTCTACCAGCAGACCTCATGTGTGAGAATGGCCGTCGTCCCAATTGACGAGGGTGACGCATTGCACTCTGGAGAGATCAATTGGGCCACATACCAGCACCCTGATCACCGGAAGCGTGTTCCTGTCAAGGGCCATGTCCGTGCTTCTCCTTCGGGTAGGCAGTTTGACACTGTCTCCGGTAACCCTTACAACCAGTCATTTGTGAATATTACCCGAGGAGAGCCTGTTGATCTTAACCGCAATGCTACCGCCTTGAAGAATTTCTTTGAGAATCCTCATATCGATACTAGCCACATGGATGAGCCAGTGCCTGAAGATGAAGACCCCGACTTTGTTGACTATAACGGCACTTTCGTCAAACGAAATCTGTCTCGGCGACACGCTGTTAATATGGAGCGCCGTGGGATTAAGGAATTCTTTGCGGGGCTTTGGAATGGCATCAAAGATTTCTTTGGGGTAAGGAGCTAAACAAGAATTTTTCCCTGTGACACTGCTTACCATATTCTAGGGCATTGCGAACTTCTTTAAAGCTGCCGCCGGAGTCGTCCGCACTGTAGCGACTCTTGTCATTGAAAAAGCAATTATTACTGCCAAGCTGATTGCTGTTCCTTTTGGAGTTCCATTCGATCATACCTACCACAATGATGTGGAGTTTGACTATTACCTAAAAGCTAAGAGTGGCAACCGCCCGCCAACGATTTTTGGGTACACAGAGGGTTTTAACCTGGCAGGCTCCGGTGGAATTTTTAGCCTTCAGTGTGCGAAATGCGGTATCCACGGTGACTTTACCGTGGATGGAAGTCTAGCGTTTAGCATCCAGGAGGGAATCACTAAAGGAAAGGTCTCTTTGATAAACCATGATCCTTTTACTATTGATGCCCAGTTCGGCATCACCGTTGAGGCCCAGATTGACAAGGCTGTGAAAGAGCTTTCAAGACAGCTTGGAGCAGTCCCGCTTAGCCCCTTGACTATCCCAGGTATCATTACTTTGGGACCTCAAGCCTCAATAAGTGTTGCCTTTGATCTTGTCCTGAACGGAAAGGCAGACCTTCTTGTTGGGGGCACTCTCACAATAGACCCTGGGGAGGTGGCATTGAGTATTGTCAATAAGGACGAGAATAAACTGGATGGACTGAGCACCAAGTTCTCACCAGTCCTCAAAGTACGCCTATCATCCTTCTTAGACTGATTCAAGCTAACAGAAGACAGGCGAGTGGAGCAATCACTGCTGCAGCGGAGCTGGGATTACCGATTGCACTCGAAGTGGGGCTTGACATTCTGAACGGGAAATTCAAGAAGACAGTTGGGCTCATCAACAAGCCATCTGTCTACGCATCTGCTACTTACTCTCATGACGAGGGCCACAAGTGCAATGACGGTGTTGAACTACGCGCTGGTGTCAAGAACCGCATCTACATAGCTGCATTAGATAAGTGGGATTATGATGTTCGCACTGACATTCTATACGAAAAGGGCATTTCTTGTGTCACGTAAGTTTCCTCGCTTTCTACGGTCTCTCAATTGAAGTCTAACTGGTGATCGCGCAGTTCAAATGGATTTGATACCAATGCAGTGGAGCCGGATGTATCCGTTTTCAATCAAGTCTCTGACAAACTCGGCGGAGATAGCGTCGGAAACGATAAGCCCACGATTACGGATGTCGCCAGTGGCTTGAAAGAGCCAAACAGCAAGACAGGGTTCCGGATTATCATGGATGAACAGAAATCCTCCATACTGGTCTCCGGTGAAGATGGGTACATTTACTTGGTTAACTCAGAGGAAAATTACGATGTTAGCGCCCCTTGGGGTACAATTGATGTCGATTCACAGACCGTCAACTTAGACGTGTTCGGGCGCATCATGTCTGCCCACCCTGACAATGGCCCTTGGGGCTACGCGATGGAGCTTAAAGTCTACGACCCATCGAAGGTACCATCCAATGAGCGAGCAGCGTCAGTACACTCCATAACCCAGTGAGGATTCACTTTCTAATTCTCTACTGCAGTGGTATGGCCATTTTGAAAACCGACGAGACAGACTATCAAACGTACGGTATTATCCTCACTAGCAGCAGCAGGCTTGATCTCTGGTACCCGACAGTATGCAAGACTAACAAGGGACTACGGCTTTACGCTACCATTTATTTAATTGACAAAGACGGGAACATTCAACGGCGACAGGGCTTCAGGAAGAGACGATTGCAAGGTAGCCTTGATCGTCTTGGGGTTGATTGGCGGAACTGTCGTTCTGTGCGCTTGACTTCCCAGATCTCGAGTGCATAAGGGCAAATAATTCTTTGGGATCTTTCTTTCTTTCTTTCTATTGTTTCTTTTTTCTTTTTTTTTTCTTTCTTTGAGTCACCACTCATTTCTTAATTCAGACTGCATCAGTTCCATAGCAAGTAATCGCTGGGTACACAACAAAAAACTTATTTCATTGTTTGAGTCCATTTGATATATATATATTAATGTTGTATATGCCCAGAATCCATCTAGTATACCAAGCCGGCATGATCATACATAGCCATTGATTTCAAGTCTTCTGGCTTATACTTCCCTTCAAAAATAGTCACCAACACTTTAATCTAAGTCCATCGGTTGACGAATATTGGTAGTATTATCTTTATATCATTCTCTTAATAAGCGAGTGATTAACCCTATAACGTATTTCACAAGCGAGCGGGACACCCGGTCGGCCGGGACACCCCATCAACTTCAATTAATTCAAACCAGCATAATTCACCCGAAATAACGTAATATTGAATATCTAAGCTATTTAACCAGTTTTGGACAATGCGTTCTTTTATGCCCCTGGATATTACATTCTGAGCACCTTAGTGGAGCCCGACGTCGTGGTTCTTGACCTGGATTTTGACTGGTTGGCTCTTAGGCTTCGGCATATGGGGTGGGGCCCATGGGGTGGTATGGGGTGGGGGTAAAATGGGGCCCCCATTTACCTTTGAAATGGGGGAAGGCCCCCATATGGGCCCCATTTACCCCCATTTTAGGTGGGTCTAAATTATGTGTATCTTTCATAAACTATGCAGAAATATTGGTTTTAGAGGGGTAAAATACCACTTTAAATACCTCATATATTACATATAGATAATATAAACTTAGCTTTTAAAGGTATGAACTCCATAGTTCTACCTTATTTTTTCAATTTTTTTATTATTTTTATATACAAAAGCAAGACCTATAAGCCACCCTAACACCCTAGCACCTATAATCAAATAAAGCACGCATAACCAATCTTATTAATCAGTGATATGCCCATTCTGCACTATCCCGTGTCTGCCTAGTAGCTCTAGCCCTTCTAGAAACCCTAATTGAAGGTAATTCTCCATCATCTGATCTTTCATCTGAAGAATCTTCGGATGAAACCTCCCTTGTTCTCTTTGTAGGCTGCTGAATTGGGACTAGCTACTCTTCCTTACCTGAGCTATCTAGGTCTAGGTCCTCAAGGTCACTGATATCCTCGAGTATTACTCGAGTTTCTGTGTCCTTTGATCCCGCCTCCTCTTCAATCTTAAGAGCTTGGACTAGCTAAGTTAGCTCTTCTGTATCTATATCAAACTTTATAGTGCGGTTATACACCATAAGGTCTTTTATAGTAGAAGAGCTTAGCCTACCACGCCGGTAGTGGCATATATCACGTGCTGTATTAAACAGGCGCTCTACACTAGTACTAGTTGCTGGAATAGAGAAGAGATCGCGAGCTATCTAAGCTAGGGTAGGGTATTTGGTCTGATTATTCCGCTAGAAAATAGAGGGTTCCTCGTTAATAAGCCCTAGTTAGGTTAGTAAAGGGTAGGAAGGGTAGGAAGGGTAGGAAGTGTAGGTAATATATCTTGATATCTTGATATATGATATATGATATATGATATCTTGATATATGATATATGATATATAATATCTTGATATCTTGATACCTTAGGTAGGTTAGGAAGGATAGACCTACTAGCTTGAAGGTAATCTCCTAGCTTATCTACTTGTATAGGTATTATGCTAGCTTTTGTAGGCATCATAGATTGGACTGCTAGCTCTATAGTAGTATATCTCCGGGCTTGTGGACTCGAGATTATGTTATCTTGTTGATAAGATCTAATTAGATCCTGTAAGCTTGATCTATACATCTCTGCATAATTAATCGTCTCATCTTCCCACTCTTTAGATTGAAAGAATTGAAGCTTATATTGTGGGGTAAGTATCGTTCTATGTGTATATATGCTGCCTAGGGCTGGGTCTATCGTCCGAGAGTAATACTCTTGAAGCTTAGATGTAGCTGCTTGTAGAGCTTGAAGCATGTCTTGTTTCTATGGAAGCTAGGGTTATAAGGTTAGTTAGGAAGATAGGGAGATAGGGAGATAGGGAGATAGGGAGATAGGGACTCTGATATCTTGATATCTTGATATATGATATAGACTTATGGAGATAGGGAGATAGGTTAAATATACCTTCTTTTGGTAAAGCTTAGTAATAGAAGACTCGATATGCTGGAACAAAGCATTGTAGATATTGTATACACTATATATAGTGATATCCTTTATCTTATATAATGCAGTAGTGAACATAAAGAAAGGCTTTGTAATATGTAAAAGATAGGTGATTTGACGCTATTTATCTGATCTGATACGCATTTTGACCTAATTTAGCTTATAGTAGCTATTTAGAGCTGGTTTGATCTGAAGAGCTCGTTCTTGTCACGGTGTGAACTATAAGGGTCCGCCCGGACCCGCCAGGACCGATAAGGAAGATCCCGGGCACGTGATCTTTAGTCTGTGTTGGCATAATTTTGATGATATAAGCTAGCTAGATTAGTAAGCCAGCACATAAGGTATGCGCATAGAGATAGGAGAATAACTAGATAGACACATATTAAATCGAACATCTATAGAACCTTGATTAACCGCCCTGATTACGTGTTCTAATAGTTATGAGCCTAGAATTACTCTGATTATACTAGAATTGGTGAAATTAAGGCTATTTAGACGCATCTAGAAGATATCTGAACCGCCTACCCCTAAGCTAGATAGTGTAACTACCTGAACGTACCTCTAAAGCATACGTTAGGATCTAGATGGCATTGGATCAAGATATCATAGAATCGATTAGATCTATCTTATCATAGAGAGGAGAGAAGTTAAAGGGGCCTGCCTAGTAGCACTTGTGGTATATAGCCATGAGACGCCTTAGAATAAGCCTATAAGTATGGGATATATATAATCTAGAGCTAAGTAGGAGCATAGTGGTTCAACTAAAGGAACCCCTAAATATGCCCACATAACCTACTCTAGATATCCCCAACAAGATCATGGCTAGAGCGCTAAAGTCTCTAAAGGAAGAGTTTAGGGAGAACCAGTCGATCTAGAGAGATGAAATGGATATCTATAAGATCTAATTAGCTACGTTCGAGAAATAAGAGAAGGGTCTATAGACAATCAACCAAGCGATCACGGCATCTATAGAGCTAAAGCTTAACCGCGTTCTTAACTGTCTAGACACACCATATAAACATATACATTTCCTTATAAATAGGTTCTCAAGAACTAATACATATAGCGTCAAGGTATTCCTAAGATAGAGAGAAGACGTAATAAAAGGACTAAAGAAGGGGGAAGACGTTCTAAAGTAGCTAGATAAGTAGGAATCCCTATATAAAGAAGTCATTAGCTTAAACTATAAGAATGTATCGTTCTACCCGCTATTATTTATAAAAGCTATTAAAGAGGTTCTACCGTCATAGTAGGAGAACCGGTTCTAATAGATTATGATTAATAAGGAGACTATAGGTATAAATTCAATACTAGAGTCCTTCTACGTAATATACGCGGAGACCCTATAGAAGGTGTCCGCACTAGTAGGAAATAGTAAGCCTATATTCGCAACATCAAAGTAGTAAGGATATTAAGAAGCGAAGCTAGTAAAGTCCATAACTAAGTTCTTAGAATGTATAGACTACCTATATAGAGGCCCTTACCGCGTAACCTAGTGCTGGGTATTTAACGAGGCGAAGCGTCTAGAAGGATAGTAAGTAGGTCATAAGCGACAAGAAGCTATCAAAAAGGCGTTTAAAAAGGAGCTAGAGTAGAAGATCTAGATAGAAGAATAATTCAGTAAGACGTCTAAGAAAGAGATAGCAAATCATGCCTCTTAGATCGCGTTCGTAACTATACTATTAACGGTTAAAGAGCACCACCGTACGTAATAGATCCTAGATTCAGGCGCGAGCGTGCATATATATAACGACTAGTCTATATTTATGGAGAGAGCTAGACGCCAGCGGTTGGAACTAGAACAGTAGTGATGGAAGGTATTAACCTAGTTATAAAGAAGGCCTATATAGTGACACTAACTGATTATCTTCATGCGCCCTCTTTCTACTATAACCTAGTGTCGCTTAGACAACTAGAGTAGAAAGGGGCGTGGTGGGATATATGGAAAGGGTATATAATACATAATAGAGAGTCAGTACTTAGGATCTACCGGGAACGAGACATCTACGTCTTCTTATGGCTAGATATAATAGATCTAGAGACCGTATAACATACGTATGCCATATAAAGATCCGCATAACCACAGGTATTAACTATAATAGCAGAGATATAGCATAGACGTCTTAGACACGTCTATTAAGGAGTAATCTAGTAGCTGCTGGAGCTTATTAATAGAGTTAAGATTAAGGATAGGGAAGAGTAACTAGACAGATTAGATAGCCAGCTATGCGAGGTATATAGCTTAGTAAATGCCCCCTAGTAGATATCTTAGAGACCTATTAGATAACACTATAGACGTTACGGTCGAGTCTATTTTGATCTAATCTAGATAACGATGGGATATAATTAGCACTACTGGATCACGTACTTCTATATAGAAGGTATACGATTCTATTAGAGCATGACATATATTAATAAGAATAGATATTAAGATGCTATTAAAAGCTTTATAGCGTTTGCGATCAAGTGGCTATAATTACTAATTAAGGTATAGCACTTAGATAATAAGAAGACCGTGGACGACTAGATCCATAAGGTTCTAGATAAGATAGGGTTTATCTATACCTTCACGGTCCTATATTCCCTAGAGATAAATAGTCTAGGTAAGCGTTCTAGAGGAGTGCTTACGCTTCGAGCTCGAGCGCTTATTAAAGAAGGTAAGTTACTAGATAAGCTCTAGCCCGAAGCCATCGCGATAGCGGTGTATCTACTAAATTATACGTTAATAAGGTTAGAAAGTAGGAACTAGATAGTTCTATAGGAA